TGAGGATCTTGCGCTCTCGTTCAAGCAGCAGACGTGCAATGGCGATATTTCCACAGTAGAGCGCTCGGTGAAGAGCGTTCCAGCCACTTTCGGGGTCTTGCACGTATAGATCGATCGAGGGGTGGTCGAGCAGGGCCTGGACGAAAAGGATAGCGGCCGAGTCTGTCGAAGAAGCAGCGCGGAGTAGTACTGTGAGGCCAGCGTGATCACGACTGTTGATCTCAGCCTTTCCGAGAGCGTTATTGGCATTCCTTGATCCAGCTGGGCCGAAACCGACGGCGGAGGATTTGCGTTGTTTAACGTTCCGGGGAGAGGTTCCGTATTGTCCGGGACTGCCCCCAAGGGGTCCAGCACCTATGCCCGGGCTCCTTGTGACGGTTTGCGCCGTGTGGCCGGCCGGGACCAGTAGACGCCGAAACCTGTCGACATCATTTTCCCAGTAAAATTTCCACAGTAGGTGACTCATGGGCAGATGGTGAGCAAGGGACCCTTCCAGCACTTGGATAGCACCTCGCTGTGAGTCTCTGGGATCACGGCTTGTTTAAAGGTGCGATTCCGAGCGCGAGAAGAGCGGAATCGTGGGTATTGAATCGATACGGTTCGAGAGCGGCCAGAGGGTGCGCGGGGGATGTTTCGAGGTTACGAAGCCCTAACGTTGAGAGAGAGGGGGGGTTTATCGAAGTTGCCACTTGGTCGTTAAGCTTGTGACTCTTAGATACGATATAGCAGTAGTAGTCGAGAGTGGCGATAGTGACTGGTGCGATGGACGGTGTCGCGGGTGTGGGAGCTTCGTGTTCAATGGCTGGAAAGGTCGGCTTGGACGGAAGATGAGATGAGGACGAAGGTTGCAGGAGAGTCGTTGCTGGCGAAGGGACGTGAGTCGGGGTGGGGGTTGGCGATGGAAATTGAAGGTATTCACCTCAGGGCAGGGCAGTCGCCAGTTGTGCGCGTCAGAGCCCGCCGCGCCGCGAATTCCCGGCTCCACGGGGGGCATGCAGCGTGGGTGACAGGTACCTTGGTGCGTTATCGCGCAGCCAATCGGACTCGTAGCTGGGAGCTTGTGCTCTGTTGCAGGCCAGACAAGCTTCCAGTTTGTCGCTTCAGGTGGGGTTTGCTAGCGGTCTTTCCAGGGTGCGAGACATGCTGGTCCTGGCACGCCGAGCGAGTCACAAGAAATCTGTTTGAACATGAGGTCCGCAAGAAGTGACGATGATGGCAAGGTGAATACTTTCCTGCCCATACTTGGTTATTTCAAGTCGTAGTTAGAGATACAGGATGCGACAGTTACGTTTCTCAACACCTATAGGGCCAACCCGGGTCTATGTCACTCTGCCATTTATTCGTGATCTCACGGGAATTGGCATTTCCCACATGCATAGTACGCATATATCTCAAGCAAGGTCAGCTATCTTACATTATGCTCATATAATTCTTCGGTCAGAATCAATGATTTATATAATCAGCCTTTACTCGAGCAAATGTTGAAACAAGTCCGCGGGCACTTGCCCCAGTTCACAGCAAGTCATAGAAACGAAACAATGAAAGAGTTGCTGCTCCCGTTTTACGGATACACGTTGTGTGCTTATCTAAGACCGTTATTAGGTGGGGAGCTATCCCCCGCCAGCTGCTGCACCCCGCCTGCGGCCTCGCTGCTGTCCCTCGAAGCGCCGGGATCGCATTCGGGCAGCCACACGATGTGCCGCTTGCCAATGCCTCATTCGGCAGGCTTGCATATCGCCGACTGTAGACTGTTTCCATCAGGTGTATCGAAGACACAAAGTAAGATACCGAGGCACCTAGGTAGGGCAGGCTGAGCTTACCCTCGATTGTTGGAAACCTACGCCGGTTATGTAGACAACTCTCCAGTTTTGAATACAGGAGGCATGTCATTCAGTGGAAGCGCCAATTCTCGTCTTCTTGACTTGCCTTATTTGGGCCTGGCACTCAAAATGGGAATTTCTACCATGAGCTGGTGTATGTGGGCAGACAACTTGGTGACATGATTGACTCTTGAGTCCATCATCAATGATGATCTTCAATGCCAGTTTCAAGCCTACGATGCCTATTAGGTAGAAGATTTGGTGGTGAACACAAGCGACATGTACTTATGTAAAGGTTGTCGGTCGCACTTGAGTCGGAATTGTCGCCCGAATCTCGGCAATAGACGGCACATGAAATGTGTCTCACAGTCGCAGTCGCAGATGCATCTCGGCACAGATGATGGAAGTGCCCAAAATGAATACCTACCCGGTTTGAGTGAGGTGGCCCGGGCCCTGGGGTAAAGAAAGATCCCCCCCAGATCCCCGGAACGTCCCAAAAAGCCACCTGCCCACGCTGCCGCAGTGCCGCCATGCTACCAAAGCGAGATGCCAATACGTAATCCCGCTGGCCCCAAGAGAGCGCACCAATCATGGGCCTCGCAAGTGTCAGGGACGATGAGCAAAGACGCTGCAAGCCTGCAACAGCCCGTCCCCGGTGGAGTCCGGCGCCGCTCGGTAACTTGGAAACTTGCTGCTCACGCTGCTCCAGCGCAAGGCGGCGCATGCTGTAAACAAAAAAGAGAGGCCGATAAGGGACCTCCGCCCGGGGTCCTGGCGATAAGAGCCCAGTTCCCGCTAAAGCTAAGACTCCGTACCTCGTTCGATTTTCCGCTCCATCCAATTCACTCCAGTCTCCCAGCGCTTCCACAAACCTTCCCACCTACGCACCTCATCCCGCCCGATTGATTTTGCTCCTCGGTGAGTTCCCAATTGCATCCGCCATTGCCCTCTTCTGGTAGCTAACCACCGTATTTCCAGCTGTCTACCGCCAAGATGTCGACCGACAAGCCCCTCCCTTTCCAGTACCAGTTCGCCGCAGGTTCGTTGCCCAAAAGCCCCCCACCGCCGCGATATCGGACCCGAATACTGACCACTGCATCCAGGCGCCATTGCCGGTGTCTCGGAGGTCAGTACACAACGGTGCCACATGGTAATGGGATGATGAGATATGCTTACGCCTTCTGTTACTCTAGATTCTGGTCATGTAAGTCTAGAATCCTCTTGCGACAAGCTCACGTGGCCAACATGCTAACCCGCACAACAGGTACCCTTTGGACGTCGTCAAGACACGAGTGTAAGCTTTGCTCGATAGCCAGCCGCTCGCGCACACCCCGACTGACACGAACGTCCAGGCAACTCCAAACCGGCAAGGGTGTAGGTGCCGACCACTACAATGGCATGGTTGACTGCTTCCGCAAGATTGTCCGCAACGAGGGGTATGCGAAACCACTCCTTAGCAACCGCAAGTGTATTCGCCATTGCTTATAAACCGCAGTTTCTCAACGCTCTACCGCGGAATCACCGCTCCCATCCTCATGGAGGCTCCCAAGCGTGCTACCAAGTTCGCCGCGAACGACGAGTGGGGAAAGATCTACCGCAACCTGTTCGGTGCCGCCAAGATGAACCAGTCCCTCTCCATCTTGACCGGAGCCAGCGCCGGTGCCACCGAGGCCTTCGTCGTCGTCCCCTTCGAGCTCGTCAAGATTAGACTCCAGGACAAGGCCTCTGCCGGCAAGTACACTGGAATGCTCGACGTCATCCGCAAGACCGTCGCCGCCGAGGGTGTCCTGGCCATGTACAACGGCCTCGAGAGCACCATGTGGCGCCACATTGTCTGGAACGCTGGTTACTTTGGCTGCATTTTCCAGGTCCGCGAGCTCCTCCCCAAGGCCGAGAACAAGGCCGGCCAGGTCACCAACGACCTGATCTCCGGTGCCGTTGGTGGTACCGTCGGTACCATCCTCAACACCCCCATGGATGTCGTCAAGTCCCGCATCCAGAACAGCCCCAAGGTCCCCGGACAGACCCCCAAGTACAACTGGGCTTGGCCCGCCGTTGCGACAGTCGCCAAGGAGGAGGGTTTCGGCGCGCTGTACAAGGGTTTCCTGCCCAAGGTGCTCCGTCTCGGCCCCGGAGGTGGTATCCTCCTTGTCGTCTTCACCGGCGTCATGGATTTCTTCCGCACCCTCAAGACCAACGCTTAAATCCGCACCTAGAATGGGAAAGGATAAAAATACTAGAGAAAGAGAGAGAGATCCGGGATTGTACATCTTGTACAGGCAGATACCATCACCGGGGCTTTTTGGATTCTGGCGCTCAGCAATGCAATCATTTTCAAGACTTTGAGGTCGACTTCCCCCTTCTCGTGGCCCAAGCTATATTGCTTGCCATAGTGATACCGACTTGTGATCAGATACCTGCTACTTACCTTCACTAGCAACACCATTACTTGCTACGAATTCTGCGTGTTCGAAGACCGAATCTCGCCCTGGGTTCAACCGTCTCTCTTCACATTCTGACCCAATATACAGCTTACCTTCAGCACAGTTACCTCAAACCAACCCGCGGTTTCCCCTTACCGTTCAAGAAGCTACGACCGCCTACCTCCAGAGAGGCTTTCTTCCTTTTCTGCATTACTCCTATTTATACGCTTCTAGCTACCGCGTACGCATGGCCTCGCTTCTTCCTCCACACACACACTCAACTTTGGACTCATTTGCCCAGACGCATCTTCTCAGCAACGGATCTTCAACAGTCTTTTCAGCGCTCACTCTTTCGACAAATCAATTTTTGGCCTCGTACTTCACACACCGGCTACGACCACTTCATGAGCAGTCTCGTACGGCCTCCGCCAAGATATCGGACGTTCTTTCCGCAAATCGTGGCGCCTTCCGTGGCTAGGCAAATCGCTCCTGCCCCTTTCTATACGGACTGATTCTCAACTGCTCTCTGCGCCTTGGCTTCTTTGCCTCTATTTCAATAACAACCTTACCTTAACAATACCACTTCTCACATCCCACAGCAACTTTTACCATCCGCGTAGCTGAGTTTAGCGCGTTCTCTGATCTCATGGTTTCTCCTCTTAACACACATACTTGACAGCTATTCAGGAGCAACTTCAACTCGTGAATATTTCAATTTCGACAAATCACTTTCGACATATCGCCAGGAATTGCGACAATGGAAAGCCACACACGCTCCATTTCCCGAGCTATCTCGACGGCTCGCGCAAGTGCAACGCCAGGGGGCCTTCCCACTCCTTCCCCTCCTCTGGCTTCAGATTCATCTGTCAGCCAAAGCTCAGTCAAATGTCAACGACCGGTCTTCACGGCTGAATCCGCCTCCGGCGATCAGCAGTCACCAGATATCGATGCTCAACTGTCTGCCCTGCAAATCTCGGCTCGCTCAGAGTCCTCTTCTCAAGCCGCTGCCGCCGAGGGACGTAATAGTACTTCAATCCATGCAAGCACCAGCCCCTATATCCTGCGGGCACTAGGCCAGGAAGAAGAGCTGGATCGAAACGGACTTGTCATCTTGGATTCCAACGAGGCTGATGGGTCACTGCATCACTATGACCCAGAGGAAGACGAAGTCGAGTCCGAAGATGACGAAGTGACTTCCGAAGATGACTTAGAGCTAGATCGGGAAGAGACCATGGAGTCTGACGAGGTAGCTGACACCGTACAGGATGAAGACGAGAGCACCGAGGAAGTCGACGACGAAGAAGCCGAAGAGCTCGACGATGAGCCTGGCTCTCTCGATGACAACGATGAGGAGCTGACTTCGCCATTGCCCATCGATCTCAGTAGTCTTGGCTGCAGCGACGCGTGCCGATCGGGGCTCCAGCAGGGCATCGAGGTCTACGATGAACAGATCAGAAAACTCGTGAGCAAGGTCCATGAGCTCAGTCTTGACAAACAAAAGTTGAGATCGGATATCGATAAGTTGGAGAAGAAACGAAGCAGCCAGAAGAAGCACAAGCCGACGTGGCATAGGGAACTCGACTTATATTTGACTAACCCCGGTCACAGACAAGCACTGAGTTACAACCAGATCTATACGCTGTGCTGTAAGGAAGAGAATATGAGCACCAAGACCGGCAATGTCCATCCCAACTTGCGACTCAGGGGCCCAACAAACCAAGAACTCCAGGCCTATGCGCTCGAAGGCCTCGATGATAACTCGATTAGTCAGGATGATGAATCTGAAGACAGCCGCGACGGTCCTGAGGGACTCTTCGTCCGGGACGATGAGCATCCCGAGGAAGTCCCGGGCTCAGAGGGTCAACAAACACAGGCGGATTCCTATCTCAAGGACTTTCCTTTTGATCGACTGCCTGCCAAAGTACAGGCCAACATCCTCAAATTCGTCTTTGTTGAAGAAAACAAGCTAATTCACTGCATCACGCGTCTCGATTCCTTCATGCCTCCAGAGCAGCCCACACAGACTGACACGAAAAGAAGTGGTCTGCCCCATCGCTTCCACCTTTCCGGAACATCTTGCAACATCACCTACAGCATGAAGCCGAATGCCCGGCTCGCCCTGCTGACTGTCTGCAAGCGTTGGTACTACCTTGGGGTCCACGCTTTCTACGGCCTCAACACTTTCGCCTTCTCGAGCCTTGGAGAGTTTGGACGGTTCTGCACTGGTATCGGAGAAGCCAGGAGAGAGAGAATTCAGCATGTCGAGTTGCTCTGGCTGGGCAATCAATACCTCACTCACAGGCCTGTCAAGGAAGGCAAAAAGGGCGGACTCAAATATGTCTCCAAAAGAACATGGGATGTTTCTTGGCTATGCCAGCTGCCTCGTCTGAGAACTCTCATTATCCATGTCGACGAGAGTGGCCCGCAATACATGGCTCGCCGTCACGAGCCCAAAGCCTACGTCAACTGGATGGCGTCTGTCACGGCTGGTCAGCCCAACTTCCGCGCGATGAGATCACTTCGAACCCTCCAGGGACTGCATTTCCTCCACGCTCTTCGTGGGATGGAGCTTATTCAGTTTTACGACTACAACATCTCCCGCGAGCACGGTGGCCGTCATCCCATTCGCGACTGGTCCTTCTTCATGGACATCGAGAACGTCACTGCTATGCCGAAAACTGACGACAAGGCAGAAGCCGCTAAGTTGACCAATCTGATGCCAGTTCTTCCAGGATACGAGGCTTCTCTAGAGGAGGTTGATGCAATCAAGGGCCTCTATCACAACAGTAAAGCCTTTGACGCCGTGTATGTGTCGCCGCCAGCTGTTGAAAGAGACGAAGACGGCGATATCGAGATGGCTAATGCCGAAAGCCCAGTACCGATCCAGCAGCGTGCTGCAGTGGCATCTCAAGGGGGATCACGTCCTAGCCAAGGACCGGGTGAACCACGTGCCAGGGATGGATCGAGACAGTCGAACCCCAACAGACAGGCAAGAGGGCCACGTCCTGGCAAGGGAAAGAAGGTCGCTCGAGCTAGGAATACAACGCCCGATGAGGATACAGACGGAACCGAGTCTGAGGCTTCTAGCCAAGCAACCCCGAAGGCACCCATCCGTCACGCCCGGTCAGTCACTGAACTCAGCAATTCAACCGTTACGGAAGATAGCGTTGCAAATGACTACGACGATGAAATCTCGCTGGCAGGATCAAACGCTACCAACCCCATCGACTTGGACAGCATGGAGCCACCAAAATTGCCTCTACGCCTGTGGCGCCTTCAAGAGGAGGATCGACTAGAGCGCGTCAAGCGCGAGCAATCCGACGCAATGTCAATTGGCCGCATATCATCAGCCGGAAGCGAGAGGTCCCACGGCAGTGGAAACGGGCTCTTCGTCGGCGGCTCGTCGCCGTCAATGTCTCATTATCGATCACGCCGCGAATCGACCGTCCTGACGGATAACTTGCGCAAGAGAGGATGGGGCGAGACAGATATCCGAAGCGCCATCGATCTAACGACAGAGGAAGACGATGCCCACACCATTAGCACTGGGTTCCCAAGCTCTTTTATGCCCAACTCCTCGCACCGTACCGGCAATGGAGGGGTTTGGGGCTTCATTCCCCCTATCATAGATCCGAGTACTTCTCACCTTACTCCTAGACTTGAGCGTCTCGCAAGCGTGGACGACTGTCCTTTTGGAAAAAGGCGAAGACATTAACTCGGGTTCTCCATCTTACAAACTTTTGACTTCATATAGATTTGCGGTTTTTTCAACATCTTGCGGCGTTTTTACTGATCTCGAGCGATTTGGAGCACTTGCGGTGCTCAAACACGGCGAATTAGGGAGCCGATATGCGTTTTGCTTAATTTGAATCAGGGGGAGTACAGGAGATAGCTACCTCACTTACATACCTAGCCACATAGGCAGACAGCGAATGATAATTCACAGTTGATTTCAATTACCACTGGTATCCTCTACATCACAAACCTAGAAAGTAATCTTGGTACCCGCAAACGCAGCCGTAGTCTGCGCCTCCTTGGCCTTCTTCCTCGCCTCCCAACTAGGATGCAAAATCCCCTCATCATCCTTCTGAGGCGGCACCCTCGCCTTCTTCTTCTCCTCCACTCCTCTGCCGCCGCGATCTCTACCCTTACCGCCGGCCAACGGGTTCGAAACGCCCTTCTTCCAAGGCTTCCTCCCCCCATCCTCGTCACCGCCAACAGCACCCCTCTTCATATCCCACCCGCTATCCCTCGCGCCCGCCCTCTGCCCGTTGACCTGGCTCTTGACATGGTTCGCCGACGCGCCGTACTTTTTCTCCCAAATCGCCTGGCGCTGTTTCTGTCCCAGCCGCTTCTTGGGCGGCGCGAGGTCGAGGTCCGAAGCCTCGGACTCGGAGTTGGATATGTACCCTCCCATCAGCGAGGGTAAGAACGTCGTCTCGCCGGGTCGGCCTGTGGGTTTCTTGGCGCGCTTGACTTTCTTCTCTTGTTGGCTTGGCTTCGGTTCCGGTTCGGGGGAGAGGGAGACGTTGGCGGCGTTGATGCGGCGTTGGCGGTCTGATTCGTTGCCGCTGTCTTCCGCGTCGTCGTCCGCTGGGTTCGCCATTTCTTGGTCCTCGTCTTCATCTTCGTCTTCATCGTCGCTGTTACTCTCGTCGTCGGCGGTGTCCCCATCGGCGACTTCGCCCAGCAGAGCCTTGTATCTGGCCTTGAGGTCCTCGTCGGGACTCTCTTCTTCCGAGTCGGAGCCGCCGAGCATAGCCTCCATCTTGGACAGAGCCTTGTCCTCTTCTTCCTCGTCTGAGTCAACCTCCTCCTCCGCGACATCTGCATTCTTTCCGCCGTCCTCGGCGTCGCTGTCGGTCGGGATCTCATCGTCCATCTCGTCAAACGGGTTCGGCCCCTCCTCTGCCTCTACCTCCGCCTCCTTGGCTTTGGACTCGGCCTTGGGCTTGGCGGACACATCCTTTGCATCCATCAACTTCGACTTCTTCGATTCCCTAGGTTTGTTGTCGACGTCCTCCTCCTCCTCCTTCTTTGCTTGCTTCTTGCTCTCAGCGGCAGCGGGAGCAGCAGCAGCAGCAGCAGCATCCTTGTTCCCCCTCTTCTTCTTGTCCGGTATAGGCACGTTGAGAGCCAGACACACGCCCCGTACCGCCTTCTCAACGGCCTCCCGGACAGACGGGCGGTTAAACAGGCCGCTAGTGACATTATGCAGCGCCACCTTCTCCTCCTCTGAGAGTTCCGGCTTCGGCACGCCCTTCTTGATCGCTTCGGGGAGGGCAGGGCTTTCGGCGATCTGCTTGACCTTGAGGAGCGAGGAGTGCAGGTGGGCGTCGGCGGTTTGCAGGAGGTCGAGGGACTGTAGGGGCAATTGTCAGCGGGCGCAAATCTATGAATGCGATCCTTAGATGGAGAATAAACTCGTACCTTCAACACCAAAACCTCCCTCTCCAACCGTTTGACCTTGTCGGGTGTCGACTTGTCATCGCGCAAGCGTTTGCTGTACCGTTGACGCTCGAGTCCCTTTGCGCCTTTGATGGCTCTGAAAATCTCCTTCTTGTACTCGGCAAGCTTCGCCTCGATGTCGTCCTCGCGCGACCTCTTTCGTTTGACCATCTTGGCGGGTTGTCCTCGGCGGGTTGTCCCAAACGAAAATCGTGTATATTCAAACGTATTGCCTATCGCGGGTGTAAGATTATGTGCGGGCAATCGTCAAACCTCAAATGTTGGATCACGACAAAAAAAAATGTGGTTCAGCGACCTTGCTAGTGAAGATCTAATCGATAATAGCGGAACGCCTGCCGAGAGCAGTACGCACTACGGGCCGTGTTCTGTACAATACGATTGGTCATAATTGATAGCTGCCAATGTTCAAGGATTTGATTGGCCACAGCTGTTCCTTCAGCGCTCATGGATGACGTTCCTTCTTGGAGGGGCACTCTAAGCACCCCGCCGTTGCAGATAGCCCGTGGACTTGTGCTATTACAAATGAGTCTATACATCAGACCGTATAAGTCTCGTGTCCCGCGATTAATTTTAAGCTAGAACAATTTGGCAAATCTCTGCACTTGGAAAATTCGCAAAGTGTAAAATGGCTGATAACAAGGAAGACCTCGCTGCTCTCGGAGCTGGCAACCTCTTTGGTGTCAAGGGCATGGTTGCCGTTATCACTGGTGGTGGCTCAGGTGAGTCAATCCGACGATTGCTTCATGGCTAGTTTGCCTACCTCTTAAAGTGCTGACAAGTGGCAGGAATCGGTCTCATGATGGCCAAGGCCTTGGCAGCCAATGGCGCCGAAAAGGTCTACATCCTCGGTCGGCGCAAGGAGGTCCTAGAAGAAGCCGCCTCATCTGTGGGATCCAGCCTCATCCCTCTGGTCTGCGATGTCAGTGACAAGGACAGTCTGAAGGAGGCAACCGCAGCCATCGAGAAGGAAGCCGGCTTCGTCAATCTCCTCGTCTGCAATGCTGGTGTCGGCGGACCCCAAGTCAAGGCCCCTACCCCCGAGACAACGGCTGAGGAATGGGCTGAGCAGCACCTTGCCCATGACATGGCCGACTACACGCGAGTTTTCGATATCAATGTCACCTCTGTGTGGTACACCGCCATGGCTTTCGTGAAGCTTCTTGACCTCGGTAACAAAAAGGGAAACCTATCACAAAGCTCTCAGGTCGTCTCGACAAGCTCCATTGCCGCCTTCAATAAGATCGCCCCCGGTGGCTGGGCGTACGGTCAGTCCAAGGCGGCCGCGACGTTGGTTATCAAGCAACTGTCAAGTAACCTGCCCCGTTGGAATATCAGAGCTAATTGCATTGCCCCTGGCTGTAAGTCTTCCTGCACCAACAATATGCAGATCCAGACTGACGCCCCTTCAGTATTCCCGAGCGAAATGTCGGCTCCCATTGCCAAGCTTTACGCCGAGGACGGCAGTGTCCCCAAGGAAATGGTGCCTCTTCAGAGGATGGGTGATTCGCAAGACATGGCTGGCGTCATGTTGTACCTTGCTTCGAGAGCTGGTGCGTATTGTAACGGTGCAGTGATTACCGTGGACGGGGGTAGACTTGGAAACTTCCCTACGACTTGGCATGCTTAGACACCCCATCATCTCCACGCGCGGTCCAGCTTGGAGCTTTGCCATGCGAATTCTGAGACAGCATCGCTGTTGAGCTGAGCTGGTTGTCTGTGCTGCTATTAGAGCGCTGTTCACTTATGCTTTTGAACGCTGCTCCGTGGCGCTATGTTGTAGGTAACAGAGGTGGGAATATTTATAGAATGTGAACCTGACAGCGAAGACCCACGAGTCGGTGAACATCGGTGAGAGTTGGAGTGGGGTGTGTCTCACCTGGACCCAGTTCCGGAAATACGCCGGCTAGCGTCGTCACCTCAAGAGCCCAGAAGCTAAGGAGAGGAGGGGAAGAGAAAGCGCAGAGAAGTCGGAAAAGAAGCCCAACCAGCATCCCCCACATTCTCTTCCCTGCCCTGTCCGGCTCATGCAAGTGGCCTAGCTTTCGGGCGCGCGACACCTTGTCTCTGCCCGCTTGCCCCAAGGCTCAAGCTGCGCGAAGCTCCGGCGTCGTCGCGATCCGAGTTCTGTGAGGTGCTCTGCCCTTTTTGTGCGACAAACATTTGTTGTTCTGTACCACTCGACTGCGACCTATTTATCGCCCATCCTCTGTCGTCGTTCCTTTTGTTCCCATTACTATGGTCATTTGGGCAAGGAAACGCAGACCAAAATGGACGGAGACTGGGACGAGGTAAGTCGAAGTCCGAGGCCACCCCTCAGCGCCCATTGCGACGCACCTTCGTCGCAGCTATGCGCTTTGCCTCACCTTGCGGTCAGCTTAGCTTGCGAAGCTCGCGCGTCGCCTCTGATAGCCATACCCTTGACTTACCGTTCTCATGATCGATAGGTTGCTCGCATCCCCTTTCCGCCTCCGGGCATCCACGCCGCAGCGACGCCCGTGTCGACCATGACCTTTGACACGGCTCAAGAGCTGCTGTGGACAGGAAACGACTATGTACGAGCCATTGGATCCGATTCCCACCGAGGGGAAAGACTGACAATGTTCTAGGGCCGCGTCACGTCGTTCTACCGCAGCGAGCTTCAACGCTATACGTCCTTCAAGGCTCATACCTCATCCGATGGCCCGGTTAGACAAATACTCGTCAACGACAAGGGCGTCGTGGTACTGGGATCCCGAGATATCCATATGGCTTCGCGGAAAGGCCCGCCGATATGGCATATAAGGTGCGGAAGCACAAACCCGAACCATTGGAAATCTGCCTGACATTAGAAACGCAGACACGATGATATGAAAGACTTACGATGCATGAGCTTTACGTCCAAAGGGACGTCTGAAATTCTGGTTGCCGGGTTCCAGGACACCATGTTTGTGATCGACCTCGCTAAGGGAGAGGTGGTCAAGCAGGTCCGTTTGATGGCGACAGTATGATGAGGACGCCTTGCTGATGAACCCAGGTTCCGACCGCGTACTCCTACAAAGTTATGAAAAAGAGCAGATATATCTGCGCTGCCACAGAAACCGGCACAGTCAACCTGATCGATGCGGCCAACTTCTCCGTCGTTAAGAGCTGGAACGCCCACTCCGCCTTGATCAGCGATATGGATGCTCAGCATGACTTCATCGTCACTTGCGGTTACTCGCTGCGACAGGGGCGAGATTACATGCTTGATCCATTCTTGAATGTGTTTGACATCAAGAAAATGTCGTCCATGTCGCCGATTCCGTTTCCTGCGGGGGCTGCCTTTGTCAGAATGCACCCAAGAATGTCGACGACTAGTATTGTCATGTCCACGAGCGGTCAAATGCACGTTGTTGACCTGATGAATCCGAACACTAGTAATGTGCGGCAAACAAACACAATGAACTACTTGACCATGTTCGAAATCGCCCCATCCGGCGAAGCCGTGGCTCTGGTAGATGCGGATCACAACATACACATCTGGGGTTCCCCTTCGAAACTCCGCTTCGTTGATTTCGCGTCGCAGACCGAGTTCGCAACTCCGGAAGAGCCTCTGCCTACGATAGAGTGGACTGCCGATACGTTAGTAACGCCTTTCTCTGCTTATTCTGTGACAAGTATCAGGATGACTGACCTATTCCTAGTCCTCTCAACTCTATTGGTATGCCGCATTATCGTGAGGCGTTGCTGTCCGCTTGGCCAGATCTTCTGTCCGATGTTGGGGCTCCTCCGACCAAGCTTGAACCACAATTTGTTGCGGGCCTCAAACAGTCCGAATTCGGTCAATACGGACGGAATACACGGGGTCTTCGAAGGAACCAAGTTGAGGATACTCGCAACTTGGACAGAGGAAACGCTTCGGGAATCCTTGCGCCAAAATTCCTCAGCGAAAAGGCTAGAGAGTTTGCTATGACTCCAGTTGGAAATGCAAGTGGCGACGAAAAGGTTGACGATGTTGCTCACTCCCTGATGCAAATGGAAATCGACCCCACCAAACAGGAGTGCCATCCGATGTACCGCAATGTTGAGATTAAGTACAGCAAGTTTGGTGTTGACGACTTTGACTTTGGGTATGTCAGTTCATTTTGCAGAAACGGGTTTGCTTGCTGACCTTGTCCAGATTCTACAACAGAACACAGTACTCTGGACTCGAGATCCATATCGCCAACTCCTACGCCAACTCTCTGCTGCAAGTCATGAACTTTACGCCTCTAATTCGAAACATGGCTCTCCAACACGCGGCCACTGCGTGTGTTGCCGATACTTGTCTGTTGTGCGAGTTGGGTTTCTTGTTCGACATGCTCCAGAAGGCCGAAGGTTCCATCTGTCAAGCGACCAACATGCTGAAGACTCTCAGCCACCACCCCCAAGGTCTGTGGTCCAAATGCTTGAGTTTGCAGCGAAGACTGACTGCTACGTAGCCCCATCTCTTGGACTCCTTGAAGAAGATCCACATGGCTCTACTTTGACGGTGATGCTGCAGGGACTGACGAGATTCCTTTTGGAAAAGATTGTCCAGGACTATCGTTCCATCCCGCCTGGCTCGAATATGATGGAGCAGGTTCGTTTAGGGCACGTTAGACAATGTTGCAATTAGCTGACCGTCTCTAGATACTCGCGACTTCCGCAACAAGTTCAATTAGGTGCATTAACTGCAGATCCGAGTATACTCGTCCTGGATCGACTTTTGTCAACGATCTGATGTACCCGCAACCAGCAGGGACAGGGGTAAGTCCAAGCTAGTGTGACTATTTTTCGTGTTCTTAAATCTTTGGTTGTCGTGATTCGCAGATGGCCAGCGTCGCCAACTCCTTCGCTCCTAGTTTTTGGCTGAGACATTTCCTTCCTGTTCAAACGCTAATTGCTCACAGAAGAACGCCAACCGGACTCAGAAAGCGTCGAAAGTGACATTTTCACAAATACTGAAGTCAAGTGTCGAAAGGGAAACAACGTCAAAGGGTTGGTGTAGTCGATGCCAGCGATATCAGACTATCGCAACTCGCAAGACCATTCACAATATCCCCGCCGTCTTCATGCTGAATACAGCAATCGGAAACTCGGAGCAAAGGCGTTATTGGTCGACACCTGGATTCCTCCCGGAAGAAATTGGCGTCATAGTAGACCACGGCCAATTCTTCTGTTACGAAGGAGAGGATCTGAAGCTCCACCTGCAGCGCGGTATCCACAACATAACTGTGTATTCGCTGGTGGGTATGGCCATGAACATCGACCCAGGTCCGGGTCAAAAACCTCATCTGGTTGCAATGGCCAACGGTATGTGATCCTTGCTGTTTGTAGAGTGACGATGCTGACAAAATAAAGTTGCCCATGCGCAGCCAACCGCCCCGGCTACTAGTCAATGGCATCTGTTCAATGACTTCCTAGTCCGGTCTGTGAGCACCGAAGAAGCCCTTTCGTTCCACCCGCCCTGGAAGACGCCTTCGGTAATCGCTTTTCAAGTTAAGGAGGCAAACAACAAGATCGATATGGACTGGAAGAAGAACATTGATACCTCTCTTCTCTACGAGGATAACAAGTTGGTTCCCTTATCGAAAGTGCTGTTATAGGTGGCTTGCTGACCCATTAAGCCCTCACAATGATGGAAAGACATATCGAGCGCTCGATTCGGCGAGTGAAAGGCCCGGACCGGAGAGCATCGTCGCTTTAGACACAGAGTTCGTCGCCGTCCGTCAGCCTGAAATCGAGATGAACTCCGACGGCGAAAGAGAGACGATTCGGCCAATCGTGTACGCCCTCGCAAGAGCCTCCGTCGTTCGCGGACAAGGAGAAGACGAAGGCCTACCGTTCATCGACGACTATATCTCGATTAGAGAACCCATTGTTGATTACCTGACATCATACTCGGGTATTACTCACGATGATCTGGATCCCCGCATTTCCAAGCACAATCTCGTGCCCCTGAAGGTTGCCTACAAGAAACTTTGGATTTTGCTGAACCTGGGCTGCAAGTTCCTCGGTCACGGCCTCAAGCAGGATTTCAGAGTGATCAACATCCACATACCGAAGTCCCAAGTCATCGACACGATCGATCTGTTCTTCTTGAAATCTCGCCTGCGGAAGCTCTCGCTGGCTTTCTTGGCGTGGTACTTGCTGAAAGAAGATATCCAGCTAGAGACTCACGACTCGATCGAGGATGCCCGGACAGCATTGAAGCTATATCGAAAGTATTTGGAGTTCGAGGATGCTGGTATCCTGGAACCGATGCTTCAGGATATCTATCGGGGCGGACGGGACGTCAACTTCCGGCCGCCTGCTAGGAGCGGACAGGCCGCTGATGTCCAAAGGACAGATACGCCTCCTCCCCTACCCAAAGAGGCTCCTACTACACCGGGCGCTCCGGGAGCTGGGACTTCGGCGAGTGGCGGTTTCGGGGCGGGCTCGACATGGACACCGGGTAAGGGCTCGCCGCTTCGATGAGGTGGTTGACACAACGCCGGGGACTCGTTGGTGGTAGAGTTCAGACGATGCTTCTTTCAGTTGAGTTAGAGAGTAGTATCAATATAACAGCAGGTCTTCTTACTCGTCGATAATCTTCCCGTTGATTGTGCTTCTCGTCCAATATGGCGGTGTTTTGTTCCTATTCGTCAGGCTAGTGCCACAAAAGATCGTTCATCGATCCCAGGTGATGGCCCATCGTTTACAAAGAATCGAGGACCAATCTTACAAAGTTTGAAGCCAGGGGAGCTACGCGCTGTGCCATGAGGAGGTGGGTGGCAGGCTCGACTTGAATGCTGGGGAAGGCGTCGCCGCTACAATGAGCAACTGCGATGTCGCGGCGCAAGGAAATGAGCTCAAATTACATCACAAGGAAGCAGGCAGTCTCAAGAGTACTTTGCGATAAATTTAGTATGCATCTTGGTGCGCGCTGCGATATCCCGCGATGATCTATCCCGACGAAGGATGGCATCCCCTGGCCCAAAGCGACCTATTCCCTCGGCCACCTCAACCGCATGGCATTGCGCGAGCATTCTCAGCCATCAAAATGATCTTCTCGACCTGATACATCTTTTGAAACTATATTTACGACGGCAACTCGTCTGCGCGGCGAGCATTCGATGCCAGAAGCCAGAAATCAACGATTCTCGGCCAGCCCACGACGTTCCTCGACTTACAACCGCCAATTACACCCTCGACGCGGTATTCCTCGCCACAACACACCTATCTCACCGGGAAAATTCGCACATAGGTTCAGATAGACATAATAAACATAATGGTACGGTTTTCATCTCTTCATATTGGGTTGCGCCTCCGTCATCCCATCTGTTGTACGATTTTCCTTCCATCTGGATGTCCAGACGCGCCACCCCGATTAGGCCTAGCGGTCACTCAAGATCGTGCGCTACACCGCATTAGGCCTAGACTTCAGCCCTACAAGTGTACTTTGCCCCCACCCCCTCGGGGGGTGAATTATTTCAGCCAATGAGGTGTTACTGATCTGGGCGCACCGTCCATCTACTTGTACCCTTCCTCCTCGAACCGCCCCCAATCTTCCTTCTTCCTTTCCCCTCTTCACGGTTTGATCGTCTGATGCTCTAGCTTGCTTGCTCTAGCTTGCTACGATGTCTTCTCTCTGCTTCTCCCCTGCTTCGGCTGCAGCCCGCCCGTCTGAGACCGGTCCGCAGTCCAGGGTTCAAGTCCCTGCCCCCGTCAACGCCAGCACCCTCGTGGCCTCGCTCGGTTCCTTCCTCCGCCGTGTCCCCCGCCTCCTCGCAGCCGCCGTCACAAGCGCTGTCCGCCCGATCCTGTAAGTCATCTCATCGTTCTCTCTACATCTTGAGTCTCAATGGGCCTTTTAGCTTCATGATAGCTAACCAGTCTTCTCTAGCCGGTACATCGGTACCCCGACACCCCCCGCGATGCTTGCCTGTAGCTCGTCTCCTCGTCAGCCCCAGACTGGAGCTACTCGGCCCTCGATCACGGTGTCGTCCTCTCTTGGTAAGTCCCCTTCTGGGGGCTTTTGTTCTCTGTTTACGCAGCCCGTCGTGCACGTTTGCACTCCTCCTCCCCGTGGCGATCCGCATGGTTGGACCCTGAGTATGTCCCATTACTTAGGGCCGGAATCCCGGATCAGTCCTTCGGTCGGTTCTCCTTCGCCTTCGGTTGCTTCTGCGGTTTCGGCTCCTGTTGGACGTGTCTGCACTCCTCCCGGTCGATCCCCGCATGGCTTCACTCTGACGATGGCCCATTACTTGGCTCCAGAGTCCAGGGTCAGTCCTCTGCCTTTGGTTGGTTCCCCGTCTTTGGATAGGTCTTCCTTGCCTTCGGTTGGATCTATGGTTACGGCGCCTGTTGGTCCTGTTTGCACCCCTCCCCGTTTGTCCCCGCGTGCCTTTACTCTCAGTATGTCCCATTACTTTGAGTCGGTTCCCCGGATTAGTCCTTCATCTTCGGTACGCTCTGCTTCTTCTGGTTCTTCAGGATCTGGTTCGGTTTCCGTTTCCAACCTGGAGGATCCTTTTGTGGACGCCTCTGCCCCTGATCTGGATTCACCAATCCATCCTTTGGTTTCGCCCGTTCCTCGTCCTAACTTTGAACAGTTGATGGCCCTTGCCGACTGGCAGATTGATCAGGCCCGCGCCTACACTGCCACTTACACCGCTAAGCGTCAAGCTGCGTCCGTCGCTGTTCCCGCTCCCAGGATCCCGGAGCCAAGGACCCCAGAGCCGAGGACCCCAGAGTCGAGGATCCTGAAGCCCGAGAACCTGGAGCCCCCGACGCTTTCTCCCATGACTTGCTCGCCTTCCGCGGATGCCTCTCCTGAGGAATCTGGCTCGCTGTTCCGTGACCCGGTTGGACCGCCTTGTACCCCGCCGCCGTGTACTCCTCCTCCTCGTGAGATGGATACTCTCGACCGCAGCGTTGAACGGCAACGGATCCGGGCCCGCGAGCTCAGCGCAGAGGCCAAGGCCAAGTTTGCGCAGATCCGGTCTCTCCTGGTGCACTGGCCTGCTCCCAAGCCGCGGTACGCGCCCTCTTACGACTATAGCACGGACTCGCCTACGCCGCACACCATTTCGAACTGGGACTCGACCCTGGAAGAGGATCGGATTTCGGAATACTCCTGGACCCAAGGCGCCTTCCCTGTCGTCTCTCCTCAGCCCCCTGGGGCTCTGGCAGAGTGGGATTCGCCGGCCGCTTGTCCTGGATACTCTGGGTCTCCTGTCGCATCTTCCTCTGGTTCCGTTGGCTCAGCTGGTTCCGCTGGCTCATCTGGTTCCCCTGGATCATCTGGATCTTCTGGATCTTCTGGATCGTCTGGTTCTTCCGGCACTCATGGTTCCTCTGGTTCCACTGGCTTCTCTGGATCTGGTGGCTCTTTTGGATACTGTGCGTTTCCCGGGTCTACTGGATCTTTCGGAACCTCCAGCTTTTTTGGGTCTCCCGGATGCCCTGGTTCCCTCGAGGAGTCTGGACCCATCTCTTCCTTGCTAGAGCTTTATGGTCCCCTGTCGCCTGCGCCTAGTCCTATGCCTGTTCCTGTGCCCGCTCCCGAGTCTGAGTTTGACCTGGTCACGACCAAGATCAAGGGTGCCAAGGGAATCACCCTCAGTATCACCCGCCGAGTTCCTCGGGTTAGGTATTGAGCCATAGGTCCTTTCTGGCTCCTGGTTCCTGGTTTCCGTTCTGGTCTTGGTTTGGTTTGTCGTTTTTGCTTCTTCCCTTTTGGCTCTTGGAGCCGTTGAGGGATCTTGTTTTGTGCTTTGTTCTGCTTTCTGTTTTTGCTCTCTCCCCCACTCTCGTTTGCCCCCCCTTTTTGGTCAGCTAACTGTGATAGGTCCCCCGTCCGGGAGGGTCATTGTACTCCCGCTCTCATGATCTCACTTTCTATCTATCTATCTATCTATCTATCTGCTATCTATCTCAATATGCCTGCTACATAGAACATGCTAATAATATCTGTAAGTCCTCCCTAACCCCAAACTGTATCAGCCGACTAACTTTGAGTACACAATAACAGATCCAAACACCAAATCCGGTAACCTGGTAAGCTATTATTTCTCCTCTTCCACCATTAGCTTCAACTGATTTCCCTTCATTGGCACACTGCCGTACTGATCAGCATAGTAAGCCTTTGATCCTTCTCTGTTCCTATGAGCTTTGACTAACTCCTAACAATATTCTACAGGTACCATCGGACTCGTCCAAATGAAGTCGGACAACATGGTAAGTCATTCATTCCTTTCTATTTCTGTAACGGTGACTAATTTCCAGTAGACTCCGACACCTTTCGCGGTATGAGCCAAACACATAATGTAAGCACACCCCTTTTCACCACTTCTTAACATCGTTGGCTAATGCAATCGACATATCCATCATCAGGGATTGTCTTCACTCACCATAATTTCACTGTACTTGACTCCGGGACTTTGAAATTCTTGTGTACTTACCAAGGTATGTGATAGATCCTCCGCCGGCTGCTCTTACCTCTCCTCTGCCTGTCCCTGCTGCACTGTCCCATCCAAGCTACTCTCGTGACACGTTCTAGCCAGACCTTTAAGTGCAACTTGATGTTTGAAATTACAGAGATCACCACAATCCATGACTATGCCTTTCGGTAACAACACTAGGTCTGCCTGTCCTCCCTGGACCTTGAAGTATGAAGTAAGGCTACGGACATCGGGCTTCATTCGTGACTATGCAGTGGCGCTGGCCTCGAGTGCAAACAAATTCTGAATCATTTTGCTATCGACTAGAGATGTTCTTCTCGACAGCCCTGCGAGCTGCTTCTGTCGGATTGCATCGTCGGCGCCATTATGACCTCCGATCTTGTCGTAGAATCACGGTGTGACCAGTGCTCTACGCGCCGTCATAGCCGACGGCGGATAATAGCGAGGTCCATGCTACATGTAGACACGCCATTTTAGTGGGATCTAGTGTCTATGATGGCGTGGAATCGAGCGAGTCCAAGATGAGATACGTTGCTACTGGTGCTCATTACCTGGCAGGCTTTCCGGTTCACTGGCTTCAGGTTGCGAAGAAGTAAGCCGGTGATTGCAAGATGATATCTCGGCCCGCTCGTTCTCCAGTCTTCCATGACGTGTAGCCTGCCCTTGGACTTTTCGAGACAGAGATTGCGTATTGCGGGTTATGGAGTCCCCCGTGTTCGTTGTGTTAGAGCCTCGGGGAACAAATCTCACTCCGGTTTCCAGGCCAGCCATGTGGCAATTTGGATAGACATGGTGCGGTATCTACGTTGAGCATGTGAGCGTGCAAAGATGACGTCCCAATCCATCGATCGTCGTGAACTGTAGCGCCATGTTGCGTCTCTTTGATTGGATTTCGTTTTCCTTGAACGACGAGCTACATGTAGGCATGCCTAGTACTTGGGATACTTTAAATAGTCCTTGGGACCAGCTCTGCACCGTTCATACATACGTCCCATGCCAAAAGATTACATGATCAAGATAGCTACTCTGTGTGACTTAAGTTGTTCTGTTGAAACACAGTGCTGTAAGTGATGCAGTGCCTGGCACTTTACTCTTGAGAAAATGTGGAAAATCACACGTACAACAATCCCGAAATTACCCAAATCAGAGCAGTACAGTCAAATAGGTAGAGTCAAAGATATGATGTTGTAAGAAAAGCATATCATCGACCTTGGTCATCAAATGTTGTCATAAAGTCTAATCGACACTTTGCCGAGCCAAGCTGCCGTAGTACAGAAAAGCCTCAACATGAACATGGCCATCCCGGGCTGCCTCCCAATCGAAGGAAGCAGTGAGCAGCGAGCCGCAAGAAGCGATGGCATCACAACATAGCCGAGCCATGAACCGTGAATGATGAGGCCCGGGGGCTAGGCTATGTTCTATTTCACATTTGAGGCCCCCCACTTCCCTTTCCGGGTCTGGAAAAGCCCGCATCTCTCGAGGACCTAGATTATGGATGGGCTTCTAGAGCCTCAAGCCGAGATGGTGAGGATGAGCGAGGGTTTTCGGCTTAAGGTACGGGAGCGGCCGGGTTGTGACGGGTGTGGGGGTCCATCTATTGGGTGAGACGGTGAGCACGACAGGCACCATGGTGACTGGTCTAAGTAGAGTAGCAAACAAGGGAGAGACGAAGTCCAGGTTGGGTTCGATTGGCGATGCCTGAGCTGGGCGCCAGCGTGTCATCCCACGTTTCCAAGAAGCTGATTTGCCAGGGGGTTAGTTGACGATACTGTGATTCCATGAATGTGAGCTCTGCGATAACCGAGCTGAAGTGCCACCCCGGCTTCTCAGGGTCGAGTAGCCGGAAAACGGAACATCTCTTTTGGAACGTTTTGAGCTATTGGCGTATGGATACGTAGTGCGGCTCATCAAACATGCAGTTCAATCATGTCAAACCAGGGGTCCGAGACAGGTTGTGTACGAATAGACAAGCAAGCGGTCAGCAGTATCGGAACTACGCCCGGTGGATGGGTCCTATCGTGCATCCCATCCTCCTTCTTCTTGGGTTTGGCGTTTCCGGACCGGGGATCGTGAGCTCGGATTCACTCGGGACGAATTCCGGCAAGTGGAAGGAGTCGCTGGTAACGAGCAGAGAGGAACTGAGAGAGTGGGATAGGTTTGTTTTTCCACCAGTGCCGTGGCGGGTTACCGAGCTTTCGGGAATAACACCAGGATGGCGCACGGGCGTCTGGAAGCCAAATTAGACCCTGGAAGACCAAGGATACGCAAGTGAGGATGTGAAGCTATCTCGCGTCTTCGCTTTTACGGCGAAAATGTTGAAGACGCCGATATGAGCAAAGAGAGAGGCTTTTTTTGCGTTGTTTTCTTGCCAACAATGCAATCTGATTCGTGTTTGTTCTAGGGGATCTTCCCTCATGTCTTGAACCGCGACTTTCCGTTGCGGCATCGGCACATTTCGATTAACGTTGTTGGACAGCCATAGCCGAATGATCGTGGATGGACACGATAGGCAGGATAGAGTTTGGAGGTTCTGCCAGCTTGCAAGGGATGGCTGGCCCAAGGCGTTGGCATGGCTGCGTCGTCCGTATCGTCCGGCGGTTGAGGGCCGAGGGTGGCTCGCCGACGCGGACGATCCCGCTTCGTTGGGACCAGATTGGATGCTGCAGGGCTGCGGTGGCTCAACAGCTTCACATGTCTTCAACTCGAGCTCGAGCAGATAGATGTGGGAGATGATACGGGAATAAGGCCTTTGGGGTCGAAGCAGCCTAGCAGAGTTAGCACTCACTACCCTAAGCTGAGTGCCTGACCGCCAAAGAGACAACAAGTCCAATGTTTGAGCGAGCTCAATGGTTCCCAATTCCAACAAGATGCCTCTCGGTGAGACATGGCGGGCTGAATGGGAATCGGCGTGACCCCAACGGACGGATCCAACGGGGCTCAGGGCATTTGGGCCTCATTTCGGTGAGGCAAGGTGAGTCGAGGGGCAGTGGCTGAGGTGTGAGACCAATCATGTTGCTCGACCAAGCTGTGACGAAATTAGACGATCTGAGTGGATAGCTGTGGTGCATAAGATACGGGGGCAGCATATCCGTATCCGTACTCCGTAGAGGCTATTCGAGGTCAGCCAGTCCTGAGAGCTGGAATCAAAATCATTCGCGGGACAGCTCTCTCCTCGCACGAGAATCCCGGCGCCAAAAGCGCTTGTTTGGCGAGCACAGGGGAGCGAAACCAGCTACGTCACCCAAGGTGCCTGTCTGTCTCCCGGGGGAAGAACCCCACTTGCTTCCTTTCCTGGAAGTAAGGTAAACCATATGGCAAGAGAGAATAAGGTGACATAAAGGAAACCACGACTGTATGGTCTTGACCAGAATTGAGAACGTGATACGGCAGCCTGTAAAGCCAACCAGGTCAAAATGAAAATTGGCAAGTACTGTAGGTATAGGCGTACCTTTTACTTATAACTAAGGGATTATTTAATTGGCTATTATAAGGAAGTATATTATATAAGCGCCTACCGCTTTATCGTTCTACTTAAAATATAGTATTACAATTAACTATTTAACGCTTATTTTATATACTTAAAATATTTAATAAAAATTCTAAAACTTATACTTGATTAGTACTATAAGAGCTACGTACTTAAGAAGTTACATGGTAGTAAGAGGCTCAATGTTACGCCCGCCGCAACTTGTCACTGTAAGCGCGTAGCCACATAACGCAGAACAAGGGAAAATGATACGGAGTCATCATTATCGAAGCTTTTGCTTTGTGCCACAGTTGGTTGCCTTGACCTGCTCGTAACACTCAACCGAAGTACGTATCTACTCAGATACAACGCTTTGTACGCACGTACAGCCCGAACGTAAATACGCTTTACACATATATGTTAAAGCGCTGACAGGCACATATGCCCGTATAAACTTAATGCTCGGACTTAAGCATCACATGCGATTACATATAATTACATGTGATTACATGTGATTACATGTGATTATATATGATTACATGTGATATTTATATTATATATGGACTAGTTATACTTTCCTATCATATCATAGAATAATCATCAATACAATCGATTCTCTAATCATCTCAACTCGTATCTCAACTTATTTACCTTTTCCCTCTTTGCCTACCTCTAACCTCTTAGTTAATATATAATATGCTTACTTAATATGAATAATAATGCAAATAATAAGCTAAAATATTTATTTTTTTAATAAAATATTAATTATTATAAGAAATTTAAATATTAAGGTAATTATTAAAAGAGGCCCGTACTTAACCTTTTAATTAATTAGAGCCCATAGACTGGCTACGATTAATAATATCTCTACTATTAATTTTGTACCTACCGTTATTTTAGTAGAAAAATCCATTTTGACCTGGTTGGCTCTGTAGGCTGCCGTAACGTGACTGCTTGGTCTGGCCGTTTGAAGATGCCCGAGCAGGAGTTCATCAAGTGACCCAAGCTCTTATCGATACCCAGCACGTGTGCAATTACATAAGCGAGAGCTAGAGTGGATCAGCATGGTCATTGAACGTAGGAAGGCCAGTGCTTGTACACTACCCCGCATTCCTGCAGCAGGTGGCAGCAAGCAGTTCGCAGGCCAGTCCCAGACGAGAACAGCGCTCTCTTGCAAGCTGCAAATCCATCCCATCTGCCAGACGTCTTTATGCCCTTTTTTTTTTTTTTTTTTTTTTTTTTTGAATTCACTGCTCGATGCGATGGCGAGTGACCTTTACCCCAACTTTGAACAAGTACCTCGACTAAATGCAACGGCTTCATCGGCATCGTCGGGGCTTTCTCGTCTGCCCTCGGGAGGACGAAGGGAAAGCCAAACGAGCAGCCAAGGAAGCAAGGGATCTGTGTCGTCTATTGTCTTGATGCTGAAATGAAATGAATGGATACCAAAAACAGGGAACGGTATCAAACATAGTACACCACAGGAATCAGAACACGGCTACGAAACGCATGGCAAGCCGTTCAAATCCCATTTGGCTTGTTTCTTTCGCCGCTTCCATTCTCCACAAGAGCAATCGCCTCGGCCGCCACGCGCTGCATCATTTGCACGCCATCTATCAGCCATCTCTATTACCCTTGTCCGTGTTGACGCGGAGCAATCCAAGCCATCTAGAGAGGAACAACCAGCCTTCTCCGTCTCTGTTTGAGCACTCGGACATGGCTGTTGCTATCAATTTCACCTCACTCACACCGGCAAACCCCTGCCAGCCTGGTAACCCGAGGTCAGCCAACGATCGACACCCGTTTCATTGCTGTCGTGCCGTTATCCAAGCCCAGTCGAAGCCAGGCACTGTCTCACCCAGTCTTTGCCGCCGATGGATATTACTCTGTGCAAGCAAGGCCAGGCATGTCACAACTCGCAGACAGACACGGTCCAAGAACACTCGACTGCGCAAGGGGTTGCATTCTCCCACGGCGCAAACATAGCCGCCGCCTACCTTGAGCAGCTCGCTGTCGCAGTCGTTCGTCCCGCTCCAATCTGTTCAGATTGTCTGGAGATTTCCTCCCCTGATGGCGCCCATGGTGACGTTTTCCATGCCGTACCTCAACGTTCCCCTCTGCACCAAACATCCACCGATGTGCACGTCGTCCCGATGCCTCCATTCAGATTGCTCAGCTTCACAAGTTCCTGCAAGCACAAGGCAGGTCGCAGGATGTTCCCGAGATTCGAGCGATTCCCCAGGTATCCATCCATTCCACCCTGTAACCCGTCCCATCCTTCCATCCATCCACCCATCCATCTACAACTACACAGTACCTGGACAAGAACGGGCCAGCCACGCCCCCTCATTGCCTTCGACACGCTGATGGATGAGGTGTGCCGAAACCATTTAACCCCGCATCAGGACGGCACCAGACAGACGCGACAGACAATGCGCCTGGCTTCGCAACCACGGCCTCCCGTTAGTGAAATCCCCAAATCCTCATTGGCGCGTTACCTTCCCCAGCCAGGGACAACGCCGCTTGGATGGGAGGGTGGGAAGCTTTTTAGTCGTCCTTCTCGTCTTTGGGGCTTGGGGGGGCTGGCATGTCTCTCTCTCTCTCTCTCTCTCTCTCTCTGCTGGCTAATACGTCGTAGTCCAATGGTCGACTGACCGACCGACCGAACCGACTGTGACCCTGTGTGAGAACTGGCATACCGACAATGCCTTCGATGTACTGTGTCGGAAGGTACTTGTCTGGTCATCAACACCAAGTATCTCTCCTCCATGTCGTCTCGGACACCAGGATCAGCCAAGGTAGTATGTGGCACAAGGCATGTGTCTCTCTCATAAATATATCGACACCACTGCCTCGACTCCGCACGAGATGCCCATCTCTCACACCATCCATACTTTTTGTCTGTTCCGTACCAAGGTACTGCAATCATCGTCCTCGTCCATCCGTCCCGTTTGAGACGCAAAAGCTACATCTCGATCAAATTGGAAGCCTCGGTCCTCCTCCAAAAACACACACAGAAGCAAGGCTACTGCTGGAACTGATCAACGGCTTCCAATCCGCCTTCCTCTACTAGCCCAGCTGGGAGCAGCTACTGCCGAACCTTGATCGTCCCGAGAAGCACCTGACATCTTGAACCAAGCTACCGTCAACTCCCGAAGGAGCCATCCACGAGCAGAGAAGGAATTACTTGGTCTCGTCTCTACCGGCCCCCGCATCTTCACAAGCTTTGTGACTACCATACCATACCATTTACCTCTCTCACCGCAACTTGCTTATTTGCTTGCTTGTCCGGCTCATCTTTCTCTCGACTTTGGCTCTCTCTCTCTCCTCTGACCCCTCCAAAGCAAGCCATAAACCCAACCCCGCCCTGCTCTCCTCTTATTACAGCTTCAACGTTTCCCCAACGGCACGCGACCTCGAATCAAACATTGGTCTTTGTGCAGAGTCATTGCAACGCTTATTCGGCACTCTTAAAACCCTGTACCGACCGAAAGACGTCAAATCTTTAGCCGTAACGATAACCCATCCAACAAGACATCTCTTCTTCGTGTAAGTCAAAACGTTCGAGCCAACGTCTGTCCCTCTCAATGTGTCTCGAAAGCTTTCATTGGGGACGCGAGGCGTTCAACAAGGGCGTTCGAGCTAATCCCATCTCTCTTCTCCCATCCCCTCAACCCCATCCCCTCAACCCCACCCCCGCTGCGGCTTTGCTCTATGCAGTCGACCCGGCATTCCTCTACCAATCTACCCTACCTGGCTTTGCATAGTGTGCAAGTCCGAGACCCTTGTACATCTCCAGCCTGGAGCTCTACTAGCTCCAGCTCCAGCTCCAGCTCCAGTTCCAGCCAAAGTCGGCATCTTTCACTTGCGATCCACCTCATTCCGCCTTACACCAAGTCCACCATGCGTCTTACACTCCTCCGTCACTGGTCCAAATTATCTCCGGCCTAGTGCGGAACCCTACCCTTGACACTCACCGTCGTTTGAACCTCTCTTCCACTTACATGGGAAGCGGAACACCTTAACCACGGCTGCATCCACCCGGAGCTACCCCCCGTCCCTATCTTTTCCGATGACATACCCCCGCCCCCACCGCCTCACCATCCAGGCCGATGAGACCCGGGACCGTCACCTCGGTCACTGCCTCTAGTTCTGCCGGATGCCCAGCCCTTGTCTCGTTCTGCATCTACACCTACGCACTTGCACTACACCACTCATCTGCATACCCTGTCCAACGTGCGCCCGTTTCTGCATGTGGGACTTGCCATAGCCCAAATGTGGAATTGCGTCTTTGCGTCCGTCTCATGCTTTTGTTGGACCCCCACCGGATCTGGTTCTCCTTCGAACTGACCGGGGGTTGTGTCTTACCATTGGTATTTTGACAGGCACGGAAGAATGAGGGAGCTCTCTCTCTCATGCTATAAAGCTACCTGTGAAACCTCTTGGATCGAACGTTGGCTAACTAGTGTGCTCTCTCCTCCTCTTCGACAGCTTCCCTACCTCTCAATCTAGTCTCTTCGACTGTCTATCTACCCGAAGCGACTATCATACTCGACGACCTCTCCAACCTACTCCGAGTTGGAATTGTAGCATACTGTGATTCAGTCCTACCTATACACCCAACATCATGAGCTCTTCATCTATCAAGCAGGCAGCTGAGGCCGCACGAACTCGCACTTCAGAAGTTCTGAAGGGAGATGGTGCTGCCGTCGCTAATGACTTCCTCCACACTCCTATCATGAGGGCAGCGCTGCCCTTCATCAATGGCGGTATCAGCGGCATGGTAGCCACCTCTGTCATTCAACCCGTCGACATGATCAAGGTCCGCATCCAGCTCGCAGGCGAGGGTGTTGCCGGAGGACCCAAGCCCACACCATTGTCAGTCACCAGAGAAATTCTTGCCAGCGGAAAGGCCCTCGATCTCTACACCGGTCTGTCGGCCGGTCTCCTGCGCCAAGCTGTCTACACAACGGCCCGCTTGGGCTTATTTGACACCTTCATGGGCAAGCTCGGCCAACGGGCTAAGGAACAAGGAAACGCGATTGGCTTCAAGGAACGTGCCACCGCAGGTCTCGCAGCTGGAGGTCTCGCCGCCATGATTGGAAATCCTGCCGACCTTGCTCTCATCCGCATGCAGAGTGACGGACTGAAGCCCCTGGCCGAGCGCAAGAACTACAAGAGTGTCATCGACGCTCTCTCAAGCATTGCAAAGTCTGAAGGTGTCGCCGCTCTCTGGGCCGGTGCCGCCCCCACGGTTGTCCGTGCCATGGCCCTCAACTTTGGTCAGCTCGCCTTCTTCAGCGAGGCCAAGGTGCAGCTCAAGGAAAACACGCAGCTGTCCTCTCAAGTACAGACTCTCACCGCCAGCGCTATTGCCGGATTCTTCGCCAGTTTCTTCTCTCTGCCCTTCGACTTCGTCAAGACCCGTCTACAGAAGCAGTCCAAGGGTCCCGATGGCAAGCTTCCGTACAAGTCAATGGCCGACTGCTTCGCAAAGGTGGCTAAGCAGGAGGGCGTGATGCGCTTCTACCGCGGTTTCGGTACTTACTACGTCCGCATTGCTCCCCATGCGTAAGTGGACCATCTCAACCCCGTATGCCCGTGTTTTAGGTACCTTGTTTGTATGCTAACAATAGTGCGTTTCCAACAGAATGGTAACACTCATCGTTGCCGACTACCTTGGCCTCATCACCAAATAGACGGATTACGAGCAGCACGAACACGACTCTCATTCAACCACTGGCGCCCTCAAGTCGTCTCGGATACTTCTTCCGGTCGGAGTGCAGGAGTGCAGCAGAGCAAGCCCCCCCCCCCCCAACCCCGAACCAATTGGACATCGCATTCATTTGATTAGTCATTCCTCATGACCCGGCACTCTCGGTGTTATTGCAAGTTGGGGTTTCCAGGAGGTAAATAGTATTGCGTTTTGGGTTTATATCAATTTCTTGGACAGGGACACAAGACGAAGGAGAGGCATACAGACAGACGTACATAGCTCCGTCCGGCCGTTGTAAGGGCATTGACGGGTGTATGACCCCCCACGCTTTTAGGGGAATCGAATAAAGAAGAATTTCAGCCATACCTGACTGCATGTCTCTTGTGAATCTGTATGTGTGTGCCTGCGCATGTGAAACCTTTTTCTTTTTTTGGGAGCGGGTGGGGGTGAGGTCTGGTGGTGGTGGTGCTTGTGTGTTCCTCAACAGTGTCCATGTGAGCCACTGGCATGCTTTTGGTGAGATTTTGGTCTGAGCGGATCATTCAGTAGGTTGGTTTTATCTGAGCCAATCTACTAGACAAGGTGCTAAGAGAGACCTTTTAGCTGAGTCCCAATAGAGGCTGAGCCGCTGAGGTGTGCAGATTGTGTTATCTCTGGACCATGTGGTTTCACCGAGCTCACCGGTTGAGGTGTGTATATGTAGGTACATAAAGCATGTATGTATGTGGCTGGCCCCAACTCAACGCTCATGTCTGGGACATAGCCATTCATGTATGGCCGTTGAAGGATGCAAGTCAATCACAAATTAAAGGGTTCGGTTGAACCCTGAATGGAAGCCAAGGGGGAGGAACAAAATGTCTTTTGAAAATCAAAGCTTGGTGAATTATTAGGTCTTTGTATGTATGTGTATACCGCCATTCCCATGATTTCCATTTCGCCTGTTCCCTTTTTTCTCTTTTCCGCAAAGAAGGGAACTGATTTGCAGCGAACCTGATGCTTTTCAATGAAGCCACACCCCATCACAAATCCCCCCAACCCATGGTCCTGTCCAGGCCCCGTTGAAGACCGTTTGTAGTACGCCTTTGTCCGTTGTTAAAACACGCAACCCTCCTTCTCGTTTCCAATCGCTAGCCGCCTGCTTATCAACAATGGGAGGAATGGCCTGTTGGCCGGTCTGTTGACTTCCTCAATGTTCACGAGTCGGTCGGGATGAGATCCATATCCGCGTAGTCAGCCTGGTCAACCTACTCCTGGCTGGCGCTAAGGTCCGGATTCTTCTCCCACAGGTTGCGGAGGATCGCCGTGATACCCTCGTCTTCCTCTCCGCCCACTAGACTCGACCCACTGAGGCCCTGGACGCCCGTTCCCTCGTGCAAGGCCCGGCTGCTCTGATGGTCGTCGCCGTCGGCCTCGTAGCTAGATCCGGCCCCGTTGGTCCGGATAGAATAAGCGCGCGGGGTGACGGGTCTCCGAGTAGAGCCGGTGCCGCCCGATGCCGCAGCCAGAGCCGCCTCGTTCAAGCTCGAGTTGCGCATATGTTGCCCTCCCGGAGTGACGCCTCCCCGCACCGACGCAGCTTTGCCGTTGCCATTGGCGTTCCCGTTGCGCGGTATCCGCTGAGTCTTGTTCGCGCGGTTGACCTGCGCAAGGCGATCGAGCGAACGCACCACGGGGTTCTGGAAACGGCGGACGCTGAGATACTCCATCCCTGTCCGTTCCAGCTGCTTCGCGACGCGTGGGTCGCGGCTCGCGCCGCCATCGTAGCCAGGCCCGCCAATGCCGACCAGGGGACTCGCGCCCACTGCGCCCACGCCTCCTCCCACCGCCTGACCTGGCTCAATGACGGAGCTGGCGCGCTGCAGGTTGAGCTTCTGCTGCGTTCGCGACTTCTCGGCCGGCTGGGCGGAGCGCCTAGCTGACCGCGGCGCAAGCGCTGTACCGTCGGTGTCGCGGCCTTTGCGAGTCTCGAGAGCACTGTCGCCATCTTCATCGTCTGACAATGGCAGATCGCGGTGTCTTCCTTGGCGTCCGGATCCCGAGGACTGCGGCCGCCCTCGAGGGGGGTTTTCCTCCGACCGCAAGCTCGCCGGGCCAGGGGTTGGAAGCTGGTAGAAAGATCCTTCGCGCGCTGCGCCGGAGCTTCCCGCATTGACGAACCTCGAAATAAGCTCGTCGCCGGCGCTACCCGGTAAGGTGCTGACATTGTGGGAGTCGCCTAGGGTCGAGCCGCGGCCGATGGAATCGGGGGATGAGGAGTTGCCCCGCCGCGAGACGGACACTGTGTCTGCCGTCATCTTGGGAGGTGCGCCGTGGGAAGGGGTGCGTTGAAGTAATCTCGAGGTCAGATAGGCCTTGTGCTGTACGGTCTCGCGATCGGGTGTCGCTGGGACTAGAGGTGATGATTGCACCGCGGGAGTTTCTGCTCTGGAGTTATTCGCGGAGTTGCTGGCAGAGTTATTTGCGCTGCTGCTGCCGTCGTCGGGCTTCGCAGAAGCTTGTGTACTGGCTAGCGACCCTCGTCTTGATAGGTATGGTGAAGCGGATGTGCTGGCGTCAACCCATTCGTCGTCTTGGCCGTCGTTACCCAAGTCAAAGTGTACCTGTGACTTTTGCGACTTGACCTTGTTCACGGCTGGATTCGAGCTGGTTCTCTTGAGTTTCTCCACCGATTTGATCTTTGCGGGCTTATTGACTTCGCCGTGGGATTTATTCCGCCGTAAGCTCGTGGCGGAGGCGGTTTTGCTGAGGTTGGCAGAGGAGCTGTCGTGGGAAAGCTTCGCCTCGGATTGGACTCGGCGATGGCCAGCTGCGGAGGCGCGATTTCGATCGGGCGAAGGGGATGCTTGTCGGCGATTATTGTTCAGTTTTGAGGCAGTCGAGCCATGGTGTTTGTGTAATGCTTTGGAGGAAGGAACGCGTGCATGTAGCCGACCACCGCCGACAACGTGCTTCTGGGATTTCGACCGGTGCTGATGATGGTGGTCTCGGTGAGCCTGGTCGCTGTTTGTCGAATCGCTCTCCTGATGATTGAGAGGAGGGCGTCTTGATTGGCTGGGCGCCGAAGATTCATCACCGTCTCTGTCTTTGTCTCGAACCATGGTTGCTTATTCGACCCCCCTGGGGATACTTGACGAATAGGTACTATGTGGTGCCGTTGCAGCCAAGGTACAATGTCAAGGGTGTCGACAGGTTTTTGGGGGTGGTAGCAAGGCTTGTTCTCTGATGCGCGGGTGCGGTGCGGTGCGTTGCGTGGGCGTTCGGAGGACCGATGGATTGCGGTGGTGGCTGCCCGCGCTGCTGTTTCGATGAGGTAATGCCTCGAAAGCTACAGGGAGGGAGGGCACTGGAACTCTGGGAGCGCGGGATGCAATTGGGGGCCGATTGCGGCGAGAGATTGCGCAGTTAAAGGAATGACAATATGCGCCGCAGACGAGGAAAGCTGGAGGAGAGCCGTCTTGCAATCGAGGTGTGTTCGGAGTTCGGGTATCTGCGTCTGGATAGAAAAGATTGAAATATGCTGCGCTGTTCTCTCGGGGCAGGCAGGTTGCGAGGAGAAGTAGTGTAATGGAAAAGAGAGTGAAGAAGAGGAAAAGAGTCAGGTCGAAGTTCCCGTCCGGTTGTCTAAGGTACCCTTTGGCTAAATTACCTTAGACAAGGTACCCGAGACCATGGAAGGCACCACGATTTCCTCTCCACCGCTGGCTCCGGCGCTATTCAGGTCCATTATCGGCATGCGACGCCCGCTAACGTCCATCGTCAGCACCTGTGCGTGCTGCTTTTGGGTGCGCCTAGACCCGACTTCAACCGCTTCCCACCCCTGCATTCCACGATTCCTAAAAAATCCCACACTCAAGTCTGGGGGCTGCTGCGCTGCACGAATCAGACGCTCTGTGATTGGCCAACAGCTGGGATGACGCTGCAGTTGGTTCGCCCAGGATTCCCCATTATCTGCACGTGATCCCGCCGGATAAGCTTCTTGCCGCAAATGGACGGCATCCGTCACAGATCAACCATTCGCATGCCTCATCACTAGGTACGCTGTCTACATCCGCACCATCGCATTAATTCAACACCGTGACACCTTCAGTCGCATCCGATTGTACTTTGAATAACCCGAGTACCCGACAGCCATTTAACACTCGCAACCCGCGATAGACCTCTGCAGCAGCTGCCATCATGTCTGGCCAAATTGCAGCCTTGGAAGAGGACCGCAAACAGTATCAAGAGCAGGTACGCAATACCCCCCTCCTTCAGATCTAATGTCTGTCCCTTTTCTAACCTTTTCCTTTACAGCTCGATGTTGTTCTCGCCGGCCTCAAAGATGACCCCGAAAATGCCGAACTCAAGAATCTTCAGGCGGAGTTGAATGGCATGATTTCCCTCCTAAACGAGTCTCTTGCTGAGCTGCAGCCAAAGCAGGCGCCTAAGCCCGTACCCCAGAAAGCGCCCAGCCCACCGGAGCCCGAGAAGTGGTCCAAGGAGAACCATCCGGCCTTTAAGAAGGCTGCTCCCGCTCCCGAAGAGAAGGAAGAACCGCCCGTCACGTACCAGGTGAACGACACTGTCTCGGCGAAATGGGCATCGGGCGACAGAGGCTTCTATCCTGCTCGAATCACATCCATCACCGGCTCTTCAACAGACCCCGTCTACATTGTCAAGTTCAAGAGCTACGACAACACAGAAACCCTGCGAGCCAAGGACATCCGCCCCATCTCCAACAAGCGCAAGGCTGACGGAGCATCAGCGCCCGCATCTAACACCACACAACCGACCGCACGTCCGCCAGGCCCATCTAATGGTGTTGTTACATCTGCAGCAGCTAGCTTGTACCCAGAGCAACAAGCCAAGATTGAAGCAGAGAAGAATGCTGCCGATGGCGCCGCAAAGCCACCTAAAGCCAAGAAGATCAAGGCCACGAAAGAGTTGGAAAAGGGCAAATCCAAGTGGCAAGAGTTCAACACCAAGTCCAAGTTCGGAAAACATAAGAAGGACAGCATGTTCCGTACACCCGACGGCGTAGGCGGCCGAGGTACGTTGCTCTCGCCAAGCCAAATCTGAGGATGATGCTAACGTGGTCACAGTCGGTTTCACAGGCTCCGGACAAGCTATGCGGAAAGACACTGCTCGCAGTCGACACGTTTACCAACAGAACGACGAGCTTGACTAACTGCTGCTAGGGCGTAGGAATGCGGGAGGATCTTAAAGAAAGGAGGTTCAAGGCTTTGGCGTTCATGGTTCATGGGTGATTTGGCACTCTCGTTCCCTTCATGGTAAAGTGTCTTGTTTCCGCGTTACATAGGCTAACGGTTTGTACACATGTGTTTTACTCCCTCCAGACGACCATGGGATTATGATCCCATCTGGACTCTGCGCATAATGCGTGGAGGGGTCCTTGTTACAAATACATGAGATGCCCAACTTCCCCAGCTTCTTGGCCACCTTGACTAAACATCTGGCTATACAGGATATCCTACACTATTACTTCGGCCTCAACACACATCGCTTACTGGCCGCCACAAATCATTGGCGAGTTACGGTGAGCGGAGGTCAATCTTTGGGGCAATATCCTTCGCAATTTTGAGGAAGATTTCTGCCCTGTCACTCGATGGCTCTGATACGACGGTGGGCTTGCCCAGATCCGCGTCGTCGCCGATGGACGGGTGCAGGGGGATATCGCCTAGGAAGTCGATCTTGTGATCTCTGCACATGCGCTCGACTCTTTCGTTGGACCCAAAAACGTGTGTGTCGCCGTGGCAGTGTGGACAGTTGAAGAGTGACATGTTTTGCACCAAGCCCAAAATGTTGACATTGACCTTGTTGAACATGTTGACGCCCTTGACCGCGTCTTTGACTGCGAGTGTGTGGGGTGTGGTGACAATGATGGATCCTGGCTGTTATGAGCGGTTGCCGACAATTGTGTGCCTAGTGCTGCGACGATGAATATGACTTACCATCAAGAATGATTTGCTGTGTAATGGTGAGCTGCGTATCGCCTGTGCCTGGAGGCAGGTCGAGCACGAGGACATCTAATCCACCCCAGTCCACCTCATGGAGTAGCTGCTGAATGGCCTTCATCACCATGGGGCCTCGCCATACCACGGCGTCATCCTCTGGAACGAGGTAGCCCATGGACATGGTCTTGACACCGTAGTTGGTCATTGGGATTAACTGGTTGTCTGACGAGATTGTCAGTTGGCGAGCAGGGCCGGTGAATGAGGTGCAGAGTCCTTACTTTCCGAGAGCCTAGGCTCTCCGGTCAGATTAAAGAGTGTCGGAATTGAAGGGCCAAAAATGTCGGTGTCCAGGATTCCCGCCCTGTAGCCTAGTTGTGCAAAAGCCAATGACAAATTCGCTATAAAACATGAATTACTGTTTGCCTCTCTGCGTGCGCTCGAGTTCTACTTCGTGACCTTACCTGCGACTGTACTCTTGCCAACGCCACCCTTGGCGGAAGAAACCGCAATGATTTTCTCTACGCCGGTGATCTTCCTCTTCACGGGCTTCCTGGGCCAGTTGGGAGGTGTGCCGGATTTCGGCAGGCCCTGTTGCGCATGTTAGTAAGTTCGAGTATGAAGAGATGCAGGACAGCAAGTGAGTGAGAGTGAACAAGAGTAAGAGGGAATCGTGGATTGTACCAAGGGGTTTTCATGGCCCAGAACTCGAAGAGTCGACTGGAACGGACGGAAAAGTGTTGGCCTCATTGTATGGCCTTTGACAGGTGACAGACAATTACCTTGAGAGTCAAAGAGAGATGCAATGCACAAAGCAATTGAAGCGACCCTGGAGACTGTCAATGCCTCGGGGGTGGTGATGAGAGGATGTAATTGATTGGCTCTATGTAGACTGGATCTGTTTGCGGAGTAACTTCGGCTGAGTGATGGCCCAGCTCGGGTCTCTTTCAATAGCACTACCTAGAGCGACAGATTACAACAATCCGATTCATTGAACTTCGAATGACTTGATAATACAATGCGATCCTCCATTCATCGAAAAGAAACCTAGCAACGGGCAGCGCATGATCCATTCGTTGGACCTTGAAGCCATTGATGGTCATGGTCATCACGTGATCTGGTGAGGAAGACCCACCGAATCTTCTCCATGGCTCGTGTACGTACCTTTTCATCGCGAACGCAAGCGCGATGAGAAGAACCTGGGACGCGATTGAACCGACATCTCACTGGAAGCTCTCGTTCAAAAAGTCGAGCCCCACCACCCGTTAAAGCATGAGATCTCACAAATGAAGATCTCATAGCCGAGCTCCCCCTTAGCTCTCGCCGTTCCGTCTCATATTTCTGATACCCTTTTTGATATTTCGCGCTTTTGTTTCCATCGATCCTGCCTGCTCATTGGGACTCACTCTCAAATCTCTTTGCGCCTACAACTCATAAAGCTAGCAGCCGCTACAAGCAAGTGGCGAGACTCGCCACCATCTGAGATACCCGGAACACCGAAGACCGGTTCCAAGGAGAGGGAGAAGTAACGACACATATCACACACAAAAACGCGATGTCTACCCCCTCGGCAATGTTCGACATGGCCCAAGGTCGTCGCGACCTGGCCGCCCTACCCTCCGACTGGCAACAAAACATCAGAGAAGCTGTAAGTCCCTGCATTATCCAACACCAATTCATCACGCTCTCTCTGATATAATCTGAGAGCCGACCTGTCAACACCAACTCACGTCTCACGTCTCACCCCTTTCACCCTTCCTGTCCTACGAGCAAACACTGACACAGCTCACCAGTGGGAAGTCGTCGACCAACAAAACCTCGGCTCCCTCAACGCGCGCGAATGGCCCTTTGCCCTCCGCGCCATCGGCTTCGACCTAGCCCGCACGGAAACCTACGCCCTACTCCTCGCCCACGGCGTCCCGCCGCACGACCACGACCCGTCGCGGGGTCCATGCAGCCCGTCCCGTCTGCGCATGCCGCAGGAGCACTTCTCCGCCATCGCGGCATGGCTGCTGATGCGCCGCGATCCGCAGGAGGAGGCCGAGGACGCGTGGAAGATGTTCGACCCCCGCGGCACGGGGCGGGTCACGCTCGAGAGTTTGAGGGCGGTGTGTGGCGAGGTGAATTCTACGCTGAGCGAGGCGGATATGAGGAGGATGATTGATATGGCGGATATTTCGGGAAAAGGGTGGGTTAGTAAGGAGGAGTTTATTGAGGTTGCCAAGGGCGGGTTTGGTCGTGGCTAAGCTTTTGGAGGGGGTTGTTGTTTGTAGCATCGACTCTATAAGAACAGGGCAACTGCGATGAGTTGGAATTACTGAATGCGTGGTAGAGCCGATAGAAACGTCGGGCTTACCGTGCCAAAGTCACTCAGGCATTGGATTCACATAGGTTTCTCTCAACATTGGAGCAACAAAAGTAGTATCAAATTCCAAACTCATCCTACAGCAGCGGCCACGCTCTAGGCCATCACATGAAAACAGTCCGAGCAAATAACAAAAACATGCCAACATGTACCGCGAGATGAACGGCCGGCCCCCCCAGAGTCTTTTGCGTAGTCTTCACCTCTCCCTTTTGTTGTCCCTTCTCCTTCCCCAGATCATCCACCTCGGGCCTCTTCAACCGCACATAGGCGCGCCAACACGGCCAAACATGCCAAAACGCCAGCGCCGCCGCGACCTGCCTGCTCGTCTCGTCAAACGGCCGCGATACAAAGATGAGGCAGATCAGGTTCGTGGTCAACAGTAACCCACCGAACTGCTGCAGCACCAGCTGCGCGGCGACCGGCGGGTTAGTAAGCTGACTGCCGGGCTTGAGGATGAAGGAGCATGCGGCGGCGGTCTCGATGGCGATGTGGAAGAGGAAGGGGAGTTTGGCGGGTTGCATTAGTGGCGACGACATCTTGTGGAGTGGAGGGTTGTATTGGTGATGCGTCTAGGTCAGCGGCAGCTGGGGCTGAACGGGGAGAGCTGAGCTGTGCTCTCTGCTGGTGTGGGTGCAACTTTTCCAAGCAGTGAGCATTTGAGTCTGCATCACTAGTTCATCGTTGTAGTTCACAGCACGTACGTACAGGCGTAAGCCACTGAAGCTCTTTCTCTTCCCTTGGTCTCAATTATAGAATGCGACAGTCGTTCCGGAGTTCAGAGTCCGGAGCTGCCCGGATCGGCGTATGTTCACCGGCGCGGTGAGACTTGAAGGGTTCGGTCGGCCGTGGAGCAACTCAAAAGTCCGAGCGGGGGGATTGATGCTATTTATCTTGAAACTTTCCCTCCGACATTCGAACGTAGCTTCACTTGTAGGAATTGATTGCAACTTGGGCCAATTCCGATGAGTTTACAGTTTACTTGATATCTTATTTTTGTCCTTTCTACAGATATTCGTCACCTAACTCATTCGTATGCCTTCGGAAATGAAGCCCGGGAAGGATCTTGAAGGATGCCGCAAATCAGGCTCAATCGCTCTGTCAACATCCGTCCAGAGAGTTAGCGATGCCGTACAACGCTGTAAGTGCCTTATAAGGCTTGGTCAGCTCCATTAGGATGCGTTTGACTGGCTCTTGAGGTCTTGAGGTCTTGAGGAAAGCAAGGCCAGCACCCCCCGCCGATTACGCATGAAATGTTGTGACAAGCAGAGGGAGCCGAGGTTGAGGATTTAAGCTACTGGGGTTTTCGCAAGCAGCTGCAACTCTCGTAAGCCGCCTACAAGCTCCCCCTGCTCTGTTCACCAGAACACGCGAGCCTAGAGCCATTTCATGAATCATGCCACGTGTCTTTTTCGCAAGAAAGCTTCAAAGCTCTTGGCCTGTATTTGTGATACGCAATGCAGATAGGTGTTGACCTGTTCATGTACGCTTTGCGCACATCGTCACATCATCCAGTGCATATGGAGGATATGCTTATCTGCTTGGCAACGTTTAAAGAGGTTGAAAGAAAAGAGATGGCAGCATCAGCGCGGGCCGCGGGATGGACTCCCAAACCCTTTCAGTTTCTGGAAAACACGGACAGGAAAAGCAGAGGCGGGAAGCCTGTAAGAGCAAGTGACTTGGGATGGAACACAGTATCGGATGAGACATGCCGACCTCTTGGTCACGGCAAGTTTCTCGCAAGGTATGAGACGAAAAAATAAAATGGCCAGCAACTGGCACACCAGCATCCAACCAACCCAACTCACGCATGTCAGATTATGGCCTCCCAATAATCGCATCTTGGTTCCTGACAGCTGGCGGCCGATCCCATCTGGGGAAGACCCTTTCACACCCACTGGTTTTGTGGCAGTGAGAAAGATTGCTCGAGGTGCAGATGGTCATCCATCTCAACGAGAGTGATCAGCCGCAGTGCAACACGATTCACGCGCAGTACCATTATCCAGAAGAGCTTCGACCTTGGTCTTCTAATCATGTATTTGTAGCTTCCTTACTAGACCAACAGCGTACAGGGATTAGGATACTCACCGCGATAAGAGTCTTCTTCATAAGGTGTCAAACCTAAGGACCAACATTAAGTAAGTACCAACTTATCAAGAAGCGCCATCAGCCCAGAAAAAGAGAAACTCCACCTCGCCAGCAATGGCTCCGAAGGTTGGATTCAGACAATGTTTCAGTTCCGGGGTTGGCTACCCTACTTTTCACCTCTACCTTGCAAGCTAACCGCACTGCAGCGTCGCACTGCTGGACCCCTGAGGTAGATTCGGCACGGAAGTCAATCCGGGCGCTCTCTCGTAAATTCCAGGATGGGGCAGAACCCCGAGTCGGGGGAACCAAGATACGGGGGTAGGACTTCATTGCGAAACGAAACGGTGCAACAACTCCTCCGACTCCTCTGTCTCTTGTTGCTACTGAGCAGATTCGTCCACTGTGACCACTGACTGCCATTATCGCCACAAGCAAACACGGCGCGGGTTTTCAAACCAGCCTCCGGCGAGGAACACCACACCCTCTTGCTGTTTCTCTCGATATTCCCATTGTCCATGTGTTGTTCAGGGTGTCTGGACTCTGGAGAAAGCATCGTGGTCTAATGTGAGCCTAGTAATCAGTAGGCAGAGAGCACCGCCAAACGGAGAAGGTATGGCAGGGTAGCTCCTTTTGGCCAACCGGTTTTGTTGAGCTCGAGGTGCAACTACGACAAAAAAGAGGGCGGCGCTTGTGTTTCCTTACATACGGGATACTGTCCTTTTTCCCCCTCCACCCCCCGTCGCCTTTGCCTCATCCCACCCACCATCCAAGTCACCAACCGCCACCACCCATGCTCAATGCCGGCGTCACTATTATGTTTCCTTAATGCATGAAAGGCCTGTCTCTCGTCCATCTTCGCCTCCCACTTGCTCTGTCTTCTCACTCTTAACATACATCTGGCCTGACCTGACTACTCCAACTCACGCTAGACTTGACCGACTTTTTGGCTTTCCTTTCCAACGATTGCTAGAGGCCTAGAATTGGCACAAACCCGTACCCGCCTCGCTTGTCCATCGTTTCTCCCGTTGGCAACATACTTACGATTTACACCACGTTGGCAAATACACCAGACATAGCGTTTCCTTGCCCGTCCTACGTTTACTCGGGTATCCTGTGTGCCGTCATCCGCAGTGATATCATCACTTCTACACGACTAGCCACCTAGCACCCATCCACCCTTGTCTCTCTTGCGCAAGAGCGATTGCGGCTCGCACATAGCTCTACCCCCTTGCCAAACACCTCCCATAGCTTCTCCCGAGCTTCAGCAAGTGTTCTCTTTCCTTCGTCCTGCCATTGACCTAGATCTCTTCTTGTTGAACGTCGAATTTCACTTGACAGAGACATAATACAAACAAAACGCCACATCCAATCGAAGAGGAACTGCCAATTAAGCTAACCCCTCCCCCGCATCGCAACGCACACTCACCACATACACCACAATGGCGGCTCCCAACACCTTCGGAGAGCTTGGTCTCTCCATCATCGGCGTCGCCAGCCAGTACCCGCCCTACTCGCTCAAGACAGACTCAATAGACTACCTCAGTAACAAGTTCTACCCAGAATCACCCTCGTAAGCAAATTGGATACCCTGTCTGGGCGTAGCATCGCACCATCTGACCAGAGCTCCCCGCGTAGCATGAAAAAGGTTCTCTCCATCAACAGGTTCACAGGCATCGACTACCGTTCCTCCATCGGCACTCACGAGCACGAAATCGTCAACCAAAAATACGCCCCCTCCATCGCAGATCTCCACAAGGTCTTCATGAGTGACGGCGTGCCCCTAGCCGTCGAAGCATCCCGCAAAGCCATTGACGAAGCGCGCATCGATCTCTCCGAAATCACCCACGTCGTATCGACAACCTGCACCGACAGCGCGAACCCGGGCTTCGACCACTACGTCGTCAACGGCCTCGGCATCACACACCAGGTTGAAAAGGTCCTGCTCCACGGGGTCGGCTGCAGCGGCGGGCTGGCGACGCTGCGGACGGCGGCGAACCTGGCGCTGGGACACAAGGCGCGCGGGAAACCGGCGAGGATCCTCTGCGTCGCGCTCGAGGTCAGCACCACCATGGTGCGCAGCGAGCTCAACAGCATCGACGAGCTGCAAGAGACCCGGATCGGCGTCGCGCTCTTTTCTGACTGCGCGAGCGCCGTGGTGCTTAGCAACGGCGTAGGCGAGCCAACGGAGCCTGTGTACGACCTGTTGGGATGGGAGCATAAGATCATTCCCGACACAGATCAGGACCTCGGCTTCGATGTTGATCCTGTTGGTAAGTTTCAAGAACCCGTGGTAAAGCAAGCATGAGAGCGGCCTTTCTAATTAGAGCAATCCAGGTTGGAAAGTGATTCTTACCCCGCGAGTACCGAAGCTCGCATCGGCTGCAATCCCGTCGACGTTTGCCGAGATGCTCTCCTCCGTACCGTCACTACCACTGAACTATCAGAAGCCAGAAGATTTCGACTGGGCAATGCACCCCGGGGGCGCGACCATCTTATCAGGGGCAGAGACGACGATGGGCATCACGTCGTACCACATGAGAGCGAGCTACGACACATATATCAATCACGGCAACTCGAGTTCGGCAACGATATTCAGCGTCATGGACAGGCTGCGGTCCAAGGACATGGATGCCGTGGCACCGGAGGGCCGAGCCCGGGACTACGTGGTGGGGTGTGCGTTCGGGCCGGGAATCTCGGTAGAAATGTGCATGCTGAAGCGGAATATGCGGGCGCGAGACGCCACGGGGCTGCAGACGCCACCGGAGACGGAGAGCGAGGGCAGCACTAGCGAAGCTGGGGACGATGGCGGGGTGCGGCCGGAGGAGCGGGCATCTTCGGGGCGTCAAGCGGACCAGACCTTTGTTGCGGAGGCAATGGAGGATCTGGATCTCGACTGAGGAGGGGGGTTCGGGAGGTTATTTCGGAAAGGGTGCTGTGTTCTGGAGCGGGAGATCGTATATAGCGAAGTGAGAAAGAAGAGGACACACGGATACATACCCATGACTTGATGGCGCTAATGAGGACATGGCAAGGCCGGAGAGATGGCCGAGGTGCTCAGCGTTTCCCGGGATGGAACACTGGCGAAGATGACGAGTGCTAGATATTGGTCAGGACGGCGGTAGAACGGATTAGACGAGATTGAAGAGATTACAAGATTCGATACCATTCATTGGTTGCCATTTTGTTGAAAGGTCGCGAAGCCATGTCATGGCATATGCAAGCTCGTGGTTGGGACCCGAGATTCGAGATGCGAGCTCGTGTTTGCGCCGGAAGGTGGACAGGCGAGTTCTTGGAAGTGGAGAGGCACGATATCAGAGACACGAGATGAGCCGAAGCATGGGTAATTCTTCCGGCAATGAAAGAAGGTATCGCGCCTTGGGGGGACGGTTGTGCCGAGGAAAGAATGGCGTCGAGGGGCGTTTTGAAGGCGTGCAGAGTCGGTTTTCGGCGGACAAAGGATGGGAAGCTGGACACGATCCCGCATCTTTCCGGGCCTTCGGCAATGGGCTAAGGCTGGGGGTGGAAACGCAGAGGCGCGGACGGGAAGAGTTGATGGCCGGGAGGGGAGGTTATCGTCATGGGGTAGTGCGATTGGTCTGGCTTTTCCGGGGCCCGGCGTGCATGAGGTAAGGAAATGGTCGGTCGGGATGGAGGGGTGGTTTGTGAGACGGAGATTCGTTGTTGCGGGTAACCCTAGAATAACATCAGTCCGAGCCAAAGCTTCAGTTTTCCACCTTGCGAGTATCTGAGTGTGTGTAGATGGGAGAATTACACCGAGAATACTTCTCGGTGAGACGTCACCCTGCGTGGATGATAATAGTCGCAACCCTAGAGGTCAGAGAATTGAGTCATTCGATGGGCGACGGGGCTATCCATTAAATATCGCAGCGGGACACAAAATAATAAGGCCGAGAGATCTGAAGGTGGAAAAGTCAAATGCCATGATTGTCAGCAGTCTGCGCACCCGGCCAATGGCGGTGTCGGCGCGCACCGTTGGCACCCCAAATAACTGGTGTCTCCGTACCGTCTGCCCGCCCAGGTTGGCGTGGTCTGTTGCAGGCGGTTTCGGTGGTGTCAGGTCTAGGCCCCCGCCAATTATTGATAGCTCCTCGACCAAAAAGACCAAAAAGACCAAAAAAAAAAAGCAGAGGCGACGATTGGATCCCTGCAGAAAGTGGTGCTGTTGCAATTTTTTGACGTCAATTAGATGGCCGGGTGGGGGGAGGGGTTACTTGCGTTTGACGTGGTGGTAAGAGGAAATAGAGGGGCTGCTCACAGCTGTTCGAAGTACCCCTCTTGCTGTCCGACCGGTCGAGGTACTTGCGCTTTCTGCCCCTCAACAAGTCGTAGTGTTCCATTGGGTTGAGACAGGCGCAGTGTTGTTGTTGACGGCTTGTTTCTCTCAATCAAAGTAGGTATTGTTTGGGTTCAGCCACAGGTCAAACCGTTGCTTGATGCCTTGACTCAAGGTGATTGAGTGTGTAAAAAGTAAGGTAGGATGCGTTGCTCAAGATCCTTTACCTAAGATTCTTACGTCACAAGTCCATCCTTGTGACTGATGCTCAGGAAAGGTACAATTCCAGATGGAATAAGGCAGATGGAAGGTGCGAGGGCAGGTACATACACTAGGTTCCTCCCATTACCGGACCGGAGTGACCAAAGGTAGGCAAGAACGAGGGAGCATGGGGATACGGTGCATGGTGGCACCTTCCATAGAATGGAATTGAAGCTGGCAGAGCGGAGCTCCTCATGTACGGACTACGGAGCAGGTACTCTCGCTCGGGGCTTTCCAAGGGGAAACCACGGCCAAATCGGACTCATCCATGTACCTTACCTCACCACCTCACGCAACACGCCCAGCCAACCAGCCAACACTTCCATCTATTGGTACCTTAGAGGTAGAGGTGGGAGAGCACCCGCCGGTAACTGGACCGATGCTTGGCCGTGGCCCGTCGACGGTCAAGGTGGACCGGGTCTGGCTGGCTTGGTAAGGTAGGTTGTTGCTGGACCAGTCCTGCTCAGCCCGAGTAAAATCCCGCTCGTGGGAATCAAACATAACTCGCCCGCGTCCACCTCAACCCCGATCCAAACTTTCCTGCTGATTCTTCTCCCTCCTCTCCAATACCTGTCCCTGCATATTCTCTTACCCTTTTACCTCTGCCTCTGAGCATCAATCTAGAACAGCAGTCCGATTCTACTCAGGACAAGTTACTATACGCAATCAACCTGAACATCTTCTCTACCCCACGTCACATACCCCGCCATTCACAATGGGTCTCCTGTCAGAGCTCAACATCAAGCCTGGTGTCGTCTACGGCGATGACCTCCTGAAGCTGTTCAACTACGCCAAGGCCAAGCAGTTTGCCATTCCTGCTGCCAACGTCGTAAGTAGCTCTCATTCAGCTCCTCCGGTCATGCCAATACCAATCTTGACAATCCTACGACGCGCGACGAGTTGGGCGTCGTGCGGACCAAGAATGGAGGGGAAACAATATTTGGTGACAATCGGCTAACGACCCCGCCTCCCAGACCTCCTCTTCCACCGCCGTTGCCGCTCTCGAGGCTGCCCGCGAGGCCAAGTCCCCCATCATCCTCCAGACGTGCGTAGATATCTTGTCTTGATCCTTTAGATTCAAGATCAGCTATAAGGTATAACCAGACAGCTGACAGCTTTGCAGTTCCCAGGGTGGTGCCGCCTACTTCGCCGGCAAGGGCATCCCCAACAGCGCCGACAAGCAGGAGGCTTCCGTCGCCGGTGCCATTGCTGCCGCTCACTACATCACCTCTATCGCCCCCATCTACGGCGTTCCCGTCGTCCTTCACTCTGACCACTGCGCGTGAGTTTGCACCACAAACACCCGACCTCAAGAACTAGGACACTGACGTATACCTCAGCAAGAAGCTTCTGCCGTGGCTCGATGGTATGATCTCCGCCGATGAGGAGGAGTTCAAGCGCTCCGGCCACCCCCTCTTCTCCTCCCACATGATCGATCTCTCTGAGGGTATGTAGTCGTGTCCCAGTCCGATCCATCCAAGACCGTGACTAACAAACGCGTAGAGGATGTCACCTACAACATCGAGACCACCGCCAAGTACCTCAAGCGCTCCGCTCCCGTAAGCTATTACCAAGACCTTTTTCTTGCGCCTGCCACTGACACTTTGCGCGCAGATGAAGCTGTGGCTCGAGATGGAGATCGGTATCACCGGTGGTGAGGAGGACGGTGTCAACAACGAGGATGTCGACAACAACTCCCTCTACACCCAGCCCGAGGACATCTACGCCATCTACCAGGCCCTGAGCCCCATCAGCCCCTTCTTCTCCATCGCTGCCGGTTTCGGTAACGTCCACGGTGTCTACAAGCCTGGGTAAGTCGGGTGTGCCTCCAGGACCCCCACAAACACAGTTCTAATCCATCACAGCAACGTCAAGCTTCACCCCGAGCTCCTCGGCAAGCACCAGGAGTTCGTCCAGCAGAAGCTGGGCACCGACGACAAGAAGCCCGTCTTCTTTGTCTTCCACGGTGGTTCCGGCTCCGCCGTCGAGGAGTTCCAGAAGGCCATCTCCTTCGGTGTCGTCAAGGTCAACGTCGACACTGACTTGCAGTGGGCCTACCTCACTGGTATCCGCGACTACGTCACCAACAACATCGACTACCTGAAGACCCAGGTCGGTAACCCCGAGGGTGACGACAAGCCCAACAAGAAGAAGTACGACCCCAGAGTCTGGGTCCGTGAGGGCGAGAAGACCATGAAGGCGCGCGTCAAGCAGGCTCTGTTTGACTTCAACGCCAACGATGTTTTGTAAAGGAAGAGTAATGGGTGATACCTCCACAGAGATGAGACCAAAAACGGGAAGGGGTCTACTCTGTTCCGTAGGATGAATATGGCGAAAAGCCCACCTACGTAGTTCTCAAAAATGAAGTAAAAGAGACAACCAACCGGACCATGCATCAGTGACTGTCAACATGCATCTTCCCCAGCGCAATATGTAATGATGTGTCTGTCTGAGGATATCTGCAGGGGTTTCAATGGTCGGCCAGCAGCGCATACGGAGAACACCTGCCCAAAGTGGTGCGACGGATGCAAGGCCCATATTTGACAACGCGAACCAACAACTTCTAAACCGGCGACACCTCATAATTATGTGATCAAAGATTTCAATCAAATGTAAGCTATCCGAACTGAGATTTGATCTTATCGGCTCAATTGCCCATTTAACCCCGCCGGGATTGAGCTAACCCTTCCTTCCCCTTGTGCTGTCTCGTCTCATGTCCGTCGGCGTACCAAAGCCGGTGAGGAGAAATATCCCATGCCTTGCAACACCAGCCCCCGATTGCTAATCACCTTCCCCTGCACATGTGTGGTGATTCACTGATCGTTTAAAACGTTTGAAGTTCATTCTCATAAATCTTCGGGGGTTGCTGTAGTTGTCAATTGCCTTCAATTGACTGAATTGTGATCTGTAAACACACGTATACCTCACCGCATATCCATCTCACCACCATCGAAAATGGCCTCCGTCTTCGGCTTCCTGCGCCGCAATTATCTCACCTTGAACCCGCCCGTCGCACCAAAGCAAGATGGCGCCATCCGCTTCGGCGTCCTAGGCGCAGCCAACATTGCGTGAGTATTATCTTGGACCTTGCCTTTTTTTTTTTTTTTTGGTAAGAAAGGAATTCTACGAAAAAAAATCTAAAAAAATCTTATCATCAATAATTGGGAAACTGACCCAAGATGTAGCCCAATGGCCCTAATCATACCGGCCAAAACTCACCCAGACGTCATAGTCCAATCCATCGCCGCCCGCGACCGCAAAAAGGCCGAGGCCTTTGCCCTGAAGCACGGCATCCCGGACGTCAAGGACTCGTACCAGGCCGTCATCGACGACCCGGACCTCGACGCGATCTACGTCCCGCTGCCCAACGGCCTGCACTACGAGTGGGCCCTCAAGGCGCTGCAGGCAGGGAAACACGTCCTCCTGGAGAAGCCCTCCGTCTCCAACGCGCAGGAAGCCGAGGCCCTGTTCCGGCTGCCGCTGCTCAAGGAAAAGGGAAGTCCCGTCTTGCTAGAGGCGTTCCATTACCGATTTCAGCCGAGTTGGCAGTATTTCATGGGGCTTGTTGATCAGGAGAATGTCGAGCACGTGCATGCAAGGGCGTATATCCCCTGGTTCGCGCTCGGGGACGACGATATTCGGTTCCAGTATGGTCTTGCTGGCGGCGGGTTGATGGATTTGGGGACGTATACCGTCTCGAGCATCAGGCAGACGTTTGGGGTTGAGCCGGAGGAGTGTCTGACGGCGAAGTTCAAGACGATGCCGGAGCCCGAGGAGAGAGCGGATTATGCGTGGGATATTACCTGGCGGATGGCTAATGGCGGGACGGCGCATGCGGAGGGCGCGTTCCGGACGGGGACGTTGGGGATGGGGTTGCCGCGGCTGAGCGTCACGCACAAAGAGGTCAAGGTTGCCGACGACAAGCTGCCCGCGGGCCAGGAGAAGACGCGGAAGCGGACGATTGAGTTTGCGAATTTCATGCTGGGCGGGATTTGGCACCGCATCGACGTCGTGGACGAGTTTGTCGTGAGGCGGACGGGCTCGGGCGAGGTTGTCGAGAGGTGGACGGAGAAGAGGTCCAAGAAGGCGTATACCTTTGAGGAGGCCGGGTTGGCGGGCAACGGGGAGGAGTATTGGTTTACGTACCGGCATCAGCTGGAGCAATTTGTCAACCGCGTCCGGGGCAGGGAGACGAGCGTTTGGGTTGATGGAGAGGATAGTATTAGTCAGATGAGGATGATTGATATGGCGTATGAGAAGGCTGGGTTGCCGCTGAGGAAGTCGAGTGGTGTTACGATGTAGGGGATTGGGGGTAGTTGGAGGGGGAGGCAAGGTTGACGTGTGGCTTGATTTGGTGGCAAGTTCCTGATCGGAATCATTGGACTTTTGTGCTTGTTCTGTTCTCATTGGTCTCGTCGTGGAAGTAGCGCTGAGCCTGTCAGTATGGAAACTTGGATGGATGGACATACATCATGCAGCTATGGGTTGAATAGAACCAGCTTCGGGACAAGACAAGACTGTTACAAATCTTGCCTCCCTCCTCCATACTAGCCAAGTTGGTGAAAGCAAGAATCTAGTATCTTGAAGACAGAGCCTGGTTTCTGTGTAAGAGGCTGCTATTGCAGAGGCAGAAGATGAGAGTTCAGTGGCAGTCTTTTGAGATTATTGATGAGAGTTCTTCACCGCCGTGGTTGCTTCTCGGCCCAGTCTATATCGTCGGGGATATCTTTGTGAATGTACAAACCTTTTCAATGCCCAGTTCCCCCCCTTTTTTGGCTATGCACATTCCTACACGTTCTTTAGTTGCGGAACAACCGCAGGCCAGCCTCCTCAGCATCAACCTCCTCATCGTCCTCCATCTCCGCATCAGAAGCCTGCTCGCCGAGCCCCATCTTCTGACCAAACAGCGTGCCAAACAATCTGTCGACGGCCTCCTGCTCCCACGCCCTACGGTCCTCGGGCGCCATGAAGTTCTGCAGCTTCTCATGCACGTTGAAGCGCATCTTGCGGCCCTTGCTCGCGCGCCTGTCGACGTGCTTCTTGGTCTTTGCCTCCTTCATCGCCGCCCACCGCACCGTAGGCTGCGCGCCGGCGACGCCGTTACTACCGCCGTTGTCCGCGGTGCGCTGGTCGACGAGCTCCTTGAGGAGGAGCTGGTAGAAGTCGGCGTCGTCGTAGATTTCCGGGTCCTCGTTGACCTTGGCCGCGACCTGCGCCGGCGCGCAGGAGCGCGGGGTGCGGGTGCGCTTGATGAGGCGGTCGGCGCCGAGGAGCTGCTCCTCGAGGGAGGCGACGATGGACGTCTGTGTGGAGACGAGGTTGCGCGACTTGACTTCCACCGTGGCGCTGCGCGTCTTGCTGGACCACGTCTCGAGCACCTTTTTGCGGTACTTTGCCGCGCGCTCCTCGGCTTGCTGGATGCCCTCCCAGATATCCTGGCTCGAGGTCGTGGCGTCGAACGCGTCGCCACGCTTGCGCTTGCCGCCGGCCTGCTGCTGCTGTAGCTCTGCGGGGAGCAGGCTGGCGCGGAAGCTGTCGAGGGTGTTGAGCAGCTTCAGCGCCGCCTCCTCGGCCGCCTCGTACGGCTCAGAGTTTTGCTCTTCTTCGTCATCCTCGATGGCGGAGAAGGAGTTTGTGGCGACGAGGGCCTTTTGCAGCCTGATGCGGATGTTGAGGAGGCCGTCAAAGGTCTTGCGCTGCTCGCGGACGGCGAGGCCCTTTTGGGCGTCTTGCTGCGCGGCGGCGGAGATGGAGGCGGCGAGGACCTTTGAGCCTTCGTTCATGAGCCTTCGCTGCTCGGCTCTGGCGTCGTTCTTGGAGGACTTGCCGCGAGGCTTGTCGTCTTCATCGTCATCTTCATCGCCGGAGGCTTCCTCGGAATCTTCGTCTGAGCCCAATTCGTCTTCATCCTCTTCATCTGACCCGTCCAGTCCGTCCGTCAGACCTTCGTTGTCATCCGAGTCCTCCATCTCGTCGTCCTCGTCGTCGAGTGCAGCACCATCATCGTCCTCCTCGTCGTCTTCCTCCTCTTCCTCATCGGAGATGAAGTCCGCAGCAGTGGGCCTCTTGCTTCGCCCCCCCTTCTTATCCTTGGGTTGCGAGCTGCCGCGAAAGGCAAAGGCGTCGAGCTTCTCATCGTCGCTTTGGCCAAGTGCATCGTCGCTCGAGATCTCGACGTCTTCGTCTCCGGCGGCTGCAGTGTCGGCAGCCAGATCCGCGGCATCGGGGTCGTCGTACTCCTCGCCGTTGGAGTCCAGGTCCTCCAGCGCATCCTCGAATATCTCGCTTTCATCGTCGTTGCTCGAGTCGTTCAGCGCATCGCGGCTGACGCGGGCGCCGCGGTACTTTGGGCCCAGAGAGACGCCCTCCTTTTCCCGGAGTTTGCTCTTGCTGTGACGAAACGTTAGTTTTTCCCTACGCTATATATGTATATGCTATGTTTGGCGTGTATCGTACCCGACTGTGACATAATGCTCGGTGCCCACATTCTCGTCTGCGCTTTCTTCACTGTCGCTCTCATTCTCGCTCTCCTCGACGTGCTCAGCCTCAGGATCGAGATCTAGAGAAGTGTTAGAGTTAGTACTGCAATACTGCTCGTGAGTATATGTCGCATACCCTTTGCTGGCTTGTCTTCCCAGTCGGATGTTCTTCTACGGGCCGACATCGTTGTATGTGGTTCACGATTTGAATGGCAACCGGCAGAGGGGGCCCGCTGCGCAACACTGGGTGAATTTTCTGGGCTTCAAGAAACTTTTTGGTGGTGAGTTGCGGCAGAACCAGGGACCCCACCAAGAAATTGATGCATTATGTAAGCTCAGCTCACGGACCCTGGCAACCTGGGACTGGGTTACGGGATTTCATTGCCGGCATGTGCAGTAATAACTCAGAAACATGCGAATCACTCAATCTTTTGGTCAAAAATGTGCTACAAGTCAATGTGCAATGCAATGTTGGAGAGTTCCTCACATATCATAGACCTTTATTCTCTCAAACTTTGTAGGGGCAACCTGCAAGACGCATCGGTGTTGGAAGCAGATTCCGTGTTTGTCTACGGTATGATACCTATTGGCTGAACGGACGCCAAACGCCAATGGTACCTTACCTTACCAAGCACAAGGCAGGCGTTATCTTTTAGAGATCTGAGAGTCAATACCGCGCCCTTTAGCGGTTCAGCCTCGGTTGACAGCCTGGGCAATGGGCGGAATGCCGTCATCTGAAATGAGGTCTCAATAGGGCGGCCAATCATTCGAGGATCGCATCACGTAAAAGTGGACTTGATCATGATAACGCGTGACCGGACGCTCAGCCGGTCACGTGAATGTCAGCGGGATTAGCTGGGAGCAGGAAAGCCCCGATACCCGAAAGAAGTGAGGCTAAAGGGGGGGGGGGGGGGGGGGGACAGTGAGGTACCCAGGTACCACCTGCCTGAGCAAACAGGGGAGAAAATCGCCATTACTCGCCTGTTCCCCATCGCTCAACAGTCGCTCACGATCGAACGCGAGAAACAAACAAAAACACAGGTCCGCCGGGGGCCTCGCAATGCGCAATGGAGCAGATTGATGCGCAGGTCAGCGACTTGCGCTACTTGACCCAAGCAGCCGCCCCTTTGCCGCCTGACCGCGCTGCCACTGCCGCCGCTTATTCTCCACACAATCACTCTGTCCATTCCCCCCTTTCCGCGACCTCCGGAGACAATTCCGCACAACGACCAGGGGCCTCCAGAGGTGCAACTCAAGTCGGAACACCTGGCTCAAGCTCCGTCACTGGTTCCAAGAGGAAGTCAGAGGATGAGAGCAATGCTGCTAAGCAGCAGAGAAGCAAGAGGAATCGGGTGCGTAGTCTTTCCCGTTGTCTATACGCTGTTCAGTCTTCACCATACCTTACCTTTACCTACCCATCATCTCCTCGTCCTCGTCCTCGTTATCCTCCCCTGTGACTATCCGTTCCGCTGTGTGCCATGCCAATGATGAACCTTGTGGAACTCCAGAAAGCTAATTGCCACTGTCCCAGTACATATCCATTGCCTGGTAAGGATACCTCCGTCCCGGCTATGTCGTCGGCATGCGTCCGGCCAAATACCATTGCGACTCCGTCTCTTATGGTTGGGGAACCTTGGCCCAACCGCTTGACTACACAAACCATTGTCCACGATAAACTCCGAGTCGTGAAACATATCTGAACAAGAGACAAGATCACTAATACGTGCCACGCAGTAACGAATGCAAGAGACGCAAAATCAAGTGCAATGGCGAAACTCCCTGTCAACGATGCGGCAATCTCAACTTGCAGTGCCTCTATGCCCCGAACTGCTGCTCCAACAACTTCAAGGACTCGGACGAGTACAAGACCATGACAGACCAGATGACCCGCTTGCAAGAGCAGGTCGATAACCTCTATCAAAACATGAATGCCCTCCGTTCCGAAACCCTGCGTCTTGCACCCATCCAGGACAAAGTATTACATTTCCCCTCAAGCACAGTTCAGGCCTCCCCGGCGAGCTCGCTGTCTCCCCTCCACCGGCCTGAGTTGACCCAAACGAAGCAGGCAACCTTCCGTGGCCCCACCAGTATGGCTTACAGTCTTGACATCGCCAACACTACCATTCACAATATGGGTTACAAGGGCATTGGGGAGGATGAACAAGGCACGCCCCTGGGTGTACCCGAGGACAGTCCTTTCCGTATGCCTCCGCAAGAAAGCCAACTCGACCCCTTGTGGGACTTTGGCAAGGACGAGATGATTCGCTTGTGTCGACTACATGACGAAGAGGTCGGCATCATGTATCCCGTCATCAAGATACCGTCAGTCATTGAGCATGTCCGTCACCTGACGGCTTACATGGAATCAGCCCGAAAGCAGGGCGTCACACCAAGTCTCAACGACGACAAGACATTGCAGCTCAAGATCGTCATGAGCTGCGCTCTTGTGGTGGAAGAGCATGGTCACAGCGAGAAAGCGTGCAAGCTGATTGACAGCATGGACGCCGTCCTCAATCGGAAGCTCATGGTCGAGGCGGTCGACTTTGTGAGTCTTCCAGCGCTGTGTCTTCTCGCTGGCTACAGATTCTTGGCCAACGAAGAGATTCTGGCATGGCGCGTCATGGGCCAAGTCACCAGGTTGTGCCTGGAAATGGGCATCCACAGGACAACCGGCATCGCGAAAATCAAGAACGAAGAGGATAGGAAAAATGCCTTGAACAGTTTCTGGTCAGCCTACGTTCTGGACCGGCGGTGGGCTTTTAACACTGGCCTGCCGTTCGTCGTCCCGGATGAAGAGATTGATCCAGAACTACCCATGCCTGTGAGTACCCCTTTTCCAACATGAAATATCTAGGCCTGTCTTTTCTCATAATCACACAGGACGAGTATCCATACTTGGTTGCTATGATCAGCTACTCGAGGTTGGGTGCTAAGGTCTGGCGTCAAGTCACGGACTTTGGCCCCGTCCTAGCCCGTGAGCTCCGTTATGAAGACATGGAGCAGATAGACCAAGAGACCCTTCAATGGTACGAGAATGTACCAGAAGAAGTCAAGCTCCGCAATTGGGACAAGGAGAAGCAAATGACCTCGACTCCGTCTTACAACCTTCAACGCCTGCGCATTTGGACATATCTGCGGTTTAACCAGGTTTGTATTGCTGTACTAGTGACTTCAGCCACGATTTTGATGCTGACTTGTATACAGATCCGCATTTGGCTGTATACGCCGATTCTGCATAGCGCTACTAGCATCATGAGCCACTTTGCCCAAGCTCAACGTGTGGTTGACCTCGCGAAAGACACGATCCGCTATCTCAGCCATCTCAACAACACCACGAATCTGTACCGCAAAATACAGGTATTCTATCACCAGTTCCTGACATCGGCAATCTCTGTTCTCTTCCTGGCTTCTGTTCATGCACCAGTAAGGTTCAGCTCCACGTGCCGAGAAGAGTTCTATATGGCCCTGGAGCTGGTCAAAGATCTTTCCGCCAAAAGTTGGGTGTCTCAGCGGCTGTGGCGTACAATCAGTTCGCTCAAAAAAGTTGCACCAAGCATCGGTCTCCGCAACCTGCCAGATGAGGATGCACACAGCTCCGCGGCTCTAACGATGGCTGGACTGGCAAGTGGCGGACGCATGCCGAACAGCCCGGCTGGAATTGCGCCTTTCGGACGCTCATCCACAACCCCCACGATACTCCAACAACAAACACCAACTCTGGATACGGCCCAGTCACCAGGCAACGGAGTCCGCATTCAGAACGAGATGAGTCGCATTTTCGAAGGATATCTGGGGCTCAATGGCTTCGCATCTAACGGAGACGATGGTTTTGGTGGCCAGTCCGACGCTGGCATACCCCCGACAACCACTGCTGTATCGAACCCATATGTGGATAATGTCTTCACCCACTTTAGAGAAATGTTCTAGTGTTCACTGAGCAGCTTGTTTGCACCCCATACTTGGGGAATCTGTTCACTTCATGTATCTAGCGGAGATTTAGCGCCTGCTTCCGATCACGCTGTACACATTGCATCACATCAATATCAGCTCAATTTCCAATTTCCTGCTGGTCTTCTTGGCTGACTGAAGCTATTACAAGCCGAACCACTTCAAGTCCTGATCCTCCTGGACGGGAACCGTGTGTCCGACACCTTGCGCAGAGTATCCCACAAGTTTGGTCCCATCGCCGTAAATCATTTGCGTGTACCCACTAATAGGCGTGTTGGTATTGTTCTTGACGAAGCTCACGCCGTGGATGGTGGACCACTCCTTGAGCTGCTCAGCCAAATTGGGGTACTTGACAAGCGAGTCCGCCGTGCCATGGAACGTCTGCACGCGCGGATAGCTCCCGTTGTAACCGGGATACATGGCGCGCACCTGCGCAGCCCACTGCTCGCCCGTCTTGACAATCAACCCGTTGGCACACGTGGGATCGGCGCTGATGGGGCTCGAGCCCGGCGAACCTGCCAAACAACCCGCCGCGACGCCCGAGTAACACGACGTAGCGGCGAAGAGGTCCGGGTACGTGGCCGTCAGCACGTTGGTCATCATGCACCCCGACGAGCTGCCCGTCACAAAAACCCGCTTGGGATCGGCGCCGTACTGTCCGATGGTGTAGCGGATCATGTTGGCCAGGCCGGTGGAGTCGCCGCCGCCGTCGCGGGTCAGGCTGGCGGTTGTGGCGACGTCCCAGCAGTTGAAGTCGCGGGAGGAGGACGGGTAGATTACGACAAAGGTGCCTTTGGCGTCGGAGAGGGGTATGTACTCTACCTGGCGGCTGTAGGCTGCGCCGGAGCCGCCGCAGCCGTGGAGGGCGAGGACGATGGCTGGGGAGGTTGTGAGGTTGGGGGGCACGGAGATGTCCATTGTTAGACCTGTTGGGTTTGAGCCAAAGTTTGTGACGCGTTGGAGGGCTGCGTTGGTTTGGGTTGCCAGCGGGAGGACGGCGATGAAGAGGGTGAGGGGATGCATTTTGGCTAGTTCGTGAGGAATCGTGCTTGGTGGTGGGTTGGTGCTGCGAGGTTACTGTGGGTGGGGATATAGAGTCAGATGAAGAACCTCGACGATGAGCTTGTTCTTATACAGGAGATTTGAACCCCCAGACCGATTGTCAGAAGTCAGAGATGTCTCAACCGCCGTTGTGACTTGCCTAAAGTCCAGGCCTCAGCTCAATGCAAAGTCCAAAGCGCCTCTTGGTATTCCATCGTCACATTCAAGAAACTAGCAAAGGCTCCTATGCAACTGGCTGACAGCTTCTACGCAACAGCGGTAACACCTGTCTAGAGGGGAAAGCCGGTCGGACCGTGGAAGTCGAAAAGGCAACTTCAAGGCTATAAAAGGGGAAGGTTGCGATTTGCTGGGTTGAAGTTGGCTGGCAGATTACCCCTGAATATCCAAGAAATCTGAGAAGTGCCCATAGCTTCGGCAACGGTGGTCGGTAGTTGGTTTGAGGAGCTGGATCTATCTTCGCTCTTGTACTATATAGATTGCGGACTTGTTTGGTTATGTGGAATGAAAGGGGATTGGTGGCCACTCTAGACGGAACCAGAAAAAGAAGGTATTGTTGCTGTCTCGTTTTGGAGAAGGACGTAGCCAAGTGAGGACGATCCTCGGTTCGCAACCCCGCGCGGACAGGGATGTCTTCGCCGCCTCGGTACGCGTATTAGATTAAGGTCGCATTCCGATTTCACTTTAGCGAGGGAAAAGACTTCCAATATGGGAGAGACAGAAGAAGAAACAACGAAGTTGCAGCAAGTCCCGCGAAAAGTCCATTCTGAGTGTCCGACCGGCCCCGCCTCCGGGCCCGGGAACCGGTGAGAAGTGGGGATGCATCTCGGAGCATGATTCACGCTATTCACGGCAGAGCTGCCCATGCTCTGTCGATCCTTTAGCCCTTGTTCAATAACAGTAGGTACCCGCTGTACTCACGACGCCATAGCTATCGATCTACAGAGACCCTCAAGGTTTATTTCAAAGCTCTTGATGGAATTCAACTTTGATGGGGTCCTTGACACAACTTCGCCGCAACGGAAAGTCGAAACAATCATCTCTACCGTGGTTGCGTAGGAGGATCCCAAGAAAGAGTGTCTGCTTCAGGTATAGTTTTGGCAAGATTTTCCTACCCTTCCATTGTATAGCGAGAATCAGGAAATAGGCACCTGAAGCCCAGCGGTCGTGAGAACTTTCTCCGTCGGCCTTCTTGAAAGTTGTGATGGGTTGATATCTCCGAAGTCATGCTGAAAAGAGTACACAATGACCCAACTTATCCGTAGACGAAATGGCGAAACGAAAACTCATCTCTCTTTCGCATCACATCCTTGGACCTTCTTCCAGAATCCTGACATCCATTATCCATCCATACTCGCCATCTTCCCGCATATATTCAGCAGCGTTACTGCAGCCAGCAACGACGACCAGTCGTCTCCCGATTAATCACTACAAGACTTCTATCACGAGATATAGGTGAGGTTAATGCTGCCTATGAGGAGCGGTCCACCTTTTGTGACAACCACTTACAAAGCAACTCAGAATCCATCGCCATGAAGACCGAGTTAGCGGTCACAATCGCTGTGCTCAGCACGATAGTAGGGATGGCCGTTTTATTTGGTATTTATCGATGCATCGCTATACAGCCGCCGACCCCCGACGATGACTCCGAAAACAACCCGCCTGCATATTGCATGTACCAGATGCAGCCAGTTCAGTATCAAGCGCCGGTTCAAGCCTATGAGCCTCCGGTCCCGTATCAGCCTCCGGTTCAGTATCACCCGCAGGCTCAAGGGGGCTTAGTACCGGCTGCTTTGGCAGCACTGGGGGCCCTCTGGCCTCAACCTCCGCCTGCTGTTGCACAACGTCAATGGTATTGAGCCGGTACCCCATCTTGTCTGAGATATAAGTTGGATGTTTCCGACGAGAACGAAGAGCGATTGACACGGGACACTGCCGAGCCTTCGCACTATATCGCATCGACATGATACGTCAAAAGTCCCAAGTCGGCAGCGATCATCGAAGCCGGTTATCAAGCCTAATATTGTTTCCTTCTTCATCACCGAAACCAATGAGGCCAAATGTCGTAGGAAATCGACTTAACAAGTACCGACGCCTAGCTGCATAGAAGTCTACCCCAATGCCAGAAATCGACTCGTACCTGTGTATCGGTTGCACGTCAGACGGACATAGCCGTTGGAAAAGGCGCACCATGGATAGGGGATTGGGGGCTGAGAATGCGGCTCGATAGCCTGTCTTGTACGCTCATAGGTGCAGAAGAAGGCAAACGGTGCTGCGGCAAGGATTCAAGCGCGACCCATAAGACTCAGATGCCGGGCTGACAAGTGGCGGGCGATGGCGCATCATATGCAGCCCAGATTCCAAGGGATGGTGTCGCGTGTGGCACGCTCGCTGTGATTTGCGTGCCATGCGTACCACTGCATGGCTCAGATAGGCAACTCAAGTGATTGCAGCCAATAGATGGCTTTCTTATGTCAGATTCAACCAACAAGGTATCCTGTAGTAAAATAGTAAATGTTCCAAAAATTCAGAGCATGTGATTGAGAGACAGCCTCAAATGCTACTATGCCAAGTCAAGTGAGGAATTATTGCTTCTTCTGACAGACCGTCGTCAGCCTCTTCCGCTAGTGCCAAGGGCGGGCGGGACTGTGCATCCGAAACACAAAGAGGGCAGGCACGCAGGCAGAGCATGGCAGGCGAGGCAGGAGGTACAAAAGGCAAGCGAGTGTTCCAAATTCTCGTCAACCTTGAGAATAATCCGAACCCTTCGACATTCCAAACCTAAGCCTCGTGGACGTTGTCCGTCATCGCAAACTGCGTCACCTCCGACCTCTCCTTCGCCATGGCGGCTCCCACCACATCGGCGCACTTCGTCAACGTCTATCAGTCGGTCGACAAAACTAAGCGCCCCGTCACCACATCGCTGGCAGTCGCGAGCTCGGCACCATCACCATCTGGCGATATCGAAGAAATCAAGGCCACGCTGCCCGAATACTACACTGCACCGCCATGGCGGCTTCTCTGGGACGACTTGGTTCTCTTCATCAGATGCATCGGATTCATTCCCTTCGTCATCTCTCCCCTATGGTATCCTCGGCGAGATGGGGTCCGATATCCGAAGCTCGATAAGTCGTGGGTGCCCAAATGGCTCCTCAAAGGCCCCATTGACACTGCCATCTCAGCCATACAGACTAGGTACCAAGGTCTCGTCGACCCCTACTATCCTTCCGGCGAGATGGACGAGCTGTACCCTTCGGTCGGAAACCTCTGGTGCCTCTTTATACATGGAATTCTCATCGTGACGCAACTCACTTTCCTCATTTCGCTGCCATTCCTCGCCACCCTCCCATTCCAGCTATTCGTCCTTTACATCGGCGGATTCATCTTCGTCAACTATCTCTTCTGCTTACAGCTCAACGCCGGAACCGAGAACAACTTGCTCAAATCTCAGCATGCTCTGTGGCCGGAGTCGGCTAATTGGAAATCACTGGACCCCAACGAGAACTACAGCGAAGAATGGATCTTTCTTAACGGTGTGTCTGTTGGGTAAGTGCACTCTGGTCACAATTGCGTGTTTTGAACATGCTTCTAACGACAGGTTAGCTCGCACTGGCTGCAGGGGAACATCAACAGACTCTCACGGACTTTTCAACGTCCCATTACGGGTGTCCACAACAGAACGTAAGTCATAACAACTTCTAACTTAGGAACGGCGTTCGCTAAATTATCATGCCGTAGGTCTGGAATCATCTTTGATCTCATCCAGTGTCTTCTAGAGCGATGCTTCTACTTTGGTACCTCGGACACCAGAACTTGCTATGCGCTCATCACAGCTGCCCTGGACCCTGCGCAGAAGAAAGACAAAACTGTTCTCATCCTTCACTCCCAAGGTGGCCTTGAGGGTAGCATCATTCTCGATTGGCTCCTCTCCAACTACCGCCGAGAGACCTTGCATAAGCTGGAGATCTACACTTTCGGTAACGCTGCCAACCACTTCAACGACCCCGAAACCTCGCTCAACGAACACGTCATCGGGCACATCGAGCATTACGGCAACACTGGCGACTTTGTGTCTCAATGGGGAGTTATCCATTTCAAGTCCCTGGTTGCCGAGCAAAGCAACCCTCTGCCAATGGATGGAAGGCATCCTTTGCTGCCCATCGTTGATGATATTTTACGCCTGGATAAGAGACAGAACACTTTTGCTGGACTACTTTTCGAGAACAACGTGTTGGGTCACCTGCTGAACCAGCATTACCTCGACAGGCTTTTTCCCTTGAATGAGACTCTGACTGGCGTCGTGGAGAGCAAAGGCAGGCCTGTGATGGAGTCTTTTATGGACAAGCGCATGAAAGCTGGAAACGGCCGTTGCGATGCTGAAGGGGACAAGGTATGTCGAAATAGCAGGCTATGGGAGTACATCAACGGCAAAAAGCCCAAGGAGTATGATTTGCAGCAGTCATAAACATAACGAGGGGAGTCTGGTGAGCTTGCATGAGTCAACTCGGTATGGTAAAATGGGAGAGTTTTGGGATGATTCTGCTTCTCTGTGCCATTTGCGTGGCAAGAGTCCGGGGCTACGGGGCGGAATGGATTACATGGGTACACAGGATTATTTGACTAAAGGTATTTTAAAGTAATCATAATGGGCATTGAATATCACTGACGCAAATGAATAGAAGTTTATTGCTGGTCATTGTGGCTGGGAGCTTTTACACAATCGCCTCAACTGGTTTCTGATTATTTCTCAAGGCCTGGGGGTCGTGATTGTCCAAGAGGACGAAAAACCACTGGATTCAAAGGAACAAGAGAGGAGAGCATAACAAAGAGTCCCGAACCGATTGAAGAATTTGATATTCTGAGCCTGTGACAGCAGGTTACAATCGGCCTCTCCTCCCGCGAGAACGTTGGGAGCGAGACCCCTTGATTCTAGGAAGGAATCTCGGATTCTGCCTTTGAGAGAATTGACGCAGTCTCTTGTTGCATAAGCGTCAGAGTTTAAAGAGAGAAACCTATGTATCAATTGCTGTATGCGTCAATCCTAGGTAGACGCACAGGTTCTAATTACCTGTTGACAAAGACGGTAAGCCGGGCCGCCTGAGCCGGTGGTAACGATGACTATGACACTACGATCAGCAAATCTAGGCAGCAACGAATTGTAGTCAAAGACTTTGCCCATTCATAGTAGGATTTACCTGCAACCACTTGCACTTGAAATTGCTACGGGAGTATTTCCTATATTTTGGAATCAATACACCAATGGAAAGAAATGAAAACAGCAACATGTACAACGATTCCTGAACCACTCAACAACATCCGTCCTCAAGGCAATAAGACCAAACCAAGGTACAACAACAGAAATGCCGCCTCTTTTCCAATACTTGCTCTTCGAATGCTTACCCTTCGATATTCACTATCAAATCGCCTCTTACCTGGACTACGTGGACATTCTCAAACTTTCATCTGTCAACTCCATTTTCCGCGACTATCTCAACACTTGCGCACTTGTGCCCAAACGACGGTGGATTCAATTCCTCTACGAAACAGAGCGCCACAGCTCTCGTAACGGCGTTCGCGGGTTCGGAAGGCAATGGCCATGCTACGGATGCGGCCGCGTCCTGGACAAGAAGTGTTTCGGCGACAGAATGAGAAGATACGAAAAGTCGTGGTTCCGGAAGTCGATGACTTTGAGGCGGTGCTGGGACTGCGCTGCTCGTGAGAGGTGGTATGGTCACTTGCAGCCGATTAAGAAGCAAGGGGAGGTTTTTCGTCTTTGCTGGCGATGTGGGAAGTTATGGAATGAGAGGGAGGAGGAGAGGTGCCGGAAGGTGGATGTTTGGATCAAGATTGATGGGGTTCATGGGGAGAAGGACACGGGGCGGAAGTGCAAGGCGACGGTGTGCGGTGCTCAGATGGGATCTCAAAAAGAGCGTATCTCGATACCGTGGTTCGGAGGCGAAGAAGATTTTACGCCTGAAGACTAGCCTTAAAGAGAAGGGATAGCTGTGTCGAGGAATTTATGAACATATTGCTTCTACTGTTTCTCTTGTAGGGGCCTTAATTTTCCTGATGCAGACAATTGACGAAGAGCAGAGAGGTTTGATTAGGCTTTCCTGTATTCGACATGATCCCCAAAGTAGATACTAGTGCCGTTAGCTTTTGCATGACCGGCAGATCTGCAGGCCTGCTGAAGCCGATGGAATAATATGCGGGCCGCGGGTTGCAACCTAGGATCTGGGGACTGGCAGGGCTTCGGTCTTGTCCCACCCGGAATGTGGGAGAAGCCGCACCAAATGGCGTACGATACTCTGGACAGGCGGAGCCTATGAGAGTCTGATCAAGTCATGTTACTCGAAGCATCAGACATGGTATTGGTACTTGTATTCTCTAACTTTGAACTCTGAAAGAGCCTCTCGTTCCATTTCTAGACACAAGGCGAACAAGCCCTGATCAGTGACGTTCAACCGCTCCAGCCGTCGACTATTACACGGTTTCGTTGGCCACCTCGAGAGCCTTGTCGGCGACGCTGCTTTGTGCTCTTCTCGATTCATACTCCTTATCTTCGTAAGGCTTCGCTCCCATATTTGTCCAAGCACGCTCAATCATGAGCGTGATCTCCTTCTCTTTCCCGCGGAAGAGCAGTTCTGTGTCCCCGATACCGAAAGCAGTGATGGATTTGTGCTGTAATGCGTTAGGTACGGATGCTGGAAAGGTGCGGAAAGTGCTCATGCGAAGACTTAAAAGACCCAGCGTCAACTTGATGACTCCATCAGCCCAGTAGTGCTCATAAATGTTGGAAGGCGTCTTTGACTGAAGAGCGAGAACGAGGTTGTCCGCGGCGTAGATGGCCTGCTTCATAGCAGCTCGGGCATTGGGGTTGGTGACGCCAGCCTCGGCAACATCGCCACACACGTAAATGTGCGGTAATAGTGAATCGACGTCGATCTGCATTGTTGGCTTGACCTTGATACGGCCTGACTTTGCGATCGCCTCAGGGACGAAATCGCTGATGAGTTGAGAGGAAGGCTGCTGGCCAGTAGCGTTCACCTAGACGTACGAAGCTCGTTAGAACGCCATCCGGAAATTGGAAGTTCAGGATTTCGCTCACCAGCGCTGCCGCTAAAGCCAATCTATCAATCAAACTTCCAAACAAACCAAACAACTGAGGCTATTCCCAACTATCAATCAAACAACTTCTGACCACCGGGATTTGATATATTGGGTTGATTTGGCTTGGCATATTACATAAGCCTGTATATAGCCAATGGGATGCCATTATCGCGAATATTCACGCCCTAACGCGGTCAGCTTTCTTTTTCTGTATGCAGCACCATTAATCCTGACAGCTTTGCGACATTCTTTTCTGCCCTCCTGGCTGTATTTTCTCTTCAGACAATACTCCTGAGTGATCTATGATTCCCAGCGACGTTGGATATGGGTATAAAAGCACTGGAACCGCTCTCTTACTACGTCTCTTCTTCTTCCTCATGCCTCACAAGCAGCCAACATCAGCAACATCGCCAACATCCTGGGCTTGCCTACCTTTGCCATGATGACTTCAACCGTACGTCAGCCACTCCCCCCCTCCTCTCTCCCTGGCCCTATATAAGGGCTTCCCCATCCATCCAGGAAGCTCTTCTTCCCCAGGCATGATGATGTCTTGGTTTCACAACTAACGATGCTATTCACAGATGTTGTCCCCCACTCCTTTACCTACCAACGTACTTCAACTGCTTCGATCCCCCTCCAGAATTGCAACTCAAGTGGCCAACAGTGTCTCTGTCGTTCTTCCCTCGAATCCATCCATCTTCGACCTCCCTACGATCATGTGGGACTGTGGATACCTGAGGCAGTGGCTGGTGCCCCAGGCACCAGCTGCCTGATCCACCTCCTGGTTGATCCAGCCCACCGCAGCCACCTTCACCACAACATCACCAACCAACCGTCAATACCAGTCGTATTGCCTCATTGCTTGCCTCGTTGGTCCAGATGAGCAGTGTGTACTGCCTACAGATCATATGGCAGAACAAGAGATATGTGGTTGAGGAGCAGCTGGCCCGTAAAGGAGGCAGGGGGAGGAAGAGTTGGCTTAAGGTCCATGGGGTCTTCCTTGTTGAGCTTTGTGATGAGGGGCCAGCTGGTGCTTACTGGTGCTGTCAACAATGTGACAGTAAAGGAAAGCCAGAGTTCTTTGCTGCTACTGCTTCTAGCTCTGCTGCAGACCATCTTCGCAGGTACGTATATGTCCTTTGGTATGATTATTGTTAACTGATCTATATACAGATGCCATCAAGTCTCACAATGGGGTTCTGCTACCGATGAGACAAGCTCAGGAGAGACTCTCCACAGCTCAGAGCATGGTACTCGTTCATCGAAGAGGAGGAAGATCTCCCATATACCCAAGTCGAAAGTGGCTACTGTCATAGATCTCTGTCTCTCCACCATCATCACCAACGATCTACCATTCGACCACTTTCAAGATAGCTTCGTTCAACAAGTTCTACGACTCCACAACTCCTCTCTGGCTGATCAGGTGCCATGGGGTAGGACTTCAATGATGGACCATCTTCCCATTCTCTTCGCTAGGGGGCAATCCTACGTCAAGGATGAACTCCACAGTGCCCTCACTAAGATCCATATTGGGTTTGATCTGTGGACGTCACCCAACAACTACGCCTACCTTGCAGTCACTGCCCACTTCATCAACAGTATGGGCCAGCACCAGTCTCGTCTCATCGCCTTCAACCACATGAGCGGCGATCACAGCGGTCCCAACATATCCAACAATATCTACGAGACTCTTCAGCAATGGGATATCACTGGCAAAGTGGGTGTGGTGGTCTGTGATAACGCCAGCAACAACGATACCTGCATCTCTGCCCTCTTCAGGAGACTCGACCCTATGATGGATCAGGGGGACTATCAGGCAAGGAGAATGCGATGCTACGGCCACATACTCAACCTGGTGGCACGAGCCCTTCTTTTTGGTGCTGATCGTAAAGTCTTTGAGGCTGAGTCACTCTTCTACCAGTCTGTCTATTATGAGGAGGAAGATCTGAAGCTCTGGAGGAAGACGGGGCCTGTTGGTAAGCTTCGTAACATCGTGAAGTTCATCAGGGCTTCTCCTCAGCGATCTGAGCGATTCAGGAAAGCAGCCCAAGAGGTTGATGCTGGGTCAGACTTCGAGCTATTCAGCCAGGGGTCTCAGGAGTCATATCTTCTTCTCAACAACGAGACGAGATGGAATTCCACCTACCTCATGATCCATCGAGCTCTTCAGAAGAGGGCAGAGATCGAGACCTACATCAACTGGGTCCAGGAGCAGGACAATGCCAGTAAAAGGATACCTGACGATGACCTCCTTTCTTCAGAAGATTGGAAAGTCTTGGTTGAAGTCAAGTCTATCCTTGAGCCTTTCTACCTGCAGACGAAGAGGACGGAGGGATGGGGTAAGGGGGATGGGCATGGTCGTCTCTGGGAAGTCATGACTGGCATGGAGTACCTCCTTGAGCATCTAGAGGAGTGGAAGAGTCTATACAACTCCGTACTCCATCCCATTGATTCTCAACAGGAAGACGAGTCGTCTACGATCAATGTGACTGCTGATGAAGAGTCCCTACCATCACAGACTCGATCAGGGCGCCCCATTCGATCTTCAGTCAACAGCCAGACCCAGCCTCTTCAGGAATCCATACTTCCACAACATGTAAGAGAGGACTGGAGTCAACGTACTGCTCGATTTATGGGTTTCTCTTCCTCGTACCAGGAGCATCTTCGTACTTCTGTTGAGTTGGCCTGGCAGAAGCTCTCCTCATACTATACGAAGTTAGAGGAGTCTCCCTTGTTTGCTGCTTCTGTTATTCTCCACCCTTCACTTGGTATCTCATACCTTGAGGCAGTCTGGGATGAAGGGGTTCAGCTTGAGTGGGTTCGTGATGCAAAGAAGGGGCTCAGGGACTACTTTGACCATTGGTATAGGTCCGAGGAAGAGTCTGATGACTCTACGGCTGTTCTTGAGATCACACTTCCATCCCATGAAGACAGCCACTTCAGGCAATGGGTACAGACTAGACGTAGTCGTGAGCCTTCTCGACAGCAGGATGAGCTGGAGACGTACCTCAGGCAGCCTCCTAAATCTACGGAAGATCCTGTTAAGTGGTGGAGAGACCACCAGTCAACCTATCCTCTACTCAGTAGACTAGCTCTTGATGTGTTGGCAATACCAGCCATGGCTGCTGACTGTGAGAGGGCATTCAGTACTGCGAAGCTGACCCTGACGTCGCAAAGGCACTCAATGAAGCCTCAGACTATGGGTCAGCTGCAGTTGACGAAGAATTGGCTGAAAAGGAAAGCCATGCCCATGGGGGTTGAGATTGGCTCACATATTGCATCATGAATAGTTGTGAATAGCTTCACTTATTTCCTAATTGGGTAATTAGTATGGGCGTCGTCGGGTCACGTGTTCTATGGATTTGTTTGATATATTGGCCAATAGGGCAAATTAACCAATCTTGGGGAAAAGGCAGTCAAATCAGTCAAATCTTGGCGTTGATTTGTTTGTTTGCTTTGGCGGCAGCGCTGTCGCTCACCATGAAGTCGCATTCGACTTTTCGCCCAGAGTGAAGCGTGACGAACCCATCTACAGGCTCTTCGGATGTTGTCCGTTCTCCGAGTATGACTTCAACCCCGAGGTCCTTCAATCCCGCGAGAGCTCCAGCCTGCAAGTCATGACCGAAGCGGTTCATGATTGCGCCTCTCGAGTGGATCAACGTGACGTCCTTATCCGGATATTGGTCTTTGGCATCCGTGGCGAGTTCGACACCCGCAGCTCCTCCACCAACGACAACAAGATTCTTGGCAGCTTTGATGCGTTGCTGGAAACCTTGCAGCAGCTTGGTTCCTCCGGCTTTATCTGTTGAGCCTACTCTTGACGGCAATGACATTCCAACGCCTGATCCAGTTGCGATGACCATGTACGAGTATGGAATATTCTCTCCTGTGCCTTGTATCGTCACAATATTCTCGGTAATCGTGGAGACGCGATCGTGAACCCATCGTACAACCTTCTCCAAGCCCGCTGGCAAATGAGGGCCATAGGGGATGAATGTCTTGTGCTCATGTCCCTCAATGACACAGAAGCGTGGCAACGTCCAGGTGAATTGCCAATGTTGATTCGGCTCGACAATAATGAGTCGGTACGGACCGTCTGCGGGAAGAGAGGTTGCAATTACTCTGGCAGCATGGTACCCGGCAAAAGAAGCACCGATGACTACGATGTTGATCGGTTCGCCGTTCTTCGATGCGGGACCGGCGGGAAGCTTCTTGGCCGTGTAAGATCGGGAGAAAAAGTCCGCATAAAGCCGTAGCGAGTATCCTACAAGTCTCACGAAAAGGACGACCTTCCTAATTTTGTCCATCTTCGACGGCAATAACCGGAGTCCGCGGGCTTGTTGGGGTGAAAATGGTCAAGGGAGGTGTGGTACAGTGATTATTGACAGGATCTGATTAGGCGGATGGTCTCAATACTTATCAGATGCATCTGATTAGATCAAAACGGGAACCGGTCTCGTTTAGTAGCGTGCTGCCATTCGGCGGACGAATCGGCTGTGAAATGACCGATGTCGCATCGGCCGACGCTATCCCCGGAACTGCTCAATTTCAGTTGTTGGTTGACACGCAGGCGGACTTAGAAGAGGCAGCTCCTCGGGCTTTTCGTATTGACCTCGGTCTTGACCTTGCCTGGAGGGTGAAGTACTGAGCATGAGACAGGTATTTCTCTGTAATGACTTCCATCTTCCAAGAGTTTGGGCGCTAAGACAACGTGCCACACTTTCGGGACGGTTGCGAGCGTTTATTACGTACAAACAAAAGTCTCCGCCGGAGGAGAAACCCTCGCACATTTCTCCCTAAGTTCTAGTGGAAAAGACTGCATTGTTTTCACCACGCTCGGTACGGAATTCCAAAGACGGTATAAACAGCACCGTGGGTCCGTACGGCCAACAGTAATGAGATCCTGCCGACGCCGGTGCCCCTGTTCCGGACCAAGGAGCCTAATTTCCACTCCGAGAACCGAACCAGGGCCATCCAAGCAACGAGTCATGGCTCTCCATGACAGACCTCGCCTGCAAAAGACCCTTTGAAAGGTAGCGGGGAGACATGATTAACAGACAAAATAAGCATTATACAAGTCGATTGCATTAATCAAATAGGGGAATTTTCAAGCATGCTAGAACGCCAATATCAAAAACAAGGTCCCTCTTTTCAAACATGTACCTCCTGAACCTGCACCTCCACAGACATGGCACCATTGCTAGCCTTCTGGTCGACACCAATCATATCGACTACGGGAGCCGCCGGGATACTCTTGACATTGTTGAAGGGAGGGTATCCTGCAGCACGCCACTCCTTGAAAGTCATGCCCCCTGCACATGCAGGCATCTTGACCATGAGGGGAACGACTGTGTCTTCCGGTTGTTCCATGAGCTCCGCGCTGTGGACAATCTTCTCATCCAGAGTCTCGTAGCTCATCTTTTCGTAGAGCTTGTATGTGGAAGGGGATGACTCAAAGTACAGAGGGAGGCCCAGGCTGTCGCTGAGTTCCGCTCCCCACTTACACCAGAGGGCTCCAGCCTTCCTGCCCTGGTGCTTGGGATCGACGGCAATAACATGAGAGTCTGAAAGAAGCAGGTCGAGTCAGTTTCCTTTGCCAGGGGGACCCCTCTACGAAACGGATTCTGTTGACTTACAGATGTAACGGCGCCCACCAAACAGCTTCTCTCTAGCCTCGTGCAGGGGGTTGAGAACAGCCTCGGCTCGCTCTCTGTCCTTGCCTTCGATCCAACCAACACCGTGGTTCTTGCGCTCCTCCTCAGTACGCTCTCTGAGGTAGATGTCGCCCAGCGCCATGCCGACGATCTCGCCAGTCTCGGTGTCGACGCACTTGTAGGTGTACTGGCAGTCGCTGTGATGCCACCAGGCCAAGGTGCCAGCAGTGTGTGCCTTACGGAACTCTTCAGAGTTTGTGCCGTTGGGGAAAAGGACTTTAACCATGATCTCTCCCATCTCATCACCGGTGAAGGCTTTGAAATACGAGTCGTAGACCTTCTGGATGTCGGGAATAAGCGCTGGGAGAATTGCGTAACCCGTGTTGACTGATGTTCGAAGCAGAGCTGGCTTGAAGGTCTGGTATAACAAGATGGCTTTGCGGATGTGAATTGTACCAAAACTACAGTGGAAGGTTTAAGAATACAATGATTTGGGGCGTCTATTGAAAGTGACGGCTCTGACCGAGGAATTATTCTGAACTTATATACATCCCTTTGTCTCTCGGTTTAAGCCATGTATCTGTGATCTCCCCAAAAGCCCCTCCAACTACTCCGAACAAGGACGAGAGGGCCTTGAAGTCGAACCCCTGCTACACCCGGTGCGGAAACTCCTCTTGACTACCTAAGGGAGGCAAAATTCCACAAGTTTTCTGGTCTCGCCCAGACGAAAGAAGCGTCCGGCGCAACCAACCCACGGAATAGTATCTGCGATGCGGAGCTTCAAATCTTCGACGTGGACCAGGTTGGCACAAGAAACTCCAAGTAACATACCAGTGGGCCACTCAAGTTCCCAACTTAGCGAGCTCTTCGGCACGATTCCACCGCGTCCAGAGTCCAGGCTCGTTTAGAGTTATCAGATCCACCATTTTAGCAGCAAAAGTATGCTCACGCCCTAGACCCTTGGGGATTTTCGGCCAAGTGTTGATGGCTGCAACCTTTTACTCGGTTGCGGACTCTGTGACTCGATTCCGCCCACTCACCCAAATGGGCGGGACAGCCATGAACTCATGCAGACCCGATTAATGAGCTAGCAAAAGGCCATTGATCCATGACCAACGTGTCTGTGGAACTGTTCCCCGCCGTGTCGTTGCCAAGCTTTCAACATATGGCCATGACCAACAGCTGGGTTTAGCGAGCATGCTCGACCAACGCCTATGTTGGCATCCACATAGTGAATACCAAAAAACTATTGGCTCCAAGGCAACTAGGTACATGTAGACTAGAGTGTAGTCCACACTCTTCAAGAAGAACACGAAGAACGCCTCAACGGTCTCTGGGTATATGTACCTGCCTCATACCCTTAGTTGACTACTTAGTAGACGGATATCAAAAGTATCACGTACTACCTCGTTTAGTTCTGGTGGCATAAACGCCACAAACCAAAGTTGAAGTTCCTTGCCGAATTATTCTCTTGCACACGATGCCAAGTCAAGTTATCAGATCCGCTCTGCTACCCCACCACTCTCGTTATCTGATCAATCCATCCAATCCGGATTTCGGCATCGTGGAGTCCAGGCAAGGTTCCTTACCGGAGGATCATCTCAGCTTAGACTAGTGACAACGCTAGACAAGGGGGATTTTCAGCCCTGGGGTTGCATTTGTCTAACCGAGGACCAGACATGGGGGGCCGCAAGAGTCCCTTTGCATCGTGGGAAATGACTTGGCGCCTTCTTTCTTCGGAACAGACCGAGTTACTTCGCATGTGGCAATGGGTCCGTCTCAAGTTAGAGCAAGAGCGAGAGCGTTCAAGGACCACCCCTGAAAGACATGGTCTGATTTTTGCGCCTCTTTTGGTGAAGTTTGCTTCTGACGGGAATCCATCTCTCGCAATATTACTAAAATAGTTTGTAAGCTACTACTTACGAAAGTCTTCCTTCCACACATCGCTCTTTTCAAGCCAGATTTGCTTCCGTAGAGTGTAGGTGATGGACGAGAAACCAGGCCGGGAGATAAACTGCAGAAGAACACCTACTGGGCTGCGTCCAGACTGATGGGCACACTGCGTGCTGTCTGTGATTCTGACGTTGACGGCTTGAATCCACCCAGGCCCTTCAATGTTGTCGCAGCGCCACACGTGGCGCTGCTGGTTACTGCCGTACGATACCGCTTTCCACAAGCCGATTACCCGTCTTGTACGGTATATAGATATAACCCTTATACGGATCTTCCACTTAGAGGAATCAAGCTACTTTCTACTATACATATCTTCTACTTGCTACCTCGCTTTGTGATAAATGTGGATGCATCTGGAAGATAGAAGATGGAGTAAAATTTGGTGCAAGGGCTCGCATCGGGTAGTCCTGAGAACTTGGCATTGAGGATGCCACAAGGCGCGGCTGGTGAACCCACAGTCACATGCCTCCCTGGATGAGGTAGTCTCGATGAGCGTGGGAAGACCGGGGTGATTTTCCGAGGTCGCTTTGAAGGGGTTGCAGAGGATCTTTGCTGCATCTACATGACTGCGCGCCCTGCAGATTTTCGGTGAGACCACCCTCCTCCGCTAGCAGAAGACCTAAAGTGAGCATTTATTGCACGCGAATGGCTGCCAGTCTGCAACCTTTTACTCAGTCTGTTATAGTCATCCCATCGTGCACAAGCTCTTGTTGGTATAACTATCTCTCAGTTTACAAAGTACCTATTACGACAGTAATTCTGAAGAGAAACCAAGTTGCAAACCTCGAAATTATAGCTGTGAACCTCGTGTGGCGTAATTTAGCCCACTTGATTGAGTGTTTTAGTTGCCACTTTTGCCCACATACAAAAGCCAACGTGCCAACCCACCACATGTGTGTATTCTGTACATTAGTGACCTGCCCGCTTGCTGCAATGTCTCAATTTCACCGAGACCAAAACTTAGAAGCATTCGGTAACGAAACATCTTCACTATACCAAGCTCTAGTTGTTCTTGGCTAGGATACGTACTTCAAAAGACTTATTCCCGTCCAACGTCCCCCGAAGACCGGCTGTAAGTGATCGAACAGCGCCCCTGTGTCTTCCTCCTTGACTCCGGAGATGTCATCATAAACAAGTAGCTTTGATAACACGTCCTTCCCTTCTTGGGCTAGCTTTTCTGCATCAATTGACAACTCGCCACCATTCCGCGCCTTCAGTATCTGGGAAAGGTGGAACTTGGCTCTCGCGGTCGCAGCATCTGACCAGACGCTTTTACCGGGCTTACCTTCGGCTTTCTGTAAGGCGTTGTTGATTTGCCATCTGATGCTCTGTTAGTCAAAACGAGACCAAATGGGGACTGACTTGACTCACTCGGCGTCGTCCCATCTTTCTAGGTAGGAGTACAATGCACCCACAGCATACTGACTTTGTAACGTGAAGTAGCTGTCCTTGCCTTGGAGTCTGATCCTCTCGGCTAGTATAATCTCGTGCTGGTCTAGGGAGCCCTGCAAATCGCCACTCTGCAGAATAATGCAGGCAAGGTCGAACTGAAATCGCAGAACAAGCAACTTGTTGCCAAATACTTGCATGAGTCGGACAGCCTTCTCGGAAAGCTGGATGGCTTCCTCAAAATCGTGTCGATACATGCTACAATAAGCCATGTGATGTGCAAGCTTTGCAAAGGAAAAAGGATCCGATTCTTCGGATGTGATGGTAAGCAACCGTTCATGACAATCTCTGTAGATCGAATCAGCGGCTTTGAAGTCGTTGCCCTGAAGCAAGGAATTGGCGTAGTCCGCGAAAGCGTTGATGACTCGGATCCTGTCGACATCTGTGAGCTTTCCCAAAGCCTCCAGCTGCCTTGCACGATTCTGATTGAATTCGAGTATCTTCTTTGATCTTTCACTGATTTCTTTGCGGCGGGAAATTCCAAGGTATTGAAGCAAGAGGTTCATCGTAACGTGGATCTCAGCTCTTAGCTCGTCGTGATTCGTTTCTAGTTGGTCGAGGATTCTCTCTGCAGCTAACAAAAGCCGCATGGCGTCATTTCGGAGGAATCTTTGCCACAGAAACACTCCGCCGTCCTTGAACAACTCGGCAAGCTCGATGAAAGGGGTCAGAGCGATCACCGTGCCCTGGTCCGCGTAGATCTTCTGGAGGGTCGCAACATGTGGCAAGTATTCCTTGAAATGGCTCCATTTTTGTTGGTCTGGAAATTCCAAAGAAGGCCGCGGAAGCCGTCGACGGACCAGCTCGACAGTCAGTTTGAACAACTCTTCGGCTTGCCGAGTCTTCTTGTGAAGTTCTCGGGAGATTCGCATCTGTACTGATCGATGAACGATGTACATCTTTTTGTTGTCCTGGGTCTTCTCAGAAATGAAATGCTTGGATATCAACTGATTCAAGATTTTCTCGATCCTAGGAAGGTTAGCTAAAGGAGTAAAATGACACTTGGGGCTCGTACCTGAAGGCCTGCAGATAACTCGGCCCGTTCTGACCTTTCTCGACAACCAAGAGGTCCTTAGGAACTCCGTCGCTGTCTAAGAAAGACAATATGCGGAGGACTTTGTTTGCATCACTGCTGAGATCTTCTGTAGAAATCTTCATGATGGTGTCAAGCCTTCCTTTGGTGCTTTTCTGGTCTTCTGGACCAGAACCTGGGTTATTGTCCAGCCACCACGAGTCCCAGTAGCTGGCAAACTCAGACGGCTTGCAATTCATTGCCTTCATATACCCAGTAATGAGGACGATTACCAATGGCAAGCCGGCTAGAGCTGCCAGATCTCCCGCAGCTTTGTACTCAGGGTCTCGCACAGAGTAAGTGGATGGCCGAAGATCTGGGGGCAGTCCGTGCAGCAGAAGTTCTCTTCCCTCCTCCGTTGGTAGCTCTTCAAGGGTTTTGCGATAGTAGTTGATTGGCCTTGATGGTGCTGTAAGCCCTTGGTATCTCGTGGTGATGAGAATACTGCCTGTTGTCGCCGATGTCTTCATTGGTGTGAAGCCGTCAATATTATCCCACTTTTCCACATTATCGAGGACCATTAACCATCGCTTCTTGGTGGTTTCTAGGAATTCTCGCCCGAATTTCGTCAGCTCTTCTGGATCAGAGCCAGGTGCCGCCAAATCGAGCACAAGAGCAATTTCGTTGAATGTTTCCGAAGCACCAACTTGTGTCTCGGCCTGAACCCAAAAGATGTACTCGAAAGACTGCTCATATCGGTATGTGAACTCAGCGGCCAGAGTTGTTTTCCCCATACCACCTTCAGCACTGAGAACATAAACTCGGCCAGGCTCTGACAGAATCTTGTAGAGATTGGCCAGCTCTTTTTCGCGCCCTTTGAAACTTTCATCTTTGGGAAAGGTCCTTGTTTCTACGAGTGGGAATCTTTGTGTTGAGTCTGTGTTAGATCGAGGTCGATGATGGAAACGACTTGAGCCTTGTTCGACATGGCGGCTCGGACGAGTGCCACCACTCATCAACTCCTGTACTCTCCAAGCACCCGATGGGCCAGCTAATCCACTTCCTGCCACCTCAGAGAAGCCCGATGCTGGTTCATCCTTGTCTGAAACATCATCAATATCGTCTTCGTCAATGTTTTCCGCTGGTTTTGGACGTTGTCCCAACTGTGCGACTTGCTCGTCGGCGAAGGCTTGCAGCATCCGGAGTTTCGTTCCTCTTTCGGACATGTTGTCGCTAGCGCTTTGAGACATGATATCATCGCTATCATCTTCTTCCGTAGACTCCTCTCCATACACAGCTGTCAGAGCTAACTGCTCTAGATGCTTCGCTATGTGTTTCTTCATCTCTGCTGGCTCCAGCGGGGAGGGACATAGAGGACATCTTTCTCGTGTGAAGGACTTGCGAGAGTGAATAGGCCTCAAGAATGACACCATTTCAGTAGCCTCGTCCGGCGAGAAGTCAGTCGAGTGTGACTTCAACAAGTGCTCTTCTAGGTGTGACTTGGTTTCGAACTCCTTCTGACACGACTCGCAACTCCATACCTGAGGTATGAGATGACTTCGTAACTCGTGCTGGTACCACTCGTCACGCGCACCGTACGCTTTGCGACCCCAGTCGCAATGGTCAAAAGTGCAGAGATAAGCGAGTAAGTCTTCGAACACGTGAGACTCCCAATCTTCAGTGGTTTTCAACTCTTCGTATAAATTGACCTCAAAACAGCAATACGGACATGTGAATGGCTGACCATCCAAAGATCTGGGCGGTGGTGGTACCAGATGCTCAGTCCCACGGATAAAAGGGGGTGCATCTGGCTTCCGAGCCGTGGACTGTGCATAAGATGTGAGTGATGCTGTACGAGAAAAATGGGGTCGAGAGAACATGGATGGTGCAAGGGATGTCTCTGCATGTGAAGAGGAGCTGTAGTCAGAGACAGAGACGGAATCGTGCTTGTGCGGTCTTTCCGGAATACCTTCAAGCCGGGGGACTGAGTGTTTTGCGTGATCGCTGCCGACCTTGAGGGCAGGCTGCTGGAAGTTGAAAGCGTCAACAGCAACATCACGCCTGGGGCCCTGCCGAGGACCAAGTTTAGAGATCTTGGCCTTAGTGTTCAAACCAACAGCTCTTCTCTCCCGTACAACACGAAGGGATTGTTGTCGTCTCCAGTTGGCTCGTCCAAGCCTTTCGATTAAGACTTCTGATGCGCCAGGAAACATTGATCTAGTCAACTCCAGATGTTCGTGAACTGGATTGTCTAGCGGGTCGCTGGAAGCGTTTGAGCTGCCAGAGCCGCCATTCAGGTCTTCTGGATAAGCCTCTCTCAAGGCAGGATTGAGAGACTTAAGCTGGTCGAGTGATTCCTCGGCACAAAGAAAGACTTCTTGAATCTCAGCAGCTATGCATGTGCCTTCGGTCTGCGGCAGGGGGCTTGCTAGACCCAACTCATCGTCAAAATGGGGTTCGGCCAAATCTGTATCGTTCGTTTGGTAGATGCCGTATTGGAGAGCTTCAATGTCTGGGGATCGAGATCATCAGTCAGTAATCTAGGTCAAATGCAAACTAGCCGGAGGTTGATGGAATAAGCGGTACCTTGCTCAAGTTCATCTTGAAAGACGTTCAATAGCGCAACAACCTGGTCACGAAGCCTTTGATTCAGCCGTAGACTGCGATCCAGATTGTGATTGGAGGCCCCGATGTCATTGCCCCACGTTTTGAATGACGCCGATACTTGATCAGCAATATCAAGTTCGATCTCCGGGTGGTTGCTCTTGAGATTTTTGCAGATCGTATGGACGCTTTGCAGAGTTTCACGACACTCTTCAAAATTGGCTGCTATCAGGGCCCTTTCGCCGAGAGTTGACTTTCGGTCTTTCCCAGAACGTATGGTAGCATACACTGCTGATGGGAAGCGAGGATCCATCCTGTTGATGCGAACTACAAGCAGGGAAAGTCTAGCTCAGGTCTGAGTCTGATTCAGTGGTGCCCGAAGCTCTGAAGTTTGGGAAAGCTTAAGCAAGATCAACGAACAGATGGGGGGCAGATCGAATGTCAAGTGATGCTAGTGCGCTCGCTTTGGTAAAATGGAGAGGCAGTCGTGCCAAGTACCTGAACGTGCCTCGGAACACCGCAGCTCGGGATGATGGATGATGGTGTGCGAGGTGGAATGCTTACATCCTACAACAGAAAAGTACCGTGCTTCCTGCAGAATAGAGAGAGTGCAATGCAAGTTCAGCCAAATGATCCACAACCAATAGACGTACTCGCTTTGGCACCCTCTTGAGATGCGTCACGGAAGAAGACTTGAGGCTTGTATGCAGTAAGCATGCCGGGCAACTGTCGTACTCAAACGTGATGATTGTCGGCCATGCTTCAAGAGTACAAATCCCGCTTGTTCATTCATACTTTCATAGTATTGGAAATAATGCTAACTTGCAGAGGAAAGAAGATGACTGATGTGAGCCGAACCGATGGCTCCGGACATAACGTCAGGAACCAAAGTAAGGCTGCGTGGCTTGGAACCGGAGGGTGTGATGAGTGTACCCCGCTCCTAGATCCTCGTCACCGAATGCCTCCCAGAGTATTGAGGCGTGGATCGGGTGTGCTAACACATGTGAAGGTTCAATCAGGCTGCGGTCGATGAGCCCTTTTATCTTGACTGAAGTTGGGAAATTTAATTCAGATAATATGTTCTTACTGAGATAAAATCCTCTCCGCATCTTCCATCTACTTCCGCGCGATATTCAACCGTTGCCGACTCGCATCTCGAGTACAAAATGTCAGGCATCGAGGCGGTTGGGCTGGTCCTCGGACTATGGCCCGTTATCGCAAGTCTTGTCAAAGGTTACAAGGCAGCTAAGGATGGAGATGACCGCGATTTGCTTCTACGCAGGATTGATGTCCAGCAGATCATTTACGAACACTGTGTAAGACAGCTTGTTCAAGAAAATGACCAAACTGTCGATGATAATTTGACGAACACGGAAATTAGGCAACTTGATATCTCATTCTGGCAAAAGCCATCATTCCGAATGAGACTGCGCAGTCGTCTCGGTACAAGAGACTTCGACTTGATGGAGTCTGTCCTGAAGCAGATCGAAACGACAATGAACAGCCTACGTAGCCAACTTGAAAACGGCCAAGCTGATCTTGTGAGCTCATGTATACTTTATCTTTCGATAAGTAGCATCACGCTGACGTTCGGCTAGACAGTGACAGGCACGCGAAGGAGTCGAATGAAGCATCACTTTCGCCAGATGAGAATCAATATGCCGCACTCAGAATTTCAGAAATCCTTTGACAGACTGAAAGACCATAACACGGAATTGCAACAGCTCGTCCAGATTTTCGAACAGTCCCAAAACACGCTGAAGTGGAAATCTCCGGCTTCGAGCAGGAAGCGCCGGGCTTCGACCATCATGAGATCAAAACGTGTAGCACCAAAGCATATAAACGAATTCTCCCGAATTCTCGAAAACAGCTATAATTGCAGCTGCAGCGGGGGACACGGTGCGGATCTCAACATCAATGGGGACGCTCAGTTCCAAGTGTACTTCCATATCGGCGACGAAACCGAAACACCCTTCTCTGAAGCTTCCTCAGAATCTCGACTTCCTACAATGTCCACGGTATCAGCAATCAACATCGGAAATGAAGGCGATTTGGATAGAACGGGTCGAGTTATGGCGCCTGAAATTGTGGGCACACCTGAGCGTACGGAATTCAGCAAAAGTCCAGGGTGAGCATCTGACTACTCTCTACTGATACTATTTCGAACTGACGATATAGAAGCCAGGACGATGCCAGGACATCGTGGTCTCGATCTCGCCACAACAGCACTAGCACTGGATCCCACGAAAGACGCGCTACTCGTGCACTTCCAATCATATTCTACCGGCCACTCTCCGAATCTAACGACAATGGGAGGGAAATTTACGATATGTGCGATCTAGTGAAAAGTCTAGATAAGAACGTCGCGAACACTCGGAGATCGTATCAAACAGTTGGTACACTTGGCCATGGTGGCAAACATTTTGCAGCCCGCCCCATAGACCCAGCAACGGCAGACAACCATGTGATATCCCTCGACGAGAAGCTCCCTGAAGCCGAGGATTGGCTGTTATCCCGTCAACAGCGCGTCGATATCGCACAGAGACTCGCTCTGGCTATTGTGCAGTTTTGGTCAACATCTTGGATTGACAGGTGGTGGACATGGAGGGATTTCTCAGTCAAGGATGGTGATGCCCGGGAGGTCCAACTCTTTGTGACGCGCACCATCTTTGCACCAACTTCCGAGGCAAAGTCAACTGGGACGCCAGCAAGAATCTGGAGGTTTCTTCGAGAGCCGCTGCTAGTTCGACTTGGGTTTGCATTGATCGAGTTGGCGCTGGGCATGAGACTATCTCGATGGAGAGAACTGCGTAAGTATGGCAATACGACTGTTGAAGGACTTGGAGAAGACAGTCAGGACGAGAGGGATTACGATACCGCCCTAACCATTCTAGGGCGGAAGATATTGCAGGAAGAGGTTAGTGTAGCATATCAGGCTGTGGTAGAGGCTTGCTTGAAGTGCGAAGTAGTTCGGGAAACAGGTGCGATTTCTCTCACAACGGCTGCAAATTCTTTCTCAGAAGATGTAGATCGCGAGATCTTGCAGCCGCTTTCCGAGTACTTCGAGACTAACTGGGGGGAGATGAAGTCGGATTGACCACGCATTGTGCAGAGGTAGACGGGTATCGGAAGCAACAATCATAGGCACGCTAGTTTTCCTTGTCAGTTCCATCGAACCAAGACACGCATTTCGATGCTTTCCCTTCTGAAATCTTCCTCTCGCGTGATGGGATTGTCGAACGAGGCATGTGGAACCCCTGGAGTCGCCCCTTGTGGCTCCTGCGAGTCGGCATTTTTGAAGATCATCAATTCTGTCGCCAACTGATTCGAGAGGTAATACCAAGTCTGCCCTTCATTGAAATGGACCTGAGTATTTTCGAAAACGTGGTCACGATCGACGACGTCGCCCGTCATCGTATCCCGTGCAAAGTCGACGGTCTGGGCATCGCACAATGCTAAAGGCCAATCGACCAAGGGCCCTTGAAGAGGATGCCACACGCTTGTAAGCCACATAGGTCAGCCTATTGCATGATATGGGTGGTTCCGACTGATAAGTGACAGAAAGAAACGTGGCAGAGTCTCGGCTCAGCCGAGCTGATAGTAGGTGTGCTTCGGTCACTACGGAAGCTAGTGGAACGCTTCACGGGGTCTGGACATTGAGGCTTGCGAAAATGTTGTGTTGAGAACAGAAGTGCAAGATTAAGGCTTACTTGACACATTGCCAGCGTCGCCCCAAGATTGAGTCTGCCTTCTCCCCAAAGGTTTCTTGAATAATGGACCTGCCACCTTCGTAGGTATGGTCTGTCCGGCATCGCATCAATAAGCTTTGGAGCGGGGTAACGAGAGGTGAGAACTGACCGATATGCGCCCTTGAAGCAGGCTGGTTGAAAGCGTATGAATTTCCTGTTGCAATTGGCCAGTTCGGATGTCGCCGGCGCACCTACTTTGTACATCGAGCATGCATCAGCCAGAGCCTGCTTCACTAGTCTATCAACTTTCCAGACTCAAGATCAGTACTGACCACGTAGTCAAGCAAGTCAACTGATGAGGCCGCTAGAGCCAGTCTCACCGCAACCATGACTTCGGGAGCGTGGATCTTCTCGATCATATCTGTGTTGGCGTAGTCGTCATACTGCAAGGCGGACGAACAGTTGGTCACTGTGAAGCCACACTCGTTGTAGTCCAAGGACCGAAGGCGCAGGTCGTGGAACTTGACTTCATGTTGGACTCTGTCAATGTTACTCTGAGGAATGCCGTCGTTAGGGCTTGGGACGTATCGAAGCGTGTAAGGCTTTTCGTGTTCGTACTTTGGGTCGCGAGCTAAAAAGTGCATGTGCGCTGTCAAGTACGAGGGCGAAGGCAGTGCCATTCTAGGTAAGGTGGGGAGCAGTAAAGGCGTTGTCAGCCTCACACGACGAACTCCCTTGGGTTCAGTGGTCGTATAGGAAGAGTGAGAATTTATGTTGAAATTGATGACACGGGTGCTCGCTTTCAAGCTACTAAAGCTCTCCCTGTTTCCGGTTTCGGGGACCTCAGGTCCATGTATACACATATCGTATCGCCCTGCATGCGCAAGGTGGCTTCTTAGTACAACATGGCCATGGAAGCTGAGAACACTTGCAGCTCGCCACGTCAGCGTATGTAGCTTCTGTGTTACGCTCGGTCAAGTGCTTATGTACATCAAGATGTTCCCGTGATCATCATCTTGTGGCCGATGTCCGCTTTTCGTGTGCTATCAGTGCAAGCTTACATCGACACTTTAGAAACGTATTCATCATAATTGCTATAATCAAACATAAGGTAGATCACTCAGCTCAGAAAGTTTAGTGTCCCCCGGAGCTTTAGCTTCAGAAATAATTCATTCCACTCATTACATTCGAGTGCGGCCGTTGATCGGTTTACCGGTCTGGTTACAAGTCGCTTGGTGTTCTCAACGAAATAACACAGGTGAAGGAAAATGATGGTTCCCGATGATATCTGGTGCCATTGCATACAGGGAGCGCAGGTGGTTTAATGATCGGATGTTGCTAATCGGGACACTACTCGTTAGACGTAATTTTCCACCCATCACATCATGAATCTTTATCTCTGACCGCCACTACTCGGCAGCCAAGCGGTGTAAATTAGCCTCGGAAAACTTGCAGAGTGTTGAGCAAGTTTTGGATCGTTAGCTCCCGATTCTCGCATCGTTAGTGCAATGTTTAAGATCTTCTCAAGTACGTTTGCCACCCTCTGATCAGCCTGCGAACAGACTGGGTGAGTCTGTCAAGTTGGGGTGTTGACGCAGGGTGGAAGCTCTCAGAGGCCAACTGCAGTTAGGGGTAGAATGATGAATTACTGAAATCTACTCCTCCCTCGACGTGTACTCCCTGCGCTGTATATATATCCGAGCTGCTCCTTTGTTGCTTGGACTCCTTACTACCTCTGACTAGCCCCTATCCGGGAGGGCTCTGACAGAATCTTTGTCCTGGATCCGCTTCATTGTCAGTTGCCCAAGCATCACATCCGTCATCAGAAGCAAGGTCGTCGAAAATTACACCAAGGGCTTCAAGCCAGATACATTGCATCTTTTTTGGACAGTGAACAGACCACGTGCAACCACCTCCTTTAGTTCTGTGAGCATCTGATACTGATATCGAAGGAGCCAAACGCCCCCTTCAAGTTGGATTCAAGCAGCGTACAAGCTCCTGAAATACAGTCTCATCAAATTATCGCTTCTTCTCATCATCATGGACTGCCCAAAGCCCGTAAAGACCCAACCTTGGAAAAAGACCTGGCCACCTCAGAACCAGGATACAGTCACCAAAGGAGCTACAGCTGGAGTCAATTATGGCGTTGAGAGAGGCGACATAGTCGTAGTGGACGGGACTAGTGCCAACATCAAGCCCCTTCATGGTCCTGTCTCTGATGAAAATTGAAGCCGGAGAGCTTCAACTCGTAAGTTCAATCATGCAACTCTATATGTATGTGAGGTTTTCCTAACGCTTTCAGGGTCATGATTATTCTTCTCGGCCAGCATGCTCTCTTCGGAAGCCTCAGTAGAGAATACGTATAACCTCTGCTATTCGGCACGTATCATTTTTCACGTCAGGACCAATGACATAGTAAGATGTCTGGCCATTCGAAGCAAAGATTCATACGACATCTCGAATTGTTTGGATGAGACTCTATGGCGAGGCTGCGAGGCGATGGTCGTTGTTGGCGGTCCGATGTTATGACGGGGCCGATCCGGGGCACTGGTGACTAGTCCACTCGACCGATACGTCGTGCCGCTTTCTATCCCGGTTTGACGGGATGGCGATGGGAGTTTTCAATTGTCTACAATTAGAAGCCGCCTATCAGTCATCAATTGTTGTTGTTGTTGTTGTTGTATTTTAACGCCGTAGCGGCAAGGGCGCAGCCGCCCTTGCGGCAGACCTCCCGAAGGGTATATGGCGTGGAGGGCCGTAGGCCTATAGCTATCACTAGATACAGTCCAGCTCGTCCTCCAAATCGTGCCCAAAGGCAACTATGTGTTTAACCTGTCTCTGGGTGCCGCTGGCTTGCCCGAGACAGTGCTATGGTCGTCCCTAGAACGCAATTCCGCCAGTATCTCCTATCCTTCGACCCAGAGCCCGCAGGCTTCTGGTTTACACAACGTTCCAGTAACCGTCCGGAGTATATCGTAATAGGTAATACCGCCACAAGGGAAACCACAAGGGGCAAAACCTCGTAAGACTAGGTTGTAGGGCTTGCTGTTAGGTTCTGTAACGAGCATAGCTGTATATAGCCGTGGCTATACATCGCTACCCAATGGTCGTTTCATCTCTTCGAGGGAGTCTTCGATCGTTTAAGGGGCAAAGGTGCTGAGAGAGCGAAGTCGAAAAGTCGGTCGGTGATGTTCAATTTGGGCCCGGAAGCGCCACTTGCGCCGGGAAAGAAAGTCGCCCGTCTCCTTCGGGAGGCTAGATGGAACCTCTGCTCCCTGCCCTACCAGGAAGACTTCGTCTAGCCTGCGGAAGGCGAATTCGAGTCGACGGCGGCTCGTTAGGTTGAATAATCGTCGGCTCGATTCGAGGGGAAAATGTGCGTTGTTAAGGGTTTGATTAGCGTATAGCTAATGCACCCCAGCGCGCAGCGGCAAACCGCGGGGACTGGGGCCCCTCTTTAGCATGGCACTAACAGCCCGTGCCAAGCTGGAGAGATGTTTCGTGGAGGTTGCTATCAGTCATCAAGATATGAGAGGATATTGGATACGGAAGGACAAACTTTCAGGCCGATTTTCAAGGATCATGTAATGTACAGTCGCCCGCCTCGTTCAAAAACCCATCTGTTTCCTGCTGGTGGAGAACCGTTTCCCTTCGCATTGCTTTGTATTCAATAGGCAGACGACCGGTATGCCCGGTTTCGGCTCCGACTTTCACATGTGAGCGATGGACCAGTAGGGGGGCGGTGTTAAACTTACAACATAAGATAGGTATGAACTCGACCAGGACCGGGATCCAGGGCGTGATGGCAAGCGCCTGGCCCAGACTCCAATCTTCTCCTGTCTTTGAAGCACCGGCGAAGAAGATAACAAGTATTATCCAGGCTCCCCACATACAAATGAAGTTGATAGTGGCGTATAAGATGACTGCGCCCTAGGCAATCTTGTTGAGCCATTGCGCCTGCCACATTTTGCGGTTGTTGCACCCATAAAAGCATAGCACAACACTCAGGCATAGCCCGAAGAGCGGTGGCATCCACACCATGGCAGCCATTGTGAATATGGCAGCACCAACAACAATCTGTGATGGGTGGTTCTGGGGGCAGGCATCGAAGACAACTTCGTTGTGGTAGTAGTCGGCTTGGGCATTGTTGGGCCTCCCTAGGGCTGCCCTTCATCACCTCCTCGCGGCACGGTCAGGCCACGGGGACTTTAAACAATATCACCAACGCTTTAACCACACAGAAGCACTACTCACCTGCTCCTGTGGATGGGTTAAGGAGGCAGATCATCTAGTCTACTGCCGAAAGACCCTACTGAGGAGGCAACAGTGGCCCACCCTCTACCCCTACAGCCGCCAGGAGCCCGTAGGACCTATAGGGTCCCTCGATCGCTACTTCAAGGGGCTAATCACTGACTCTGAAGGCTTCCAGGCCTTCCTCTGCGTGACAGACTTCTTCCAGAAGATCTGCCCGCGGTACTAGGAGATAGGTCATAACCTATCCTCCAAACGACAAACTACCTCTATTAAGAAACCAGATGGTTATAACGGAACTAGGGCACCAGTGGGAACTAGGGATGGATAGAACACATAGTAGCTCACGAGCAAGATTTGGAGGACGTCAGGATACGGCGTGTACTATATAGTATATAGCTAGAGCCTGCGACCCTTCACGCCACATACCCTCCGGGAGGTCTGCCGCAAGGGCGGCTGCGCCCTTGCCGCCATGGCGTTAAATAGAACAACAACAACATTGGGCATTGTTGGTGCATAGAACCCATGCTGACGTGTGAATTAGGAAGAGGCCGACAAGGATAGTCCCCTTCATCCAGCCACGACGTGTGGAATCTAGGATGAGCGGGAGCATTGCTGCCAGCGGGTAAAAGCTGAGAGCTGAGACAACGAGTTGTAAGGATGAGTTATACTTATAGACGATAGGCGTTACTTGGCTGTAGATGACGGTGGCCTCAATCCCAAGAGAGACAAATGCTGCGGCCATAAACAGGCCATATCTTGTGCCTCTAATCGCCTCGTTGACGCGAGAAAAAGGACCTGGATTGGCGTCAGATGGCAGTGCCTGAAGCAGTTCAGCCGAGCTGGATGATGTTTTGCTGCGCTGGAGGAAATTCAGGATCGCAAAAGCACAGTAAACGGTGAGCAAGATGCAATCAATGCCGTACGAAGTCAGGAGCTCTGAGATATTAGTACCACTCTTGCGTAGCAGAGATGTTCAATTATATGCGTACCCCATAGCCTGCGAGGCCGCCGTCAATTTCAGACCCAATTGACTGGCACATCGAACTGCGACATATCGCTTTGTCAATTACTTGATCGGCCAGATCAGCTCTGTTTGCGCGCGTCCACTCATGCCAATCAACGATTTGGGCACTAGTTGCGTTGATGCTGTTATGGCCTTCAACCGCTGTTCGCCAGAATGTTGCGACATCAGGGTAGGGCGGTTCGTTGTTCTGTGTCAAAAGCCAAGCAAAGTAATTTCCCGACAGGGAACAATTCCCACCGATATCAAACGACGTCCAGGGCGTGTCGGTTCCTGGAAGTATGCTCATTATTGCATGTGAGTTTCGCTGACGCAGAATCGCGGTCGAAGTAGGCTGGTTTGCTCCTGGTTAAATGGGAGAAGGGCTCCTTCTCTTCCCCGTGACGCGACGACGGGAAGACAGACACGACGTTATGGAATCTTGAAGCCTGGAGATATTCGTAGTCCCTGGAAGGATTTGATCCCTTGCATCAAGTAGGTAGCATTGACCCCTGGAGTAACACCAGAGCCTTCATCAGAATACCATGGATCGTTGGCTAAAATACAGCTAACCGGTTATCGTAAGCTCTGTCCATGATAGGCCTAGCACACACAGAAATAGCTCGCGTGGCGATGGAATGATGCCCATCGTGACCGCCTGCATCACCAACTGCATCTACATTGAAGCCGAGATACAAAAGCAACGTGCCTTTTTTTCTTAGGTAAAAAGAGCCTAACATTAAAATAACATTTATTTGATGGCCATTCGTAATCAGCTCTCAGACTGGTTGAGATGACTCTGGACTCGACTTCATTTTACACTTCTGAGAAGATGGATTAAAGTCTTGATGTTCTTCACGGGGCTATCTTCTATGTACTTGGTAAGAATGGAAAGTCTCCACAACCAGATGACTACCTGCCGTCTCTAAGTTCGGAGACTGACTCTGTCCTCAAAGATCTCAACTTGACAAACGATTCTAAGGATGCTATGCCATTGCATTCTTTCAAAACACAGAGCTGGCTACTCAGTGCACAAAGCGAAAGTCAAGCCTTTGCTGGCCTTCATCAGTGGTGTTGAGAGAGTAGTCCTCCTGTTGCTCCTTGGACATGGCGTTCCACCGACTATCGCGAACCTTGTTACGCCAGATGTAGAAGGCCTTGACGAAGTAAAACAGAACAATGTTGAAGCAGCAGACCCCGAGTAAGATCTTGTTTCCGCGGCGATACAGAGGCTGGTCGTCGTCTCGGTAAATGTTTGAAGCCGCGATGTTGCCGGCCTGCACAAACATGTTGTACAGCGCGGCACTGACAGCTCTTGTTCGCACGGCATTGCTGTTCTTGGCATTCCAACCGACCAAGATCGCGTGGCAGTAAGGGTAGCTCAGCAGACCCGTCAATAGGGCGTATCTGATCCAGGTGCTGGTGTCGGCGGGCAAGGCGACGAGTGCGACAAGCCAGGGGAAGATCCAGATGTTTGAGATTGATGAAACGATGGCGCGCTCCTTGAACTTCCCGGAAACCCAAGAGATGATCAAGAGGTTGACGGCAAAAAGGAACTGGGAAGGAATGGCGAGAAGGTTCGCTTGGAAGGTTGAGAAGCCCAATCGGCGCAGAATGTAGGACAGGTAGGTGCTCGGCGGGGACGGCGGAATGTAAGCAGTCAAGCCAATCAGGTACAAAGGCCATTGCTCCCAATCCTTGATTGCTTTGAACAGAAGAGAAGGACCAACGGCTTCGCTATTCAATGAATTAGCTTGAGTTTGCTGTGGGTTTGAAAGAACAGGAGGATCCATACCGGTTGTGCATGTCGCCCTTGCTCGGGTCGTCCCGCAGCAAGCGGTTGACCATGATCAACTCTTCATGTTCAGTGAACCATCCATCCTTGCCACGGAACCAATTTCTGGTCTGCGTAGGACCAGGAGGCATCAGACCCCACGAGAAGAGACCAATGATGAGAGTCACGATACCCTCGATAAGGAACCTAGCCAAAGTCAGTTCTGGACGAGAGACCGCGATCGCGACGAAAACTTACAGCCATCTCCAACCGGCCCATCCTGCGACGCCTCGCATCTGAAGTACACCGGCAGCGACCAGGGAGCCAACGATGTTGACAGTGCTGAGTGCTGTCCAAAACCATGCGAGCCTCAGAGGCAACTCATTAGACTTGTAGAAGTATGTGAGCCACAGAACAATATCGCTGCTTTATGTCAGTATCTTGCGCTCGTTAAGGAAAGGTCAAAAATGCAAAACTTACGGAATGAATCCACCCATAAGAAGACCGAGAAGAGCCTTCACCGCGTAGAACCCAGAACGGTTCGACAAAAAGGCTTGACATCCAGCAGTGATGGACCAGCCGACCATGATGGAAGGAATCCAAACATCGGCACCGAGCTTCTTGCTAACCAGACCACTGGGCAACTCGGCAGCGAGGAATGATAGAAGGAAGATCTGAACCACGTTTAAGCCTGTAAGTTCCACCAGATGTCTTGTTGTATGAGAATACTAACAGTTTGTCCATAATTGAAATCATTCGTGGTCATGCCAAGCTCCGGAAGCTATCAAAAGAGTTAGCGCCTTCAACATTGCTGGACTTCAGGTTGTTTCCTTCTTACCATGTTGTCGGAAATCGCACGGTTGATGTTTCTTCGGTGGAGATCAAGAGCGCAGAACATGACCTGGTGATTCCATCAGCTTCAGTCTATCGATTTGCCCAGAGAATGTAGTCCTTACCCAAGCCCACACCATGATTTTCCTATCAATCTACACCGAGTCAAGTCAGCATCTGAGATCTGTGACCATCAAGCCCAGGTTCACAAGGTACTACACACCTTTCTGACCAGCTTCTTCTCATCTTCGGCCGACCAGGTGTAGTTGGGGTCGAAACGGTGACGGTTCTCGTAAGAAGCCTTCTCGTAGACTTTGCGCCAGTGGTCGGTGATGCTGGGGTCCGAAAAGACATGTTCGTCCGTGGACCCGTACTGTTGAGCAACCTGCTCTTTTAAAGACGAAGCTGAAGTGTCGGTAGCAGCCTGCGTCTGAATGGTGTTGACCTCTTTGATCGAGTCCCTGAAGGGCCCTTCAACTCCGGTGGAGGCCATGGCTGAACTTGACAAACCAATTGTCACACTGGGTGCAAAATCCTGTTGAAGTCTTTCGAGCTCTCAGCGAAGCCACACAGAGGTCCCGGGAACATTATCCGGTCCGCGGAGATGCATGGACCTTTATACATTCCCTCCCTGGACCCGACAATCTGGTTGTGGTCTTCAAACCAGATCCATCTCAAACCTCCATCCCGACGTTGGATGACAGGGCTCTCCGGAGAGAAAGAAAAGCCTTCACAGTGTCGCGATGATCCAAGACGATCACCTCATAGGCGATTTGCTCCCTTGAGCAAATAGAACTTCTTATCTATGGTGCAATTGCTTGACTGAATTGCTCTGCATGTCAATGGCCCAACGAGTTGTGCTAGAGAGCGTGGGGGGTGTGATCCGGAGTGGGCCCGGCCAAGTTGAATGTCGTCGTCGATAGCTGGGCGGCAGTCCCCGCCTGAGGCAGCAAGAGCGCTACGAAGAACTAATTCAAGCTTACTTTACGGAGACTTCAGCTAAGCGGAAGGAATCCCGTCTCGATTAACGGGAGTGATTTGTGGGGGGGGGGGGGGGGGGTATGGACGTGTGAGGGTCTAGATGCCGACTGGGGAGAGCTGCACAATGCCGCAAAGATGACGAGTCAATCACCTTGTGTGGGATGTGCGTCCGACGGCGAGGATAATCCATGTCTGTCCCTATTAAGTCTTGAGTGTCTCGAGCGGCATGAACACCCACATGTTTGTTGACGAAAAAGGCTTGGAGAAGTTATTGCGTGATGGGGGCCATGGGATTGCGACAGACTCTTGGGCCGAAATGCGAGAGATTGGCCAATCAGATAACAGCAAAAGAAACAACCCGCGTCAGTTGCCAGCCCCTCTGGCGGCCCCTTCAAATGGACTATGCAACTTAACGCCAAGGATTGATTCCAAGTCAATTCCTCGTCTATTACAGATACTTGATCCAAGGTCGAAAAGTCTTTGTCTCACCCGAAGGCTTGGGTCGAAGGTGTGATTTCAGACCTCAGCGATGGCTTGTCAAGGGCAGAAAAAGCCCCCGAGTTCAAGGTAGCTTCAAAGGGCACACCTTAGCTCCGAATTATACCCCACGCGAGGCGAACTAGCCATTCCTATGGGATACCGACACTATCTCGTCATTCTCTACTCCGTAGTGACAACTTGAACCTGTGGTTACAAGGTTGAAGGAAGAGTGTCCAAAGTTGACACGGGCAAAGCAAGACCCCAAATCTTCCCGATACAACGGTTGAGCCGAGCGGGCATCAAACTCTTCCACACTTTATACGTTTAGGTCTCCAATAGTTCTAGAGAAGGAGAGTAATGTGTGTTCCACAGTAGTCAACTCCCAAACCGACTCTGGCGTTGTGCATCGCAGCCGTTCGTGAAGTTACAGGAAAATGTATTCAATGTCTGTAGTTGTCGCAGCGCCACACGTGGCGCTGCCGGTTACTGCCGTACGATACCACTTTCCACAAGCCGATTACCCGTCTTGTACGGTATATAGATAGGACCCTCATACGGGTCTTCCACTTATAGGAATCAAGCCACTTTCTACCATACAAGTCTTCCACTTGCTACCTCGCTTTGTGACAGTTATGAGCCCAGGATTCTACCGGTAGCACAACCGTCTAAAGTGTAGCTTTGACGCGTACCCACATCTAAAGCCTCAGGTTCAATTCCCGCTCGGGTGGGCAGTTTTGCCGCCTAATCAGGTCTAAAAGAGCCCAAGTGCCACCCAACAAGCCCAGAGCGGCCACGGGTAAAAGCGTACAGACCCCTACCCTTCCACAGGGCTAGGATCTGAGGGGGTGTGTCGTAGGGTATATATGGCGTTAATTGCTGCCCGTAATTAACGGCGTCGTTTTTGCGACAGTAGTATCTTTCCATTATGGCAACTTAGCAAGACAAGGCATAGTGTCAAGTAATAATTCATAATAAATTTGGCATATCTTCATAACTAAGTACCAGGCTCATGCGACTGGCTTTGCAGGCTACTGCTCGGAGGCTTGCTTGACCACAATGGTCTTTGATGTACACACCACGAAACTTCCCAATACTACAACATTCAACCCTTGAAGGGCGTCTCATACGGCCGCTCAGCCTGCGGTGTGATTCTGGCCAAGTGCCTTCTTGAACCGTTGTTCCAGTCAATGAGAGCAGAGTGCTGAGTGACGCGGTTATCCCAAACAACGACAGTGCCCTCCTCCCACTTCACGCGGGCATGGAAGTCAGCGCCCCAAGCGATGTGCTCGTAGAGGAACTTGAGCAAAGCGTCGGACTCTTCCTTCTTGAGGCCAACAATCTCACGTGTGACTAAGTCATAGGTCAGTATTCAAATTTGGATGGTCTGGGATGCTCTCAACTCACATTGAGGGTTGATGAACAGGGCCTTTTCGCCAGTAACAGGGTGTGTGCGAACGATGGGGTGAGTGTTGGCAACAGGCTCGCGACGCTTGATGCTACCCTTCTTGACAGACGCAGCAACCTGCTCAATACCAGAGTGAACAGCCTGAAGGCCGTGAAGCCTCTCCTGGAAGAGCGGGCTCAATCTGTTGTATGCCTCGGCAGCATTGCAGAACAGAGTATCACCTCCTGTCTCGGGCTTGTCTAGGATGTAGAGGAAAGTTGTGCCAGGAGGCTGCTGCTCGTACGAGACATCGGAGTGCCACGCGATAGAGCTGGTTCTGGTGGCGAAGAACTTCTCTGCTGACCTGTCACCCGCGGCACGGTGGACAAGGTGAACCTCGGGGAAGTTTTCAGGGGATCCTGAGGTTGGGTGAATGTGGTGACGGCCAAAGTAACCGCCGAACTCGAGGGCTTTATCGATCGGAAGGTCGGCGAAGTCCTGAGCGCGGAAAGCGACCACCTTACGCTCGGCGACGAAGCGAGCAAGTTGGTCACGACCAGCGTTGCTGAGTGTGCTGAGCTGGACACCTCTGACTTCTGTGCCGATCGAGGGCGTGAGGTCGGTCACCTGTGCGTCCTTGGGAAGAAGATCAGGGTAACTGGGGTCTGCGTCTCTGCCGTGCTCGGTGTGCTGGAAGGGCTGCAGGGGAGGATATTGCTGCTCAGGGTTCCATGTGGGAAGGTAGTGAGGGTACTACATCAACAGAATCAGTCTCCCTTCGGATAAGCACCATATAATTAGTCCTAGGAACAGTACAAACCTTTGCGCCCTCATGGCCATCGCCTCCCTTGGCCTCGGCATCCTTGTCATATGTTGTGGGTGAGAGTTCTTTGTAGTCTCCAGAGCCGTCGGCGTATAACCGGAGGTTGTTAACCGGGAGGTTGACCGGGTCGATCACAGTCGCTGTTGCGGTTGCTGAAGGGGCCATATTGGATCGTTTCTTTACTACTGAGGTTCTTTCTCCTTGCTAAAAATCGAATTAAGTATGGTGCATTGCGCCCGATCAAATCCCGGGGCCGTGCCCATGAGTTTATATAGACTACCCCTCCAAAGGGCCATCGACGTCGGAGTATATCCGATGAGGGGCATTCGTCCCAAAGATTGCATGCTGACAGGGATTCGATTGCGTTGCCTCCCAGACTTTCACCAAGACATAGCCTAGCAGCACCAGCCGATACGGTACCGGCTGGTGGGTTCATGGAACAGCACAATATCATTGGGGTTCAGCACTACATGAGACGAAAGGATGGAGGCGTTGGGTATTGTTTGATGGGGGGAAATGACGCCATCCATATCTAATAAGACCGGCCTTATGGTGGGATAACGACCAAGGAGACCATCAGCAGCAGCGTCTTTGATTAGCAATGGTGGTTGCAATGTTGCTATCCTGGGCGTCTAGCACGCAATCTGCTGATGCGACTCAGTGCGTGTTTGATGACCCCGCAATCTGGGCAGCACCGGCTTGTACTGTGTTGGTCCCAAGGTAACCAAGAGCATCTGAAATGGAGTTTGTTCCGATCTTATCTTGATACCGGGCTACTTACGGGAACTCTGGGAGATGAAATAGCTTCCGCCGCGCTGTGACGAGGAACTCGTAAGAGCAAAAGAGGTTCCGTTCAACTCAGTATTAGCTCCGTCGATGAAGCCCGTATGTGGTGGGGCGCACGGGTATATCTACGTCCGTCTCCTCCTACGGCGCAGATCTGGAAGTCGGTCGGTAATCGGGTTCGCTTCCAGATCTAGAAGTTGCTTTTTATTCGTTGCCTGCAGTATTTCCGGTGTTGTCGGGCACCGGAATCGGATGCCGTTTCGGGGATTCTTTCGGAGGTCAGCCGGCATCGGCCGGTAAACTACACCTTCTCCGTTTGACTGGAAGAACTCTTACGCATGCATGTTTTCTTGTCAGTCAACAACAGTAGTTTAGCTTCCGAAGTGCCATAGCGTTGAGATGGATAAACCAAGGTCATGCGGCCCCCACACGGGGCGTGAGCTATGCATCGAAAAAAACATACAGAATCTACGTTTAGCATCTCGGAGGCTGTACTAATAGTTCTCATCTGGACAGCCGTGGAGTATGATTGAAGTGAGTCGGGACATATTGGTTTCTATTTGAAATTCGAAAGAGCATGCGCATTTCTTTGAAATCTGTTTTCCTATCTATCATCTACACCTAGACTATGGCACAAATATGATGCGAAGTTCCATCCGCTATGATCTGCCCCGAGCACCCTTCCATAGCTTCCAGTGCAACCATAAGGCGGTCGCATTTAACGCTGCTACTGCGACCAAGCAAGCCTTGTTACCGACGGTGAATACTTCTATCACGACTTCTGCCGCTGCTGGACGAGACTTTCTGCCCATTTCGAGTTGCGTTGATCCATAAGCCACGAGCATAGCGTCTGTCATGGTGATGAAGAAGCTTTGTAACCCAAGAAGTGTAGCTATGGTCCCGGGTGCTGGCTTTTCAAGGGAGTTCTTCCAAGCCGCAATGTGGGATAACATAACTGTCGTAAGTGATACCAACAATAACGTCGCCAAGGACTGAACCGTGAAAACTCTGTAAGCTATTTGATATGGAATCAAACTGCCTGATAATTGCCCTGGTTAAATATCGTCGTGGGTCAAAGTCTTCGATGCTTTTTGAAGGAACAACCAAGATGCTACGATCTTTCAAATCAACTGACACATTAAACAATGTTGCAACAAAGTCAATGGTGCATTGAGTGGCATTCAGAGCCTCGTAGTCTTCGCCCGCAGCGATGGAAATAAACCGACGAGTTGATTTGGAGCTATCAGCAACGCCCACCGCCATGATCGAGCGTGGACTTTCGCCGATATACTCGGACCACTGCGCACTTCCGACACTATCAGATAGGAATCCGGTGACGGCGAACGTTCTATGTGGGTATTCGCGATCGATGTGAAAGTCCATAGGCATTGTGACTCGTCGTCTGCCTGCTGAGTGACCCGTTGGAAAACGATACTGATGATGCCGTTGTTGAGAGCAGCTTGCTTAGAATTACCGTGCCCACAGAGCCAGAGAAAATATCTTCTGTAGTCGCTTTAGACGGCCCAAAGTCTGGGAGATCAACTATGCTCGGTATAGTAATAGTGCTTTTCAAGGGTGTCATTGCGCCAGCCCACATCGCCGTCGCCAAAAAAGCAAAGCAGGGAAACACCATGATTCCCAATTGAAGGCATCTCCGCATGTCTTTAGGGGCTGGCGTTGTGTGTGGATGTTTGACATGCCCGTGCCCCTGCTCCACAGGCAGCATGCTGACGAACAACTTCTTAAGCGTGTCATGTTGGCCGAGGAAAATAATTGCTAGAGCATTGAAAAAACCAAGGATGTATGCTACAAGACGAAGAGCCGTCTCTGCAGCGGCGCGTTTCGAAATTTGCAGTTCTTGGAGGCAAAGAAACTTTGCGAGAAGCTGAAAGGCTGGCTGGGTTGCAAGACATGTCGAAAAGGAGGATTCGTACCAAGAACTGTCAATGGCCCACCCGCGTAAGTTGGCAATAATGAGAATGAAATCTGTAGTGCTCGCAATGAGCAAGCCCACCAGCATCATGTTGCTCAGCCCAGCGAAATGGCCTGAAAAGTTGACGTGGGTATGGGAAGTCATCCTTGGTTCCGGTTGTCCAGTCGCGGGGCTGATGCCTCAAATTCTTTGTAGCTCAGTGGAGAAACTTGAAGCCCATCCGTGATAACCTGAAAAGTCTTGAACAAGGACGGAATCATCGATCGCTACCGTAGATTAAAGTAATTGTACCGTATCTCCCTTTTTAGAAGATCCCAAGGGGCTTTTGTTTGTAGACTTCACTTATTAGTTCGAGGTCTCGGGCATCTCTTGGCATTAGATCTGCCCAATCAATGAATGCTTTGACCTTGAAACGCAGCCCCTAGCTGTGCTCCCTTGGCGCTCGAGCATGTAGCTCTCGTTACACACCGCCCAGCTGAAAGAATTCTGCATATTTATCTAATCTGTTGGAATGAGCCTGAATCATAGAGAGTTCTGTTCAGCTATTGCCTATCACATGATGGATTGTGGTAGCTTTCTGAGTCTCGAATTTGGCGATTTCTGAACCGCTTCTGCGTGATATCTAATTGCTAACTTAACGGATGTTACTCAGATCAGTCGTTCAATTGAGTTAGAATGGGCAGCTTGTTATTTGAACGTTGTCTTGACGTCAAGTGCTTTTCTATTAGCACTTTTATCCGATCCGATTGAACTTATTTGGCTGAAAGGCTACGCAGACCCAGAGAGTCGTTCCCAAGATAGATGTGCTCTTCTTGTATTGGTATGTTTGAGAGCAACGCAAGTCCCCCAAGCTCTTACTCCCAGGGGATTGATGTGTATTGCTGAAGAAATGGAATATCTGGTACTGCCAAGGGTTCGAATATTGATCTCGAGAAAAAAAACAGTCAATCTTAGGTTTGCGTGCGACCGCAACTTGGAAGGCTCTTGGTATGAATCCGTAAACAACCGAACTTCCGCTAGTCTTTACTGTCTTCAGCTCCCATAATGACCCGATTTTCTCTGTTAAGAATTTGAAGAGTCTGTTGGCAGTCTTACTCCCTCCTCGATTCCAGGGATCATGGCTGGGAGAGCCATGATGGCGATGACCGAGCCCAATATCCCATCGGGTGCTGCTTGACCCCATTTTTGCCAAGCCCGAAAATACCCAGCATTTACCCACTTTTACTCCGTATTCAAAGGGATAAGTTACATGATAGTATATTATATACCCCTATGATTTCTGTTGGATTCACAGGTGGAAAAGGAAAATACTCGAGTATCGTGGGTAGCAACGATCACCGACTGTAGTGGTGATATTGCTTGTTCTTGTTGTTCTTGAGTGGAAGTCTAACCAGGTGCCAGCGGCGGCAGGAAGTCTGGGGTATACCACCCTCGTGTGGCTGAGCCACACGGACCACCGTGGCTGGAACGGACCGCGGCAGCAACCTCCTGCTGCCTAATGTAGGCCTATTCCAACACTATCATTTTGCATTACTACAAGATTATTACAGTATATATAGACGTAACCCTACCTCTAGGTTTCCGTACTATTTAACCTTAGCCCTTTTTTTAGTCTTTTTTATTTTATTTTATTCTCTCCCTTTATTAAATGATCGTTAAAATCGCTATTTTAATAGTAATAAGAAAATTTATATTAAAAGTTTATAAAGATCGGTTAACGTGAATGATAAGCGAGTGAGACAGACAAGCGAGTGAGACACAAAACTGCGCCGATGATGCTTCAACACAAATGGAGACGTTTCTTCCACAACACATCATGGCATCCAGAAGTAATGAGTCAGGCATACAGCTGGCCCTTCAAGCTATCAGAATCAATCCAGAGCTTAGTGCACGGGCTGCAGCTACGATCTACTCGGTCAGCCATGCAACATTGAGTCGACGATTGAAGGGCTCTACATCTCGAAGCGACAGGATACCGAACTCGAGGAATCTTACTTTGCTAGAAGAGCAGACGTTAGTTGATCACATTCTCGATCTAGATGCCCGATCATTCCCTCCCCGGATCCGTGGTGTGGAAGAAATGGCTGATCGACTGCTTGCTGATCGCGACGCGCCTCCGGTTGGGAAGCGCTGGGCCTTAAACTTCGTCAAACGACAACCACAATTGCGGACGCGGTTTTTTCGGAGGTACGACTACAAGAGGGCCCAATGCGAGGATGCAGAGGCTATTCGCGGCTGGTTCGCTCTTGTGAAGAACACAATCGCGAAGTATGGTATCGATGAGTTTGATATCTACAACTTTGATGAGACTGGCTTTATGATGGGCCAGATTGCATCTGGCATGGTTGTCACAAGTACTGAAAGGCGTTCAAACACAAAAATGGCGCAGCCTGGTAATCGAGAATGGGTTACAGTGATTCAAGCCATCAACTCGCAAGGCTATAACGTCCCGCCGTACATCATCGTTGCAGGCCAATATCACCTCTCAACCTGGTATACAGAGTCAGGTTTCCCGGACGACTGGGTCATTGCGACGTCAGAAAACGGATGGACAACAAATGAAAGAGGCCTAGATTGGATCCAGCACTATGATCGTCATACGAAACCACGTTTGAGAGGCCAATATCGCCTCCTCGTCGTCGACGGGCACGAAAGTCACCACTCAACAGACTTTGAGCTATATTGCAAGGCAAACAAGATCGTTACACTTTGTATGCCGCCTCATTCGTCTCATCTACTCCAGCCCCTTGACGTTGGGTGCTTTGGTCCGCTAAAGACGGCGTATGGGCAACAAATTGAGGATAAGATGCGGCGGGGCGTAACCCACATCTCAAAGGAGGACTTCTTTCCTGCATATCGCAGCGCATTTAGTCAAGCGATGACTGAAAAAAACATCCAAGGGGGTTTTAGAGGAGCTGGGCTTGTTCCTCTGAGTGCAGAAAGCGTCCTATCAAAGCTGGATATCCGGCTACACACTCCAACGCCTCCAGCATCACTACCACAGACACCTCCGCCTTGGGTTTCAAGGACACCAAACAACCCAGTAGAGGCAAGCTCTCAATCCAACTTTATTAAGAGTCGGATCACTCGTCACCAAAGCAGCTCCCCAACCTCTATTTGCGAGGCTGTTGAACGACTTTCTAAAGGTACAAGAGGCATCATGCACCAAGTAGCCTTACTTAGATCTGAGGTACAGATTCTTAGAGACGAGAATAACCAACTCAGTCGACGACGGAGAACTAAGAAAACACGCCTACAACATGGAGGAAGTCTTACTGTAGCTGACGCAGCAGATATACAGTCACAGAAAGATGTGACTGCGCAGGTTCAGGAGGAAATGCGTCGTACTAGTGGTCGCAAACTGAGGGCCGGGACAGGTCAGCGACGGTGTGGCGTTTGTGGTCACCCGGGACACAATTCACGAACGTGCCAGTTTATTGAAGAGATGTCTGAAGATGAGGATTATGAGTAGTTTGAATTGAATTGATGCTGTTGATGTTGATATGGAAGCCAGTTTATCTCATCGGCGCAGTTTTGTGTCTCACTCGCTTGTCTGTCTCACTCGCTTATCATTCACGTTATAATATTTAGATGTAATAATTAGATAATCGTCAGGTAGCATGAGTTATAATGTCTATTCTGAAGCATTTGGTGTTGATATGATCGGATCTGAAGTACAGCGTCTTCCCCACCTCCAGGTGGCGTTGCTGTAATCCAAGGATGTAAGTCAGAATGAAGAGCGGGCAGCGGTAGTGGCCTCGATCCTAAGCTACCCGGGCTTCTTTCGTCCTGTCGCCGGTCGTCGTTATTCCGATGGTGGTCCAAGACACACTGAACGAGGTGCTTGAAGCTGGCGCATGACTGTCCAGCAGGTGCAGAAGGGGGAACCCAGTCGAGAAACCCTACTGTTGGATCTCTGAGCAGTCGGCAGAAAAGGTGGATCTGGAAGGCGGTATGGGCACTTACAAACGGCCCCTTACATACCACTTCTGAGAGGCCGTGGGCTCTGCCCACAACCTCCTCCTTCCACCTCCAGACGCAGCAATAATAGACCATTATTGACACTTCGTTCCAACCGTACGGTTGCCCTGCTGACGTGTATACCAACACCTACTAGCAGACTGAGCTGTTGCACAATAGAGGACCTTGTCATTTCAATGTTCTGAGTTTTGGAATATGTAGGGTTCGGCTGAAGCAATCCTTAACACAGGATACCACCATACCCGTGCTTAGGTGGAACTCACCGCATACAGTCACTACTCAATTAACCATATGGTCGGGCCAGGATTGCCTTACACGGGATAGATGCCACTCGTTTATATAGATCTACCGCAGGCCCAGCAGATCACTCTAAGCAATACAATCATAATTATCCCCCTTCAGGGATGACTCTGTAAATGGATAAGAGGAGGTATGAGATTAACTTTCGAACTTCCGCCCGTTCTCGGATGCCAAGAAAAATCAGGCGAGAGAAGAAGAGTGGAGAAATGAGGGGTGGCGGAAAAGTCCGTGTATTTAGATCAAACCCATCCGTCATCGGTTCTCACTTCGATCCAGCCCCCGATAATCCCATATAAATTGTGAAATCGAGCAACTTACCACTCGACCGCACACTGAAGGTGAGATTGCATACAAGGAACAGTCTCGTGGTAGTTCATATGGTCTCTGACAAGTCTCCGGATGCTAGGTTTTACATTTCAACATTTCAACAGTCCTCGACACGCAACATGGAACTTTATAGCAACCCCGAAGAATTTATGTCGAGAGTTTTCTTGCGCTCTTCCAGAGGTCGAAATGTCGAAATACGCAATGAGTTTGCCGACGCTTCGGAGACCTGCTTCGTTCGGCTTGCGGCACAATATGCTGCAGGGTGTCTCTCTCTGAGCGATTACCTAGAAGGAGTGCTGTCTCACCTGAGGAAAGGAGCGATAAAGCACAAGTGGGATGTACCATCAGAAGATTTCAGCGACTTACTAGAGCTGGATCTCTTTGCCGGGGCTGTCAAATCACGACATCTCGATTCTGCTTTCATCCTCTTAGAAGAACATGGTGAGTTCCCTACGTGCAATTTGCTCTCACTCCACCTAACCTGAACTTTGTCACTCCAAGACTACTCTCAGGCAAAACGTCTTGCTTCCAGAGCATGGGCCACAAATGATCCAGACGAGTTTGACCGGCTCTGTAGAGAGGACCAGACCGACCCGTCAGCGTTATCACCGGAGATTGCCGACCTCTTGCTGATCATCTGCTACGCCAGGCGACACACGCTTTTGTTTCGATACCTTATTGGTCTGTTGCCGGGACCTCCTGACAGGTCTACCTTTGACCTTCTGAATGAAAGATTGCTTCAACCTCGAACCGCCTATTGGACATAATACACCAGCATTCCCCGAAACAACAGAGCAACTCCGCAGACGAGATAAGTCTATGGACTAATATTCTTAACTTCGGGTGGGTGCATGACCCCGTGAACTCGGAAACGCAGCGGTTCCTCCATTATGGGATACGTAGCCAAGATCCCGGACTTGAAAGAGACGGCAGCGTCGCATTCGGTAGCCAGAAACTACGGGAATTCCATCTCGCATTGGCCTCTAGGGGAATTTACTGCGACGTGGCATCACTCGGTGATTATCTGGCGTGTTGCAGGTCTCTCGACCAAGCCATCGACTTCCTCACGGTATTCCCCGGGAACAAAGTGGGGCCTTCGGACCGTGGCTTGTACGAATGGGAGTCTGGCGGCTTAGTGGGTAGTATCGTCAATTCCCCGACTCTGAATGGGAAGTTGCGGACGGACATCATGAATCTCGCTCTTGAGTCCATCAAAGGCGTGGATGTTAACGCCCTATTTACCTCCAATATATGGGAAGATGATTTACCAGGAAGGAAACGGACGCCTCGTATGACCGGTCTACAGGTCGCGGCTTGTAAAGGGGACCGAGAGCTTGCCAAGGCTTTGATTCGGCACGGGGCCCGATCTGACATAGTGGAGCACATAACAGGATTGAACGCAGCGGGATTTGCACGGAACAACGGGCAAGTGAACTTCGCGAGATGGCTTGACGGGTTGTCTCAGGAGTAAAATGATTTCCTGTGAAAATTATGGTCTCCTATCACGTTTCGCGTTAACTTGTGTCCATCACGGTGCGGAAATAGACGGATCACTTTATGGCCTATTGCTACCTGAACGCTCAAAGCTTGATATAGTTGCGTGGATCACCAATGGTGCCGGGGTATTGTAAGCTGGGAAGTAGTCTCCGCCGCAAGGTGTGTTCTAGACGTGACATGTTCTGGTTATAAAATGGATACACCTAACGACTCCTTTTTGCAAATCAGTGTGGTTCTCAATAATCTGCCCTAGCCAATTTCTTTCCTGCTTGTTTCTGCCATCATTTCTTCCATCAAGCTAACTTTTTAGATCGATATACCTATCGCAGAAACATCACCTTCATTCAAACATTTCATGTCACAAATATACGTTTGCACTTCGGGCCTTGATTACACCATGACCGCCTTTTGGTTCATCATTTTCCTCTGTAGCGCCGTCAATATGCTGCATCTCGCTATTCGCATACTGAGAAGAAGACAAAACTCTCAATTCGGCCGATACGAATAGCTTTGCTAAGCCGAACAAAGCGTTAGACATAGAAGTTTCTGGGGTTAGTGGACTGCAATGTTCATGAAATAGTTAAGTGAGGGTATCGCCTCCCCCCTCCCCTCAGGGCCTTCACTATATTTATATTGATGGTATTACTTTTCATTATTCGTCTAGATAGTCATGGAAGACACATCATCTAGATGAGACCCACCTGCGACCCAAACTCCAATAAAAACTTTAGGAAATGATAGGGAAAATGAAAAATCCCAGTTGTTAAGCTCTATCATTCAGGTGAACTGAGCAACAGAGCCAGACTCTCGAGGTAATACGATATTGTGTAATTATTAATGGGTTTGCTATGTATGAGTTTATGTGGTCTTTCTCAGCTGCCCCCTTTGAATCACATTATAAGTTACTCCGCATCCTTTTCAGTCCTGCGTTCGTTCTTTCTGTTTTGATCGTTCATCATTCTTTCAGCAACAATGTTGTTTCACTCACTCTCGTCTCTCATTTATTTGGGACTAGCCACCCTCGCTTCTGGCAGCGTGCTCTATGCTCAGGATGGAGACATTGCAGTCGGCGACAAATGGAAACCCCACGATGAGGGGGTTTTTTTTTTTTTTTCTATTTAACGCCGTAGCGGCAAGGGCGCAGCCGCCCTTGCGGCAGACCTCCCGAAGGGTATATGGCGTGGAGGGCCGTAGGCTCGAGCTATATACTCTATAGTACACGCCTCTTCCTAACGTCCTCCAAATCTTGCCCGTGAGCTACTGTCTGTTTTATCCGTCCCTAGTTCCCGCTGGTTCCCTAGTTCCGTTGTTACCGTCTGTCCCTCTAGGAGGAGAAATTCGTTAGTCGGGCCTAGGTCAAGACCTAGTCCTTAGTACCGCGGGCAGATCTTCTGAAAGAAGTCTGTCACGCGGAGAAAGGCCTGGAAGCCAATAGGATCAGTAATTAGCCCCTTATAGTACCGCTCAAGAGATCCTATAGGTCCTATAGGATCGAGTGGGCTAGAAGGGTGGAGGGTAGGCCACTGATGCCTCCTCACTAGGGTCTTTTGGCAGTAGACTAGATGGTCTACCGCCTTTGCCTCCCCGCAGGAGCAGGTAAGCAGTGCTTCTGTATGGTTAAAGCGTTGGTGGTATTGTTCGAAGTCTCCATGGCCTGATCGGGCTGCTAGGAGATGATGAAGGATAGCCCGCGGCAGGGCTAGTTCGGGAGCGCAAGCGAGGGTGGCCTTGAGTCCTAGCTGGGTATAACAGGATGTTGCCTCCCGTTTCCACCATTTTTTGTATTGGCGACGTATACGCTCCTTAGCAAGCCGTTTGATCCCTGATAGAGTTGCTAGCTGTCCCCTTGGGACTAGTAGGGTTGTGCCCTCCTTAGCTAGGCTGTCTGCTTCTTCGTTTCCTTTAATACCTTGGTGCCCAGGAGACCAATGGGTTCGTATATCGTGTATCCTGCCTACCTCCTGGATCTCAAGGAAGGCCGCTTGTGAGGAGTCTGGGACCTTACCGCGAATCCCCTGAATAACGCTGGTATTGTCGATGCAGATGTGTATAGGCTGGCCTTGGGAGGTCTGAAGGGCCCGTCGGAGCCCAGCCCTCGCCCCCTCCGCCTCACCATCAAACACTTCTGCTAAGCCGAGACGGCCGCAGCCCTGGGCTATACGTTTATTGTTGCGGTAGATAACAAAACCGAACCCTGTAGCCCCGTCAGGAGCTTTGGAGCCGTCTGATTATACGACTGTATGCTGACCTGGCACAGTCTTGAGCCAGGCCTGGAAGATCCTAGCTGCTACTTCCTTCGTCTGTGTAACTATAGGGTCATAGGACCCTGGGGGGTATTGCGGCTGTAGGAGCGCTGGCCTTGGACACTTAGGTAAAAGGCCAGCTGTTCTTTGAAGCCTGGTCTGTTGCCGCCCTGACTGCAGCAGCCTTGGGACCAAGGGATGCTGTTGGTCAACCTTCTGCAGGCGTATAGCACGATGAGGTTGCGGGTTTTCAGCAGCACGCTACCGATGAAGTCGAAAGCGAGCTCGAACTGCGTTTTAAGCCCTGGCTCAACGATGGGAGCGGTTGCTTCCCGTACGCCGCTGTCGACAAGGAGGGTAATCATGGGTATGTGTGCAATATAAGTTTCCCTTCGTATACATCAATCACTAAATATGACTGACTTTTCCGCCAACTCAGTATGGGGCTCAAACCTACAGGCCGTAGTGGTGGTGACTGCCGCGATCCCAGTAAAGGTCAGATGTACGCCAGGGTTGGAACATCTAACGGCCGGGCCGGCATCTTGTACTCGTGGTATCAGCCCAAGGTCCAGACGGACACCGAACGTCACAAGCACTGGTACCTGACTATTGTTGTCTGGGTATACTCAGATAAATGCGACCCAATGACGGACGACTACCGCGTGGTTGGAGTCAGCTACTCCAATGGTAAAGAAACCTACGATACATCAGTGAGCGGAAACACACTCTATAGCTCCGGTGACAGCGGCTCTGGTCCCGGTAACACACACCCCATCGTCGGATACGACAGCCTGGTGAACGTTTTTCCCTCCCAAGATGGCGTCGAGTACGCCCTGAGCCCGCCATTGATCAGCTGGAAAAAGCTTTCTCCCCCAGCGATAGAGCAGCTCAACGGCATCCAGTACGAAAAAGCTAGGTGTCCTTTCAATGACAACAATATTCAAGCCTCACTGGATGCTGCTTTCAATGGAAACTTCTACACCAACCTTGCAGCCGAGGCAGATAAGTGCAACCCCATTCCACCGGCGCCTGCGGCCCCCAGTACTGCTAAGGAGGTGGACTTAGTGTGCATGAATCAGGGCCCCGAGTTTGATCCCTCGAACTGCGTGTTTTCTCCCATACAGAAAGACGGAACTGCCATTGACGAATCGGATTCGGAGGCTATCCTCAATCTAATGACTGCTGAGACATTCTTTCGATACATTAAAGGAAGAAAAGCAGACCTTACCGATACGTGTGTGTTTTACACCAAAGGAGTCACTGCTGCTGGAGCAGCTACGGGTTTATCCTCTGCTGCCACAGAATGGGCGTGTGGAGAGTCTAAGAAGCCCCGGTACACAATTTGGGTATGCAACATCCCAGACTTTTCGAAAGGGAACCAAGGCCCTCAAAATGATGAAGCTAATCGCCCAGCCCACACAGAATCTGTTTCCTAACGCCTACGATGCCTCTACCCACAAGGGAGTACGTGACTTTTACGCCATGTTTACTCCCGGAAGCTGGCTGGATCCTATCAGGAAAAGGCAGGAAGAATTCGAAAGGACGTTGCCTGCTGGAGTAGTGCCGCCGAGCATCCGCTACTTCCAACAAATGTCGGAGTCCATGGCTGAAGCATGCTACGGAGAGATCATCATCATGACGGAGACTCCAAAAGAGCTCGCCCTGTATGAACCAGGCAAGAAGTATCAAGATGCACGCTTCAATAACTGTTGGTTCACGGGGTCGTATACGACAAATAGTGGTAGCAATTATCACTCGTCTGTTGGTGATCCTATTGCTTGTTCTTCTTGTTGTTCTTCTATCTTACATTGTAGGCAGGAGTCGGTCGAAGTAGGTAGTGACGGCCTGTGTGGTTGCCCCACCTTTATCCGGCCGTGATGACTAAGCCAGTTGTCCCACTTCGCCCAGGGCAGGTGCCAGCCAGCCCATGGTACCTGCCTATTACTCCTTATCAGCCTTTGCTGTTCCAACAATTAGCTCTAATCTCGGGTGATGATTGCGGCAGCCCTTGGGATGGCGTCCTTTGCGCTCGGAAAAAATGCGGGCCAAAGGTGGACAGTGTTGGCTGATCGATGGTGTTTTCCTTTCCTGAATTGCTCGCATTCAGTCTGTTATTTTCGCTCTGTGAAAGGATGATTGATAAGTCTAAGACTTTCTGTATATCGATGATGATAGTTAGCAGAAGGACCTCTTGTGCTGGGTCAATCAGCCCCTCCCCACCCATGTGGCAGAATTACGGAGGAGCCGTGAAATAGACCTGACAGTTAATTATTCGATGCTGACTTATCCACCACTCTATCTCGCAGTAACTATTTACGTTATAGAGCTGGAGTTGCACAGGCAAATGAAGGCTAAACGCTTGCCAAACAATCCGTGCCAAGGGGAGGTTCAGCCCTCGATAATTAAAATAAATGTGCAACATACCGAGATCATGGGAGAGCAGGGTGTTGGCCATTGCATCCCCTGCTCGCCGTCATGGATGAGAGCTTCGAAGCGAAGCACCCGGTTTGCTAGGTTCCCGGACGAATAATCCCGCAGGATTTCCGCGAGCTGATCTAGAATCACGCGGCAGAGACCCTGTCGTAAAGTGTCCATACGCTGCTCCGGAGACGTCATGGTCCAACGTTAGTGGTAAGAATCAGTCGGCGGGAGAAACGTCTTGACGGCAAATGAATTTTAGTTGCGCTGGGATTCAAGCAGCCGACGTTTCAACGCTATGTCTAGGTAGGTTACGGCGGTAAATGGAAAGAGTCAACAAATAGTTGTCGAAGGGGAGGGGGAGAGAAAGTGTTCTCAAAGAGACGATCTGAAGAAGGATGGATTGAAGCTTGTCTATATCTTGATCAAATGGCTGATCACCGGGTGTTGTAGCGGGCCTGCAGGCGGGTAATGGCACCAGGTACCACGTCCATGCTCTTCTATACTTTGACAGTCGGGCCAGTTGTGTCGAAACAAGGTGAGCCGAGCATATCTTATTTTCTTCTGCTCCTCCTTTTAGGCGTGTGTGCATACATGCAACAGCCGAGGAGAGGCTGGGTGGTCTAGCATGGCCGAGTGGAGCCCACCTGGGAGTAAGGAGCACATAATCTAACATATGGCTGTGCGTGGTGGAATTTGATTTTTCCCCTTCCATTAGAGGGATAGTCGCAGACGTAGTCAGAGTCTAGTTCTTCAAACGCCAGCCTGAAATGGTCCGACAAAGATTGTTGGTGCGGAGACAGAGCCAAATTGCTGGGTCGGCCGAATTTCCGAAGTAGACAGGGGGCGGCTGTGGAATTGGGCAGAAAGATCCTCCTAGCATCGAACACTTTTCGTCGCTTGATTAAGTCTGAAGGGGTGGCGTCACAGCCATAAGTACAGAAGCCCCACCCAAGAAAAAGAAAAAAAACCCCGGGCTTGAGTTGACTGTTTCTGGCGGGTGCCGCTGTCGATGTTGCGAAAGCATGACCAAGGAATAGGCTGGCCCACAGGAGAACAAGCGTCGTACAAATAAAGTTCACGTGGCCCTGGGCACACGGGAGTACCAGGAAATGAAGAAGCGGATGCTCTAGCCAAGGAAGCCTGCAAACTAATCCCAAAATCACAACCACAGCCCTCATTAGCGCACCTAGAAAGGCAAGCTAAAGCAGCTGCCTTCCAAGCCTTTGCCAGAAAATGGCTGTCCCAATGCCCTCGGCAATATGCCGACCTCGAGATAATTCTTCACCCCAAGCCGCCCGAACTCCGCCTCCCTCGGCACTTACTAGGAAGGCTATACGCAGCAAGATCCCATCATGGAGACTTTGCAGCATACCACGAGAGATTCGCTCATCAAGATGCGTTGCTCAACTGCAGCTGTGGGAAACCCAAGACACCAGTCCATTTCTACTTCTGCAAGCGTGGACGCAAGGCTACACCGCGCTACCTCCGCCAACGTATGGCCAAAGCAAGTATTGATTTCTTGTTAGGTTCTGCTAAGGGAGCCTCTCTTCTATGCGAATGGATAGAGGAGACCAATTTCTTTTCCGAAATTTGCCCGAGTCATTGAACAGGAACGTTAGGTGAAGACGGTAGCCTGTAATATAGTTTAGATTAGTATAGACCATGTCGGCATAGCGCCCGGCACGTCCTTTTGTTACCAGACGTTAAATACATCATCATCATCATCAACAAAGTTCACGTGGCGTCGGCTAGCCGACATCATCCTTGTCCCAGTTAGATTGCTTGGAAACAGCCAGTCTGAGCCTAGCTGAATCAGAACGTCAAAAGTGGTATGTCGTTCAACTGACCTTGTTCATTTATTTTAGCTTTTCCTGCCCTGACCATGGAGCTTTTGCAGAGCTTGAGAAACGCGTCGGAAGCCAGCACCTCGCCAGGATGAATGGTGAATGGTGAATATGCGCCACGAATGGTCGCTGGAAATCGGGTCGGTTAGTTTCTCATACTTTGGCCGACACGCTTGGTGGCAGACTCCCAGAGTATTTCGGCTCATCTTATTGTAATATATCCCGGATAAACACTCATCGACGCCTTCGATGCCTCCGATGAGGCCGAGATCCCCACGGCCATGACGATCACTCGATCGGATTATCACACACCTCATCCTTTGCCGCTCTGACTGCAAGGGCTCGTCCCAGACCACTTCTATTGGCAATGGAGGAAATCGTTCCCCTTGATGACATTTAGTACCTGTCTGGGGTGTGCTAGAGGGTGATCGACTTCTCCGTCTAGTATAATCATTCCATTTGAGCTCGTTAGCATCGAGCCAGGTGACTGGTGATCGTATCTTAGCCCACGACCATGACGTTGTCAGTGTCATGTCTGAAGGACTGCTAGTTGTAGGCTTATCCTGACGGTGGTAATCGCGGTACCATAACAGTTCTCTCGGCATGTCGGTCATCCACAATCCGGCTTTGCACTGCGACGGATCCCAGCCCGTGGCCTTCGCCATGGCTATGATGGCTATACATTCAAAGGCAGCCAACTTGTCAGCTAATCTCCCGGTCTGACGTATAGAATAATTGATGACTTGTTGTCGCCAATTTGCGATATGCGGCTCAGGGTCATCTACTCCAGTGTTTCGGGTGGCGAACCTCGAACTATCAAATGTGGAATTGCTCGGGTAGATCTCATCTGAGGTTGATAACTTATCAATATCGCTATCTGCGAGGTTCGTTTCCTGGCATTTGAATACGACTCGTTCAGACTCGAAGCGTAAAATACATAACGCGCTCTTGGCTTCTGGGAACGTCCACCCCCTTTCGTCGATCGGCTCTGGCTTTTTCTCGAACCCTTGTTCTAGTAGTCTAAGGCGGTGATATAATGTCTTGTCTCTATCTTTCACAGCAACAGGGAGCTTATACTTATGATACGGTAGATCTCGAGGTGCTAAGAACCCGGCATTACTGTGCGGTGTAGAGGCGGCCCCTATAACAATGCTCGCCCGAGTATAGAACTCGAGCGCGATGTTGACCTCGTTTTTAATGATCTCGTTATCTTGGTCCTGTAGAATATAGAGTGCATCTACCCAAAGATATTGTAAGCCCAGAGCTATAGTAACCTCTATGGCATCTCGAATTGTCTTGGGAAGATCCTTGAGAGGAAATCTAGCTAGGTGATATTGTAAGTTCGTTGATGTTGTTGTGTAGTCTGGCGGCGGTTGACCCTAGCAATAAGTTAAGATAGTGAAGTTAGTATTCTTTCCCGGCTCTATTAACCGAATTTGCCTATCACCGCAGGAGCCCAGATCGAGCAGGTACTTCGGGTGCCTAAAAGATTGTATCTGCTGCCTGTGTTTGTTGTATCGAGCATGGTTCTTTTAACACTCTTTCAGATAGCTGCGTATCTACTGTATATTGTTTTCTGAAAGTGGATCTTGGTTCGGCGGTCGAGTTCGGATAATATTCTTTATGCCTTCTCGTTCCATCGCGTCAGTGGACTATTTAATGAGGGGCGATAATATATTTACCTGTCTTTGCGATCGCGAGAAGGTTGTCTTTAGTTTTGGGATTCTAGGGCTTATCAAGGAGCTGCTAATCGTAATCGACCAAAGCATGCCCTCGATGTAGGGTAATCGTGATATATAGCGATCCTTCTATCTAGTCATCTAGATCCCACGGAAAAGATTTGCCGCCATGGTTTGTCCGTGATAAATATGACCGGAGGCGTCCTAAACGCTTTTGGGAGAAAGCTTACCCGTTGATCGCGGACTTTACTACTTGAAGTAATGGCAAGGTAATCCGCGTGTCATACGCCGGGTTTACTTTTAGCTCAAGTCGAGGGCACATATCACAAGAATGAAGCTGAAGCTGAGAAGAGTCTATCGCAGTATGGTGGCTTAGGTTCAGCAAAACGGTCTTAACGATGAGAATAATCGAGATTGCTGAGCCAGGTATGAGTGCTGGTTGGATGACTTGAGGTGGACAAAGAGAGAGGGAATCGAAGACTCCTTCGACGCGACAAGACGCGAGGTGAATTCTAGGCAACAGCCTGCTGGGCTGAGGAATATCGGATCATAGAATCTCCGTGTCAGCTGTACAATGTCCGAGGCAATGACCTGCCTTTTTCGCTCGTCCAGTCGAGCGACACTTTGTTTACGACGACGTAAAGATGTATCTACTTGGCTAAGACTTGAGCAACCCCCCTGTCCCCAAAGAAACGTCTTTGCAATAAGGGCGTAGACTCGTCTGACAAGACAAGCGGACACCGGACCTTCTGGCAGTAACTTGCTGGGGGCTGGCGTCAGTTACCCGCCGCGAGAACAGTAGCCTCCTAGCAGTAAGTTGCCACAGCTTGCCGCCGGTGACTGGTACGCGCAGCCGAAGCATTCAACTAAGAGGGGCCAGAGGCACCCACGCCGGCGGCCCTACTGCTAGAAGGTCCGGTTCCTGACTGCCCTGTCAGTCACGATGATCCCCGTTAGCCCGGTTACTGGTAAGCTCACCAGGGCGCTGAGCTCCTCATTGTACCGAACAGTGACTGCTGGGGGTTACCAGCAGCCCGCCCCAAATGCTGCAAGCTCTTAGCAGCAGCTTGCTAGGATTTGCCGCCCACGACTGGAAAGTGTAGGAACGCCAAGGCTTCCGGGCCCCACAACCGGTTCGTCTGGCAAAAGGAGAGACTAAGGGTGGGGGGCGAGGGTTGGCTACCTAGTTCAGCGGCTCAGGGCAGGCGGGGCGGTGACTCACCTTGTGGGGTGTCAGGGTGGTTAAAATGTGAGCCCCTCGAATGGCAACGCCAGGGATACGCGCTGCGTGGATCAGCGAGACGCCAGCCTTGGTAGGTATGCCACTACCTAGCTCCGAGCTACCTAGGCTGTGCGGCTCGTGGGCTAGGGATGCAGGGGTTCTGGATGCGCGCGCTTTGCGGAGTGGTGGCCACCATAGCCTGTGAGCAGGCCATAAGCCGAAATGCAAACGGCGCGATGCCCCGGATTTCGGAATTTAATACTCAAATCCAGTTTCTTCGTGAATAACGTCTCGTCATGAAGTATAACTATCCCACACAAACAACGTTGCATGGTGTCAAGTCTGCATTGACGCGACCATGGACGCCCCTAAACCTGACTTAATTACGCGAAGAAAGCGGGATAGAACGAATGAGAACTTCGAGAAAGCAAGAGAGAACATCATGTGGCGGTGCGACGAAATAAGCCGCCGCTACCAGTCAGACGTCTATATTGCGTTACGAAGGAGACACAAGCACTATGAATACAGCTCTACCAATGACCCGGCGTGGCCGATATCCAGAGCTGACATGGTTGGTATCTTTTCCGCTTCCTTGTGCATCGCTAATGCCCTTTAAGGAGAAAGTATATCCCCTGCCCATGAGGAAGACAGCAGCCAATTTTACCCGTCGCAGAAGCGTAGTAAATGGTCATCGCCAAAATTGACACACGTCACTACCTTCGCGTGTTCTTTGATACTCATATCTGCCTTCACGAGCTTGAAGCAGTCTTCATTGCGTCGTGATGTCGCCTAAGTCACACGTAGCGGGGCACATGTGCTTTCCTTGTCGGACCCATGACAAGACCAAGGTTCAGGACTGGTTCTAAAACGAGAGTCAAGGCTGGTGGTGCTAAATCGGGAGCCAGGGCTGTGTCGCATAGCAGGACCAAATTAGAGATGAACCTCGGCCCAGTAGTTGATTATACAGTACAAGAAATATAACGAGCCGTCAGCTTGCTTAGTCATTTTCACGGGTACCCGTGGAATTTTACATGCCCGGGTACCCGTGAGCCTATTGGGAGCCTGCAGAAGGCCGGTAACTAAGTCTCAGGGGTTTAAGCTCAGTGCTGCCCATAATTTTCTCCCTTGATCACCATTTTTCCCGATTCCCTCAGCATTCTCAACCGACTGAGCTTTCTTTGACGCATAACTCTCGCGATGCCTCTGTGGTTGTGCGACTTTGAAAAGTGTTCAGATCCGGCAGTTCAAAGAGAAGGATACTGTTTGTGTTGCGACAAACACCTTTGTAGCAAACATCTTTCAAGATCGTTCCACAACTGCCCAAATCCAGAGGTCTGTAATCCCTATTCTAGAGTATGTTTGGATATACAGCTTATGCCTATCACCTTTAGGAAAACTGGTTATCCTTCTCTGCCAAATACGCGGCCACTGAGGCCCGTCACATAGACGAGCTATGTCATCGAATAGACAGTTCCAACTTGTGTTCGAGGGCATCAGAACTAAGGGACGGCATTCGATGTACCGTTAACCTGTCCCGCAAACACCTGTCTTCTATGATGGGACACCAAAACTGTCACGCCGAGGTTATCTTTGAAGATGGAGTTAGTTGGCTGGCACGTCTTCGTCTCATCAGGACCACCTCGCCACCAGAAGAAGTCCGTGATTTCATTTTTCGCTCCGAAGCGGGTACTCTAGCCTATCTCAATGACCACACCAGCATCCCGGTCCCCAGAATCTTCGACTGGGCTTGTGAGTCCGATCCGGAAAACCGAATTGGAGTCAGCTACATCCTAATGGAGAAGCTTGATGGAATGCCCTTAGCCTGGCAAGCGGCAAATCCGGCACAGAGAGAGAAAGTCATGCAACAGCTGGTGGACGTGTTTCTGGAAATTGAAAGACATCCTTTCGAAGCTTTGGGTTCACTTCTCACCGTTTCAGGCCCCACCAAGTTTGAGGTGCAAGGCCTCGCACAACACGCAACATACATGATTGGGCCTGAAGGGCCGCTTGGCCCTTTCACTTCTTCGCTAGACGGGTCAGTCAACATGATCAAGTCATACCTGACGATGATAGCCAGCGGCGAGATCAGTGCCTACCAATCGGTAGACACTTACCTCACGCATCGTTTCCGCCTAGATATTGCCGACAATCTTTGGGGGGATGAGTCGACAGGAGGGCGATTTTTCCTGAAGCATCCGGATGACAAGGGCGACCACATTCTCGTTAATGAATCTTACGACATCGTTGGAATTATAGACTGGGAGTGGACCCGGACTGCTTCGAAGGTGGAGGCTTTTAGCTCGCCTTGTATGATGTGGCCGCTGGGGAAGTTCTATAAGGGTTCCAATGAGTTAGCCCCAGATGAAAAGCGGCTAGCAGAAATCTTTCAGGAGAGGAGTCGTGAAGATCTTTCGAACTACGTCCTCCTTGGCAGAAAGGTTCAGAGATTCTTCTTCGCTCTAGGTCCAGAAAGTCCTTCGAATCGACAAACCCTTTTAGATCTCTTTGTAGGACTCAAAACGGCCTTCAACTTTGAAGACGAAACGTGGGAAGGGTGGGAGAAGTGGAAGAGCCAAGCCCTGCGCAAGTGGGAAAACGACGAATTGTTTCAGGGCCTGCTTCGGCTTCAAGTGAAAAAGGAAGACCAGTAAAACGAGTCTCGAGGTTTGTGTCACTTTTACTGCAGCCAACAAATACGTCGTTTTTCAAGAGGGTAGAACTCTGAGACATAGCGTGATAGTTCCTTCGTAAATTGGCTGCAATGAGACCAAAATCGTGCGATTGTGCTAATAACCCTACTGCTTGCTCGACGAGGTTCTTTTGTTCGTTTTTCCGCTCCTAATTTCTCGGTAATGAAATAAGATCCTCCACGTCAAAATCTCAACAATCTTTGATGATTTCCAAACCTCGCACAAGACAGGGGCTAGGCAGGGAAACTCATATGGTCAACGAGGAGAGGAACTCGAGCTCCGTCATCGTTAAGAACTACATCAAGCTGGTTCTGTGCGCCAGCGGGCTTGTCTGTGATCGTTTCAGATGATGTCCTACGAAAAAGTATGGGGATGCTCATGAGTAGCACAGTACCGACCGCCGCTCAGCGCCCAGCTGTCGCATCCATTGTGCGCACATTTATCGGCCATCTTGTATATAATCGCTTCGATAAGTGAGTTTTGTTATGGGTGAGGGTAGCAATTGGTGAGGATTGAGATGCAGGTTCTTGGATGAAATCGCAGTCGCAGGTTCTGTGTTATATACTCGAGGCCTAGTCACACCCACTAATAACCACATAGCAGGCGTGTGTCAGCTTTTTATGTCGGCTCCCACTGAAAAGGTAAGTCCAGGCAGCCGTTGGCTTCTCGTCAGCCACCGGCCAATGCCAGCACACGGCGAGAGAGCCAAGTCTTGCAGATGACCGAACGTTCGAGACCTATATAGGCGGCAGTAGGAACTAGATTCGGACTGGCGTCGTATATTCTGTCATATATCAGGCTCGGTTCCAGGCTTGTTATAGAGGGTCGGCGGATGACTTCAAGTTGCGAGCGAGCGAATGGAAGATGAAGCTTGTCATATCGTGATGGCGCGGATCCAGCCGAAGGTAGGCCTGAGGGTCAGACATTGCTCGATTCGTTCGAGGATTTAGAACACGCGGATATTCAAGAGAAAAGTAATGAAGATAGACAGAAGAAGGCATTGAGATAGTGTAAACCGGAGGGACAGACGCAGCGAATATCTTCGCATTCCTAACCGGGGTGATCATTTGATATGTAGGCCAGCGGCGGTGTATGTCGGTGTAGTGCATGGCGAGGTTATTGATTGGTGAGTAAAGGGCGATTAGATAACGATAAGATCAAGCATGTTGGGACGGAGCATGCAAGCACATTCGTGGAGGCATACAGCGCACATACCCATTCAAATCAATCAAACAAATAAGTCAAACAAACAGTCAAATATAGGAATTTCAGCGAGTCAAACAATCAAATATCGTGAGGCCCTATATTTGATATATTTGATCAAATATGAGGTCGCCCGGAAAAAGGAATATCCGGGGCCGGGCCAATCAAAAATCGACGCTGCTAATCACGCCCCACAGAAGCTCGTCATTGGCATCATGAATACCCATAGCGGGATTCCAACCCACGACTCCTCACTTACGATTGTAAGTTCGGTATTATACCACTTAACTATATGAATTGCTAGTATTTGTTACGTTAACAATAAATGCCTGAGTAGTATAGAGCGCTGGATTTGGCATCCTACAATGTCCAGGAATCAAAAAAACCTCCGCTAGTCAACTGGTGCCCCCTTTTCTCAACATCAACAAAACCAATGAAGTTACGCACTACCACTTCCAACCCTTTGCGACCACCACAATTATCGTCAAAATCAATTAAATTATATATCAATCGACTCGCCATATCGTAATTTATTGATTGGCATTGAGTCGCACGGTCTTTGGCGCGCCGCAGCCACTTCGGATTACCTCGCAGCTACAGGCCCCAACCGACGCCAGTCTCGCATCATCGACCGACCTCGACACTCGCGACAACCTCCTCGCCCTTCCAAAAGCCTTCTGGAAAGGGAGGACTTTCGTTAACGACGATTTGATATCACAGAAGGGCGCAAGGCCAAGGAAGTCGTGGATCCGCTTAGAGGGGGTCTTCGCTCGAGAGATCTACGATGGAAACATTCGAGGCGAAGTCTTCTGGTTTTGTCGTCGCTGCGACGAAATAGGCATTATTACCTGCTTCAAAGCAATAGCTACGAGCTCAGCGACGACTCACTTAAGGTCAAAGCACCGAGTAATGGATTCAAGCTCCAGCGAGTCACCACATCCATCAGAATCCTCAGAGTACGACTCTGCGCCGAAGAGACGGAAACTTACCTCTGGTGCTGTCACGAAGGGCCAGGTAACGAGAATTGAGGAATTGGTAATCGGATACATTGTCAATAGTAATAGCCCATTTACAACTTTCCAGGATCCTTACCTCCGGGCCCTCCTCTATCAGTTGGATTATGGTACTGCTAACGAACTCTCATTATCATACGGAAGTATGAGAAAGGAGCTGAACAGGATCTTCGTCAAGAAGAAAGATATAATCAGGGCAGAGATCCGGAGGTTAATGACGAAAGTCCACCTATCATTCGATCTATGGACCTCGCCAATGCGGAATGCCATCATCGCCGTCTTTACTTACTTTCTAAACTATACTGGGCAACAAACACAATACCTTATTGCTCTACGACGACAGTATGGTGCTCAAGATGGGGCCAACATTGCCCAGACCATGAAATCCATAATAGACGACTGGGAATTGGGCGACCAAGTCGGAGCAATTGTTTGCGACAATGCCTCAAACAACGACACTTGCCTAGGTCACTTATATCCTATGTTATCTCATGCCTACACCCAGGAAGATGTTCTTGACCGGAGGATTAGGTGCTACGGTCACATTCTTAGCCTCGTCGGCAGGGCCTTTCTGTTTGGCAATGACAAAGAGGCATTCGAGCAAGAATCAGATACACTGATTAATACTGGGCAACTTCAAGAAGATCTCAACCTCTGGCGCACAAGGGGCCCTGTTGGTAAGCTTCGGAACGTCGTCAAATTCATTCGCTCATCGCCTCAACGATGTGAGGCCTTCCTCGAGGTCAGCAATGAGATCGACGAGAACGACACATTTACTCTCTTCGAGGAGTCGTCGCAGGAGCTCATGCTGACGCTCAACAACGACACAAGGTGGAATTCGACATACCTCATGATACAGCACTCTTTGCAAAAGAGAAAGCAGATCCACACCTTCTCGGCAACCAGTCGAGCTCAAAAGGATCCAAAGCAACGGATCCCCATTGACGACGTTCTTGATGATGACGACTGGCAGCTGCTGGCCGAGCTGAAGGCGGTGCTTGAGCCACTTTACCTCCAGACGATGAGATGCCAGGGCTGGGGCAAAGGAGACGGCCATGGCCGTCTATGGGAAGTGATGGCAGGTCTCGAGTACCTGATTGACCGTCTCGAGGAGTGGAAGAGGTTGTATGATGAACCTTCTGAGGAAGAGATAGATCTCACGGCTTCTCAGATCGTAGCGTCGCAATCGCAGTTTACGCAAGTAACACTACCTCGTCGGCGGTCAGCTCGTCGTCAATTTATATCCCAACCTCTTTCTCAACCTCCAACTTTAAGCAGCATCCCTCGTTTTGCTCAGTCTGAGTACATGCCTAGGGAGCGGGCGTAGCTGCTTCTCAGCAGTGATTTTGACTCACGAGGATACTTCCGACTGTCAGTCATCAATGCTTGGCAAGTCCTCAATAAGTATTATACCAAGCTGGGCGACTCTCCGCTTTACGCCGCAGCAATCATTCTTCACCCTGGGCAAGGATTGAGATGGCTGGAGAAGAGGTGGGATACGCCCGAGCAGAGCCACTGGCTGTTCGATGCGAAAAAAGGGCTCTACGATTACTGGAAAAGATGGTATGCAGACGAGACAGCAAGTCCTCCTCCTTCGCCACGACAGTCACAAGCCACTTTTGCTGCCCTCACGATTCCAGAGAGTGTCGCAGAAGACTCGGAGTACCGGCAATGGTTGACATCTCGAACGACAGAGGTGGCAATCAATCTTGCGCCTGAGCTTGATCAATATTACTCACAGATTATCCCTCAGCCGGTCCTCAACCCAATCCAATGGTGGCTTGACCATCGGCTAACCTATCCAACGTTGAGCAAGCTTGCGCTTGATATCTTTGCGATCCCTGCGATGGCGACAGACTGCGAGAGGACATTCAGCCTCGCGAAGTTGACTTTAACCTCACAGCGATTATCAATGAGGTCCTCTACGCTGGAAGAGGTTCAATATCTCAAGAACTGGCTTCGCGGCGGTGCTGTGGAAGTAGGAGGTCAATTTTTCAATTAGAAGAGCTGATTGAGGTAAAGTCTGTAAGTCAGTACTATGAGGACTTTCGCGATAGCTTCATTCATTTCCCGATTAGGAAATCAGTCAAATCTATCAAATATTTGTCAAACAATCAAATATGAACCTCATATTTGATTTGTTTGTTTGGGTATAAGCGCTGGCTCCTAGCCTTCAATCAGACCCAGTACGACCGAGTTCTGTCTATTGAATCTGATTCTACCCTACTTCAGAACATTGATGGGCTTTTTCTCTCGCCGCCAGCTACGGTAGCTGTACCGCGGGCCTACTGGCTCTATCCAGAAAAGAAGATAGTTGCTTCACACATCATGCTCGTGCAGCCCAGCGTTGCCGAGTTCGCTCGGATAGTGGCAAATGTAGAACGCGCCGATAAAGAGTATGACATGGAAATTATCAATGACCTGTACAAAGACAGCGCCATGATTCTTCCTCACCGACCATATGGGCTTTTGACTCGGTCCTTTGGTGGCGTTCATCAAGACTACTACCTCGGAAATGATAAGGAGATTTGGGACGCGGTGACTGTCTTCAACGAAGCCAAATATCTTCACTTCTCTGATTGGCCCATGCATAAGCCTTGGTTGAAATCCTCCGAGAGTCTGATCAAGGAGAGGCAACCCGATTGCGTCATGAGAAATGGGACTGTGGATTGTACCGCGCGAGAACTATGGCATAGCTTCTACACAGACTTCAGAGCACGCAGGGCTGTGAGTTTACTCAACGCTTTTCACCTCTTAAAGTGCGATTTTGCTGACGAACCCAAAGCAAGTTTGTGGAATCAACACCTAGCCCAACTCGCAAAAGACTTGAACAACCGTTGGTTTAAGTATAGAAGAAGTGGATACCCAGCTTTGAAAATGTTATGAGAATTGGATTATTTATCATGGAGCGAAGTGATCGAGTGAGAACCAACATTGTCCCCTCTTAACATGCGTTTCTCTACATGTGACTCTGTCTCATTGTTCGTTCTTATGAGGTACGTCGAATAAAGGGAGACAAGGGTGTGATGGATGGGAAGCCACCAAGTCAGAAGAGTCATTGCCAAAATCGAAGGCATCAGTCCTTCGAAGGCGCGCTAATCACAGATCACCCTCCCTTGGACTAGCTTCAAAATACTTATCCCCGACGCTAGTCTGCGGCTGATCTCGTGTGTGATCTAGATTAACAGCCCACAACCAGGTGCATGAGACCAACAGTACTTAACTGCCAATATCATTGGTGTGGCGTCAAGGCTATGAGTGTGGCGGTAGGCTGGATCTTTGAAGGGTATTTCGGAATTGACCACAAGTGGTAGGATTACTTTCATGATCAGATATTATATAAATTGACTGTTCCGTGAATCAAAATCCTGACTAAATCCTGACGACCGGAAAACTGAACTGACGTGAAATTCTGCCCGAAATGATGCGACTCCCAAGCCTCGCAAGTGCAGTACTTCTGCTCCTGTTGCGGGCAGCCTCGATTGTGGACGCACAATCAGCATTATCCTGTACCGCAGTTCCTAGCGTTGCCTCCTGCGTTTCCTCTATTACATCAGTAATTAGCCGCACAGCCTCTGCGTCCAAGTTTTGTTCCTCAGTCTTGGAATGCCCTTTACCCACAACCACGACTTTGGTCGGCACCGTCTCAACGACAACAACCAAAATGCAGACATTTACTTACACTCTGGAAGAAATAGTAGGCAACATGGACTCTGGGGTTGCGTTTCAGACTGACGGATGGCCTCGATTGTTAGGGTACTGAGACGACTACGACGTCCACGTTTTCTTATACCGTACGCATTTCCACTTTCCACCCTTTTCTAATGAGAGCCTCAAGAAGTTGACACATTCCAATGCTACAGGAATCGACCTATAGTTATGTGGCAACTGTGACTGTCATGCCAACATGGACAGTTGAGTAAGTTGCGTAGCCGGCGACGAGATGTATACTCTTGACTGACAGTTGTAGACGATTCGAAGTCACAACAGCCAAGCCGAAGAAACGTCGAGAGGCCCCAAATCACCTTGAAGGCAGAGCAGTTACTTCAGTGTGCCCATCGGCAATTCAGAAGAGCGCATGCTCGTGTCTCTACACATGCCCAGGTCCAATCACCAAGGATAATCGCAAACCCATCAAGAGTATTGAGACTGAGATCTCATGGATCGTATGTTTGACGAGCTGATCGCCCTCCCCAAGGTCTGTGAACCGGATCAACATTGACGTGAGTCTGATCACCAGGTGACAACTTCATTCATCACATACACCAACATCGAATACTTCCCGATCATTACAACCAAAGTATCGCTTCTCACTAGCACAGTCACTGTAAGCAGCGAGTTAAAGTGTCCCCGACTCCCTGGCGTTGTTGCATTGTGAAGGTTACTGAGATTGATGCTCGAACACCTCAGCAAGCGGAAATTGCGACTCACACGCGAAAGGTCAAATGCACACCATCAGTCAGCGACTCTTCATTCTACCTACTAGCCACTCTTGCGCCGGTCCCATCGCCGGTCCCAGTGTACAACGACAAGTACGTGCTCGCGAACCCGCAATTCGAATGGTTCGCAGAGGATGGAGTCACGTTCGAGCCTCAGTATACCCGAGACAAGGGCGCCGCCAGCGTCTTCATCCTCGACAGCAAAGGCCGCATCGTCACGCAGACATCCTATGGCGATCACTTTTTCGCCAGCGATGACTACAACGACTTCGAGCTGGTGCATTTCCTGCCCCGCGGGTGGATACAGGCTCGCAGGCTTCACAACGGCGAAGACGTCGGGTTCGACTATGTCTATTGCACGATGCAGTCTCCGTCGGGGCGATACGCTGGTGGATTCAAGGAGTTGGCGTGCACGCAGGGGTACTTCAATGCGACGGTCTTGCAGTATTGTCCGTTGTATGACGAGTATTTCCGCACAGGAACGGTGCTTGGGGCAGAGTACAGTGCTACAACTCCTGATTGTCTGTTGGTCACGTACCTGGTGGTTCCCGTCTGCTGAAGAGAATCGAGCGCTTCGGCGTTATTTTGGTAGGGCGATTGGTAGGTCCGGAATTGCTGGGCCGGTAACTGAAGCCGCTCGGCTCCACTTCGCCGGGGGCGGCCTTCCGAAGCTGGTGCCGGTAATCTGCCATGCGCCAGGGCCTCGCGGCATTCACCAGAAGATGTTCTGCAGATTAAAATACATGTGTATCTATACATTTTGAGTCTTTCTCCATGGGAATCATCCATCAGTTCGCGAAGCCCTACTTATTTGAAAGCTGGTTCCCTGTCTCCTGCCAGTTGAGTGACTGACTCGCAGGAACAGGACGCATCGGGCCGGGGGCGGGAAAGACCCAAATGTTCGTCCTTTCTCCATGCCAGAGACACGCTGTTTGTCCCTGCATCAATTCCATAGTTATGTTCATCTTAGACAATACTGAGAACCCATATTTAGATCGGAAGGGACGATCAGGCCCGAACACGTGACGTCATACCGTACACGGAAGGCAGGGACCCCAAGCTAGGTACCTACGTCATTCAACGTTCCCCAGTTGTTCCTGACAATCAAATCACTTCGCAGCCGATATTGCTGCAGCACCACCAATCCAGCCTCAACTGCGAAATCTGTTGAGCGCGGCATTTCATAATATTTTCTCTCTTCTCCCTCATACAACACTTCTCAAAGACAAATACATCACTCGCGAGGCCATACACACCAGAAACTCCAACGCAAGAAAGCCATCTTCTACTGGACATCGCGATACCAAAAACCCTGTATCACGACACCAAACAACAATCACCATCACCATGGCAGAAATCGCAGCAGGCGCTGTCGTAGCGGAGCAGGTCGTTTCCACTGGCATTGAGGCTGGAGCGGCCGTCGCAGTGGCACGTCCAACACAGCCCTTGAAGGTGTCTTTGTCCCAGGTTGCCACCACCCAGTCCCCCGCTTTCGACACGTCGTAAGTCAGATCCCTCGTGTGTTTGGTTGGATTACTCTAATATTCCAATAGCGCTCTTGCACGTTCCCATCACTCAGTCACCGTCGTCAACCACAAGGCATGCATTTTTGGTGGCGAGACGGCAGAGGGCCAGCTGGCTTCTACTGACTTCCATGTCCTCTCCTTGCCGGCCATGACCAAGGGAGAGCCAGTTGCAGCTTATGCCTGCTATCCAACATTTGCGATGCAGGATGCAGAGACTGGCAAGACCTATGTCCCTTCCCCGCGTTCAAGACATGCGGCGGCAGCCCGCGGCCAGTTCGTAATTGTCAATGGCGGTGCTGATGCTAGCGGAAAGCCCATCGACGAGACTTGTCTCTGGCTGTGGGACTCTGAGAGTCTGAAGTGGACCAAGATTCAAGGAGCAAGCCAGATTGGCAAGACCATCACGCCGAGATTCGACCACCACATCTTTGTCGAGCAGACCCAGGACTTCCTGGTCCTCCATGGAGGAAGGACCGCACCAGGACAGGAGGCATCTACCGAGACTTGGATGTATAACTTTGATACTCTTGCCTGGACAGCGTTGCCGCCTTCTCCTCAGCCTTCCCTTGCCGCCGCGTTCGTCGACAACGTGCTTTATACCATTGGGGCGGACTCGAACATGAGCGGTGCTATCCACTACATGGACCTCAAGTCCAAAGCCGAGGACCGTGAGAAGCCCGATGCTCTTCAGTGGAAGACTGTCAACTTCCCTACCAACCCACTCACCCCTGGTCCCCGCCCACGCGAAGGCGGCGCGCTCGTGCCAGTCGATACCGGTGTTGGCCGACACTACCTGGTCTACATGTTTGGCGAGAACAGCACCTCAGCCGACAAGGATTTTTACACCGATATCTGGGCCCTTCAGCTCCCTACTCATGGCTTCAACGCAGCTGCTGTGAAGGATGCGATCCGTGACAAGCTGCCCCGTATTGATTCTGGTGAATTCAGTTGGGCAGAGGTGGAGCTTATTCCGACAGAGGAAGTCAAGACAGAGGGAAAAGCGCACCCCGGACCACGGGGCTACTTTGGTGCAGACGCTTCAGATGGAAAGAGTCTCGTCTTTTGGGGCGGCGTAAGCACGATGGGCAAAGAGGGCGATGGATGGCTACTTCAGGTCCAATGAGCGGTGTCTGATGAAGAAATATATGGACAAAACAAGATTCCCCAAAAGTGTATTACTAGTCAAGGACAATAAAAAGTGCTTTGATATATGAGGCAGGTTGAGATGCGTGACTCTTTTTACCTACAAGCGAACCGCCCGCAGAAAATATCGTCTGTCCACCTAAGGTATCTAGTACCTAGGAGAAGGGATGCGCACGGCAGAGATCGGACTGGCTGCCCTCTGCAGTGGGCCAACATAGAAGAGGGAGGGGCGTACTTGCCGTCATCAACATAGACACTATATTATGTACCAAGGTGGGAGGTACTGAGGTGGTAGTTTCCCGATTCAATGATATCCAGCCAGCTGAAGGAACGACCTCTGCCGTATGGAGCGTACCACCTCTTCATGGGCACCTTACCTTGTCAGGTCAGTACGAAGATGACATTTCAAGGCAAGACCTGATTGCTGATCTCCTTCCTTGCCTCATCAACCTCGGACGCTTGACCACGTACGAGCCACCCACTTCAACTCGTCGCGTGCGTTCCAATTGAACCCATCTATAACAACCGAAGTGTTGTATATAGTCAAACCACCAGGACGAACTCTTTCTGATCCACCATCATCATGGGTGCCGTCTCAAGCCGTCAGCCTCGCAAAATCACGCAAGAGAACGCTACCGAAGATCCTTATTACGATGTGATATTCACATATTGCGACGTAAAAGACAGTGACTCTGCAAAGGCAAAATGGGAAGCTGTCCTTTACATCGAGACAAAAGACCTAAAGCGAGTCTTACGCAAAGGGCTCGTTATCTCGGAAGACAATATTCAACCACAATCCGACTGTATCACGATCGAAAAGTGCCCCGGGTATCTTCGAGAAGAAGGCTGGATTTATGCCCGTCGGTACATCTTGTCTGGGAAGTCGTGCGGCGGATGGACGGCCCATCTCGCGGTTGGAGAGCGGACGAAATGAATATACTCGCGAAATTTCGACTGGCCGATCTTATTGGCCACGCGATGGAAGGTGGAGCTTTGAATAAGGAACATTGCTTGGTGTATCGGTATCCGGAGGGGTACAGGACCTTGGGTGCAGGTGAGAGCTCTGAGGCATGGTGGCCTTTGCTGGTTACTATTCTGCCGCTGAAGAGTCAGGTTTCGAAGTCAGAGGATAGCGTCAATGGCGATGCGGGTGGTGTCAAGGGTCGGGTGACTCCGCCTGATGAAAAGACAAAGAAGGGCTAGACGGACGTCGGACCTTTGGAGGATTTGAAGGAATGGACCGTGGAGGCGCTGTATGATTACGATGATATCGAGATGATTGAGGAGGCTTGTCCAGTGCGAACACTCCTGTTAGACTCGAAGGTAGCAACGGGGACTCGGCGATTCCGATGGCATTGTATACCCAGTGCTCTCACATGTAGACATACGCAATGCAAATAGAATCTAGATGCAGCAAGACCTGGCTCAAGGTACATTCGGGCGGTTGAATGATTGCTTCACTTGGGCTATTCCAGGAGGTGGCACGCTGAAGTTTTCCATAGACTTGAGTCGCCTACTCAGGTGATCCAAAGTGCTCGGGCTAAATCCATACGTGCCCAGCATCAGTCCCAGCAGACACATCTAGCCTCGCCTTGCCAGCTTGGAACCCTAAAGGAAAGTGGGAAAGCAACCGCCTGCATCACAAACTTGGACATCGGGCCTACAGTAGGCCTTTCCATAATAGGGACAGAAACGAGAGGCGCAAGTTTATTCAAACAGTTTACTTTTGTAGCTATTCATACTGGGGATTAAGGCAGTTGAGCCTCCCTGATCATATACCTCATCAAATATCGACTCGAATACACCAACCCCCGCCAGCCTTTTACTTGTATTGCTTACTTCAGTAAGTGTCCACCAGAAACAACACCCTCAGGCTTCTTCCAATGCACCGGCACCCCGCCCCAGCTCTCCTCAGCATACTGCTCCTGCACCTTCTGACACGTTCTCAACCCCCATTCCGTAACACCAACCATAGCACAACTCTCAAACATGAAGGCACAGCTGCCCGCGCCAACCTTGGCAGGCTTCAACTCGGCGTTCCTCGCGCCCTCACTACTCTCGGCGTCCGGACCGTGACCAGACATGGTATTATGCAGACTCGCGCCTCCCGGAACGAACCCGCCCTTGCCACCGCGCTTGGCGTCGTATCCGCCCGTGATGAGGCCCATGAACTCGGACATTGTGTTGCGGTGGTAGTAGGGGGGCCGGAAGGTATCTTCAGCGACGAGCCAGCGCGGGGGGAAGATGACGAAATCGGCAATGGCGGTGCCCGGGACGCCGCTGGGGGCCGAGAGGACTGTGAAGATGGAGGGGTCTGGGTGGTCGTAGGAGATTGTGCCGATTGTGTTGAAGCGGCCTAGGTCGTATTTGTAGGGGTAGTAGTTTCCGTGCCAGGCGACGACGTCAAAGGGTGTGTGAGGCTGCGTAGTCGCAAAGTAGTCGTTGTTGAACTTCACCGTAATGGTGTAATTATTCTCCCCCTCGTGCGCCGTCGCGCCAAAGTCCTCGTCGAAGCAGGCGACAGGCACCTGGAAGTCGCGCGCGTTGGCGAGGCCGTTTGTGCCGATGGGACCCAGCTCGGGGAGGATAAAGTGGCCCTGGTAGAGCTCGAGGGCGTAGCCGCGGGCCGGGCCGGAGGGGAGGTGGACTTGGTATTTTACGCCGCGGGGGATGACGGCGATCTCGAGGGGTCGGACGAGGAGCCAGCCGTGTTCTGTGCGGATGTCGAGGGTTCCTTCTTGCGGGACGATGAGGAGGTCGCCGTCGGCGGAGTAGAATGCTGCTTTGGGATCCATGCTGCGCCCCGCGGCGTAGACGTACATGCCGATGCCTTGCTTTAGGGTCGGGTCGCCTGCGCCGGCGACGAGGCGCATGCCGGCGACGAAGTCCCATTCTTTGGACTCGTCATGGTCGAAGGGGTCCCAGCGAAGTTGGTTGGGGATGTATTGGAGCGCGGAGGGGAGGGCGCGGGTCTCTGGGGACGGGGCTGTGGTCGGGGCGAAGGGGTGGTGGGCGCAGGAGGGGAGGATGCGGTAGAGCCAGGCTTGTTTGCTCTCGTGGCGGGGTGCCGTGAAGGAGGTTCCGGAGAGCTTTTCGGCGTAGAGGCCGTGGGGTGCCTTTTGTGGGGCGTTTTGGCCGATGGGGAGGGAGTCGGGGACGGCTTCGGATCTGGGGTTGAGGAGGTGGAGATGTTAGCAAATCCGGGGAGAGGTTGCGGGGGAAGGGATGCGTTGTAGGCAGGACGAGGGTAGGAAGTGAGGTCGTACGTACTCGAGATGTGAGTCGAAGCCGACCTGGTAGCGGTACTTCTCCTTGAAGTCAAACGTTGTAACGGGCATTGCTACAGGCTTTTGTTTCTTGTGAGCGACGTGATAGATGGGTGAAGTCGCAAGCTATGGGGTGTGTTGTTCTTGCGCAAAGAGCTGATGATGGAGATAAGAAATTGTCTTCCAATAATGTTTCTAGAGGAACACACGAGTTCAAATATCACTCCCGGCCTCCCCGCCTCACCCCCTCGGACCTTTCTGGATGACGTTTGGGTGAAATGCCATCCAATTCCTCTCAAAGCCGGGGCGGGCAGCTTTGCCTGGTACCGGTATCATTATTCCGCGTTTGTGTGAGAGGGAAAGGCACGGCAAGACGCGGCGTCTGCCGACGTTAGCCGGGGTCCGTGCTTGCTCTTCTATGAACCTTGGACCTTTCAATTCCGATTTCCGACAAGCTTACTCAGGGCACCTCACCTTGGGTAAGATGTTCACTTCGAGGAAGAAGACCCGCGTTAGTTCCGCTCAATGGTTCGATCCGGAGCGTTCGCGGGGGGTTCGGCTCCAGGCGATGTATTCATAATGCGCTCTCGCTTGAGAATGGAGGTTCATCAGGTGGGAGATGCCAATCATCTTCTCAAGAGACACTGGAAATATGCGTTGAAGCAGTAACAAATTTCCCTCTCGATGGCCGCAGAAGCTTGTTAGTGTACTATGGTTTTACCCCGCCATTCGTACCCCGCGACCAATTGAGGGGTCCCTCTGTGATTGTTTGATGGGCTGTCCGGCATCGTCGTTGGAGTTCTGATCGCAGGTGTCTTTAGCATTGATTCTGTTTAAGTCAGCATCATCTCTTCTGCCGCAAATATGAGTACCCAGTCAGGGTCTCACGGGTTTACGGGCATTTCGCGTGGAATCCACGGTAAGCCGCTACGGCGTGCAGGACCCTTGCTCCCCGGAGAGTGGGTCACGATTAATGCAGGCAGGCCGCGATGGGAGAGTGTTACTCATATCCACTCACTCGAATTTCAACCTCCGCCAGACTACATGATGTTTACGTATTGAACACTTCTACATGAAATCGTCATGCTCGCTCCATGTTCTCAGCTTCAAATGACTGATCAAGTGGAAGGTCAACGAATCAATTGAACTGGGTACCCAAGCTATCACCGCTAGACACCCCGCTCCATCGAGCGTCAACTCCATAATCCTCCTAACTTTACACCTCGAAGCATCAAGCTCCAGAGCAGAGATCCGAACCCATTGACACAATATCCGACGATATCTATCGCAATATCCCATTGCGCCAAGTCGCCTATTGAGCCAAAGCGAAGCAAGCAGTTTTACCAGGAAGTATTGGACCAGATATGAAGAAATAAAGTCAGGGAAGTTACTCCTCACCCTCGTTCTTCTTGTTCTTCTTCTTCTTGCCGCCGCCACCGCCGCCGATCTTCTCAATTGCGGGGTTCTTCTGGAGGTGAACAACCAAGCGTGTCCAGGACTCTTCCTTGTCCCATTCAAAGCCAGCCAGGTACGGGTTGTCGAGCTCGTCGTCAGACTGAGCATTCTTGTTAGCAGTGGTTCGTGACATGGCTCTTTGGGTCATGCTTACTCTCTTCTTATATGCCTTGTGGATGGCGTCCAGGGCATCCTTTATCGTTACTCCCTTGAGGTTGCGTGCTGTTACTTCCATGCCGAGCGGGAAGTGCAGGTCAATCTTCTTGACTGGGGGCTTTGACAGGTGCACCTTGAGAATTTCCTTGTCCTCGACTTGCGATGATGAAGTGTTGATCTTCCTGTTTGGGGTCAGTCTGTGTTTTGTGATGAATGCCGACCGCAAACACCACGGAATCAATGGTTGGCGACATAGCTAAGCATGATGGACTGAGTGAATGAAAACTTACCATCCTGTCCGTTGTGTTTCCGGTGCGAGCTCAAGCTCAATCTTTTCTTCTTCTGTTGCATTGTTAGTCGTGTCCCGAAGAAGCCGAGTCAAGTCAAGGGTCAAGTCAGGTGCGGGGCTGAGGCAGTGACGTACCAAGGTCCTTGATGTTGTACACGCCAGGTGCAGCGGCGGATGATTGCCGGCGAGTCTTGGACTCCTTGGGTGGTGATTGAGAGAGACCTCCGACAGCTGAGTCGACCTTGGAGAGCGGTTCCGTCATGATTGCAGTTGTGTGTGAAATGTTTGATCAAAGGTGATCGTGTTGGTTGTTTGTAGTCTAGGTATTGTGTTAGCTGAGGAGGCTCCAACGATGTTGATTCGACCGAAGCTTCAGCTACAGCTCCAGCTCCAAGCTCTTCGAGCTTCAAGCTCCGAGGTCCAGGAACAGGAGCTCTCTCGTGCTTCTCAATGGATGACGGTTGGGGAGGAAAGGGGTGAAGGGGAGCTACCTATGTTGAACAGGTGATGTGTGGTTGTGAGATGGATGGTTGGAGGAGAAGTGGGATGAGGAGGGGATTAAGAAGGGAAGGAAAGGAGGGGGCAAGAGCCAGAGGAGGTAGATGGATGTCGATCCGGTCAGGCGCCTGACCTGGCGTGCGGGCCTGAGGTAAGGAGAGGAGAGGGGAGAGAGGGGTCCGTCAAATGTGAAGTATCGAGGAGAGGTATCTGATGTTACGATGCGCAGAATGAGGCGTGGGAGAATACTTGGTGATGTACATTGGTTTGGGGGTGTACTTGTATGTATTAGACGGAAAGTGGTGCTTGGGGCCCTGGGAGTGGTCGGTTTTGTCGGACCAGAGCTGGAGCTGAAGCGACCAGGCCACCTAACAGAGCAAGCAGCCACGCAGAGTTACTGAGAGCGAGCAGAAGCAGCAAGCTCCCTGCATCGGCTTTGGAGTGGCAGCCATTGTCGATGCATTACGGTTTCGTCAGACCGGGCGGGGTAACTGCCCATCAATGGCGTTGCCAGACGATCGCGTGACATGGAAGCTCATGAGATGCGCGCAGGCCTGCGAGGGAGAACGGCGAGGAACGGGCGGCAGGTGACGGGTGGTCCGGGCTGGGAGCAAGTGCAGCGCAGGGACCAGGGGGTAGGTAGACCTCAGGGAAAGAGAGAACCACAACCCACAGGAGCTCCTTCTCTCTGCTCACTCTGCAACCCTGAAGGCCTTCCTCCCATACTTCGTACCTCTCATGAGCCCACACAAGGCAGGTACTCCTTCAATGAGGAGGAAGGTACATGCAATCTGCTCTTGCTCCGACTTGACTGTCCTTCCGTATTCTCCACTTGCTCCTTCTCATCCATGACCTTTACTCTTGCAATGGGAGTTGATGGTACCTGACCGTGTGAAGCAAGATGGCCCGACTGGTCTGGTTGGCTGATTGTCCGAAACGGGCATGGCGCGGCCAAGGTCGAGCCACTCGAGGGGACTTCCTGACGGATCGGCTTTAGTACGGTCTCCGAAGTCAAAAGTCTGGGGTAAAAAGTCTGGGGAAATGGCCAAAATAGAGAGCTTGAAGCTGCAGTCTGACGGTCCAGCGACGGTCGGGCCCACTCCTCCCGTCTCATAAGGTGCATACACTTACTTGCACTGGCTGTGGGATGAATATGGGTGCCATCAGGAAGAGAGTGTGAGAGGATGTGTGTGTGTGTGGGAGGGGAGCATCTCGAGATCATCTTGATGCTTCTTTCTCATGAGCGAGATTCTACGCAAGATCTCCAGCCTTGGAAGCAGGCACAAATTCAGGAACAGGAACAGGAATAGAAACAAGGACACAAACGCAGCTCGGCGTTTGTTGCAGCAGTAAGACCACCGTCTCCGACCCGTCACTGCGAAAATGGGCCAAGCGAACTGGCACGCGGGGGACAGATTAGACCGCCGCTTTTGTTACAGCATCATTAGCACATATATCTCTACCACGTCTTAATAAAAAGCCATGAAATTATTATAAAATATTCAGAAAATACCTAAATCACTTCTCTATATTTATTACTTAGTGTTTTTGATATTTAGTAGTTTTGGGGTGAGCAGTGGTCGCTGATGTAGAGAGAGAGGGCGCCTGGCGATGGGCGGTCTAAAATGTCCCCCGCGTGACTGGTTTCCCGTGGTGGGGTCGCTGCTCTGTCGTGTACGGTGGTACCACAAAACAGCCCATCCCTCACCTGATTCACCACCCCCAACCTGTCGACAGTAAGACAGCAACCAGAGCATTCGAGAGTTGGGAGAATGGTTTGCTAGTGACACTCTGCCGATGGGCGATGACAGGCGGCATCTGAGATGAGTGAGGTGATTTGCTGGTCCCGTGAATATGCTTTGCTGGGGCTGCTGCTAGCAACGAATTGACGGCCTGCCCTCAAACGCCAGAGTTCGACCATCCCCTCACTGTGACACAGCTACGCGCGGGCAATCGAGAGCTCACATCACCTTCCTCGTGCCCTTCGTGCCCCCTTTGCCCCCCCTCGATGATCCCACCCTCGATATAAGCCACGCGGATCCCGACAGATCCTCTTTTCCAACCGACTCCTGGCAACATTTCTTCCCTCCGCGGATTGCACGATGCCTTCGTTGATTCAGTGTCCTGTACTGCTTCCAGATTCCGTCCATCGTTGGTCTATTGTTTATATCTCATCTCTCCAGAGCATCCCACCATGACCTGCTCCGTTTCTCCATTTCTATCCCCAACTCAGGTCTCCTAGAGTCACAAACACATTGCGCGTATATCAACTGCAGCTAGGCGAAGCAACAGTAGCAGCATGTCGTCACGCTCTCCACATTCCCGCGCCAGCTTAGCGTCTCACTTCGTCTCGTCTCGCACGCTTCACACGTTCAAGTTCACGCCCGCATCGTTTCTGTCTCTGTCTATCTCAGTCTATCTCAGTCCCTTTCGGTCTCTTCTCGAGTTCCCACTTCCTGCCGGCATTCCTCGTTCCCCGCTTTCGCTTCCGTCCGCCGTGAAGACCCCACGTCCCAAGCACGCAACAAGGCCATGTCCACGTTATCGCTCCCCGTCACCTGTCCGACCGGAAACGCATTTCCAGTGTCTCGAAGTTCGCCTTTCGCCCTTCGCCACCATCTAGATACGCCCGGAACAGCATCTTGAACTTCCATCCTCGAGTGTGAAAAGACCGAACGGACCGTGTAGCACTCTCTGATTTAGCCGCCCTTATAAAACCCTCTGTGAGTATGGGAGTATCCCCTCCACTGATCATGCAGTTGGGCTACCGCCGTCCCGATGACATCGAATCCCCGAGCATGAAGCCAGCATGAACGCGATGCACTAGCGGCACAGCAACCCACAACGCCAGTTACGGATGACCCGGCCCAGCTGCAGCTCCATCTAGCTTAGTCGCCAGCCCCAGTTCCCTCCGAACCGCCTTAGTGATCACCTCGCCCGCCCGCCCGCCCTCCCGGCGTTCCCCGTTTGAAGAAGATGCGGATAGCGTTTAAGACGGGCAGCTGTGAGTAGGATTGAATGGTTGTATGTGGAGACGCCCAACCTGTCTGCAATAATATCACTGACAACTCCATGGCAGATCGAGGCAATGTCGGCTTGGTAGTTATAGCCTTTGTATCTAGAGTCTAGACAGCACGCCGACCCTTTCGGATATCGACAATGAGACGCCTTGCCAGGTCATATCGGAATTACGACCTCGCCCAGCGACGAATCGGTATAATCGAACGACGTACGACAGGAATACAGCACGAGAAATGGGCATGGCCGATTGAAGATGATGCATGAACTCTTGAAGAGTAACATGCTCGAGCCTTGAGCTCGGAGTCACGGAGCGGAAGGGTTCAGGGTCAGATGGGCGGGTGGCATGAGCAGGCGGGCCCAAGGGAGACGCAAAGCTGGAGCTCTGGCAGAGGAAAACCAGCAGCGTCTGTGCTTTCATCGATACATGTTATCTTATCAGCATCAAATCAACCCCGCTATCTCCCTTATCATCTCATCTTAGTCATTAGTGGCCTGTCGTCATTCCGATCTTGTACCCCTCGTGCCCCTCCACTGCCAATGGAATGAACAATCCCTCCGTGCCGTGTTCAGCTCCTGCCACGGAACCCCGCCCCGGGCGTTTGCTTTGCTTGACTTGAACTTTGTCCCCGAACACCGCCCACTTCAACCAATCACTCTCTCTCTTGGCTGCCACCACCGCCCGGAACCACCCAATCGCACATTTGCTGGCTTCCGTCTCTGGATCCCATCTGCGGACTACCATCTGATATCGGACTGCGCCGGCCGGCCTCTCGTCGTCGCCATGTCATTCGTCACCGTCGCGGCGGCGACCCTGCCCAGTGTCCCGTTGGACTTCAAGGGAAATCGCGACCGGATCCTAGAGTCCATTCGCATCGCCAAGGCTCAGGGGGCTACACTCAGAACCGGCCCAGAGTTGGAGATTCCCGGCTATGGCTGCCTTGATCACCACCTTGAAGGTACTTACAACCAAACCTTGGCGAGCCTTCCGAGGATTCATGGATGAGAGCTAACAACTCCCCAGGCGATACCTTCCTCCACAGCTGGGAAGTTCTCGCTGAAATCATCAGCGATCCTATCTGTAAGGATATGCTGATTGATCTTGGCATGGGAGCCCGCCATCGCAACGTCCGTTACAACTGCCGCGTTCTCTGCACCTACAAACACATCTACCTCATCAGGCCAAAGGTACGTGCCCCATCTCCCCTTTCGGAACCACTTGAACTCACATCCACAAGCAAAGTCTAGCCAACGATGGCCTCTACCGTGAAGCACGGCACTTCACGGCATGGACGAAGCTCCGAGAGGTCGAGACCTACTACCTAGAGGCCGTGGCCGCTGAGGTCACCGGCCAAAAGTCGGTTCCTATTGGTGACTTGATTCTCAGCACTCTTGACACCGCCGTGAGTTGTGAGACTTGCGAAGAGATGTTCTCGCCCCTGAACCCTTCAACGTTTCTCGGCCTCAACGGCGCCGAGATCATCCTCAATAGCAGTGCCAGCCATGCTGAGCTGCGAAAGCTCAAGACACGGCTCGATCTCATCTCGAATTCGACGCGGAAGTTGGGCGGTATCTACGTATATGCTAACGCAACTGGCGTCGATGGCGAGGCGCGCATGCTGGTATGGCCACCAAACTCCAGTAAATGTGTTCTGGCAGCTAATCTGAAATCAAGTTCGATGGATCTAGCATGGTGCTCGCCAATGGCAAGGTCCTCGCACAGTCATCCCAATTCTCCCTGAAGCCCGTCGAAGTCATCACCGCCACTGTCTCCGTGGAAGAGGTCAGAAGCTACCGCTCGAGCATCTCTCGAAACGTGCAGGCTGCTGCCCAACCTGACTTCCCTAGAGTCGAATGTGACTTGAGACTTACGAGACCCGCCGACGAAGTATACCTATCAGATCACCTCCAAATCGCAAAGGAGATCGAGCTTAAGATCCTCGACCCCATGGAAGAAATTGCCTTGGCGCAAGCGGTCTTCCTCTGGCAGTACCTCTGCCGCACAAACTCCCCTGGCTATTTCCTTGCCCTGAGTGGAGGTCTGGACTCATCGACGGTTGCGCTCTTCGTCTACAGCATGGCTAAGCTTGTGCTCCAGTCCATTGACGCTGGAGAGATGTCGACCCTGGAGGATTTGAGACGCATCACTGGTGACAAGACTTTCATGCCTGAAACACCGCAGGAGGTTGTGTCGCGCTTGCTGCACTCGTGCTACATGGCAACTGTCAATTCTGGAGATGATACTCGGACAAGAGCCCGTCGCCTCGCAGAGGTACTCGGAGCTTACCACTCTGACATCTCAATCGATGAAGCGGTTCAAGCTCATGAGGCCATCATCGAGAAGACGCTCAACTTTAAACCCCGGTATGGTGTTGAAGGTGGCACTCCTGCCGAGAACGTGAGTGGTCTCCCCAATTGTCCCAAAAACGGAACTGAAAATCGTACGAGGTTCTGACTCTTCATCCAGCTGGCCCGTCAAAACATCCAGGCAAGAAACCGTCTTGTTGTCCAGTATGAGCTGGCACAGCTGTCCACGACCGCAAGACAACTTCCAAGAGCCGGCGCAGCGCTTCTCGTGTTGGGCAGTGGCAATGTCGATGAGAACTTGCGTGGCTACTATACCAAATAGTAAGTAATGAACCATCATGGCTATGCCAACATCACATAGAGCTCACCAATATTAGCGACGCATCGTCTGCAGATATCGCTCCGCTAGGAAGCATCTCCAAGACGGACGCCAAGAACTTCCAAGCTTGGGCCAGGGATCAGTGGGACTTGCCCATCATGTCCGAGTTCCTCGAGGCGACGCCATCAGCGGAGCTTCTTCCTCTATCTGCCGGAGTCCAGGATGATGAAGCGGACACCGAAATGGGCCTGACATACAGGTAAGTCTACAAGACACTCCTAGCCACGACGCAAGCACTGACCAATTTTGCAGCGAACTCTCCGAATTCGGTATCCTGAGAAAGGTACACAAGCTGGGCCCGTGGTCTATGTACCTCCGACTCCTCGGAGACTGGAAAGAGAGGCCGGGCTACGGCCCCCGCGAAATCGGCGAGCGCGTCAAGAGGTTCTTCCGCTTCTACTCGATGAACCGCCACAAGGCCGTCATCCTCACGCCCTCGCCGCATCTCTCGGCGTATAACCCCGACGACAACCGCCACGACCTCCGTCCGTTCTTGTACGTCGTCAACTGGCCGTGGCAGTTCTCCAAGATTGATGCGCATGTGGAGGAGCTTGAGAAGAAGATCGCGGACAGGGCGAGGCCGGCGGATGTCCAGTTTGACGCGCTCGATTAGGAGACGAGACGCGAGTTGCTGGATGAAGCTCATAGACGGATGGCGAGCTGAGGAATGAGATGATGCGGGTAGGCTTGATGAACGCTCCAAGGTTTCAAGGTTCCAAGGAGAGAGCGAACTTTCGGCTCCCGCCTCCCGCTACCTTGACAACCCAAAGCCGGCCTACTCGGGATTTCTGGACTGGAAGGAGCATCTAAAGCCCTTTTGTATCTAGATACTTCCTCCTCATAATACTACACGAAGACTTTTCACCCCTTTCTTTCATCCCCCTCTTATACGCCAGGGTACGTCCTCTGGCCAAGGTACGCTGCCCATCATGACAGATAAGGACACGAATGACACGGCTCGCCGTCGCGAGCAAATCCGATTCCTTCACGAGTACTTTCAGCTTACATTCGTCTTGGTCGTCCAGACGGATATGGAGCAGTGGGTCGAGCAAGCATGTATCTTCCCCGATTTCCTTCTCCTGAACATCTCGAAGTTTCTCAACTACGATACCCGCCAAGTTCCCGGTACTATTGCCGAGTTTACACAGCTTCTTGCCCCGATCTTCAATACAGATGTCACCTCTTGCGTGACCGCTGGCATGCAGTCTTTTGATGATTCTTTTGGACTTCCTTGCGCAGATGACTTCATCGCCCAGAAAACAATGGGCGACTGGTTCCGGGCGATCATTTGGGGTCTCTACCGGCTGGTACTACTTGAATCTTCACCTGTTTCCTGTGTACCTTATTCTTAAACGTATAAACTGATGCTAGATACAGAACGAGATGCGAGAAACCACCCATGCCGACGGAGCAGACGAAGACAATATGAATGCAACTACTTTCAACATTCAGCAAATTCACCTACGTGGTAGAACGATTCTAGAGGCATGGGCCTCTGAACCTAAGACCCGGCAGTTGAGCTGCATTAGCAGAGGCCGAGAATTACAACCTGATCCCGAAAGCCTGCATGTTTCACCTTCTTGGACGCCGGCCACCACTCCTGGGAACAACTTTGTGTACCATGGAAGCGCCGGCCACTATACTGATACTGTATGGCGCGAGAGCTTTGCGAATGCGCCTTTCTATTCTATGGCTGCTCTTGATAGAACCAATCAGATGTCGCCTCCACCTCCCGTCAATGTCGTGTCCACAACTTTCAGTCCTTTACGAGGGTATCTCTGGGCAGCATTTAATCGTTGCCTGCTAAGCATGATTTCTGCTCGGAATATCCTCCCAAAAATGCAGACAAACTGGACTGTGGGTGGTGCAGAGTACTCAGGCGTAGTCTTGTTCCAGTTCAACACGACGCAGCCCGCACAATCTGGCCTTACTCACTACATAATCGAAGAAGGCAAAGAAGAATCCCGAGGCGCCCGGTCACTCAGGGACACCACTTGGGCTCCTGAGGAAGTCTCTTGGGGACGCTTTCGTGATCTTCACGGCCAGGAGGGTAGCGTGTGGCCCGATGTCATTCACGGTTTGGAGTACGGGGGACAGCTTCGCCAACTCACTCATCCCAGGACCAATAGGTGGCGTACCACTTGGAAATAGGGGAGAGCGGTCACGTACCTGAACTCAAGGCACCAAGCTACCTTTGCCATATCTTTTGACTTACAGAATTCATCCAGTCTCCCGTCATCAGTTACCCAGCAAAGTAAGTCCAGGGATGATGATAATGATGACGGCAAGCGAGAGGGCAAGATGAAGAGACTCTGGAGGGGTTTGAAGATGGTGTAACAAGAAGCTAAGAGGTGCAACTTGTTCCAAAAGTCTAAACCCTCGTCAAAGAAGTCTCAAAAGAAGTCGTTGGTATCATTCATCCTCAATCCAGCCATTTAGCGTTCCTGTCATAGTCCGCATCTCGTGCTCATACAATCCACAGAAGGTCAAGGGACATTTGATTTGAGGATGAGCGATTCGACGTGGAGACTTCACAATGTCTTAAGCGGTAATTACTCAGGATCTTCACAGAGACCACATGTGAGAGGTTATCACGAAGGTCTGACCTGGCTAGCTATATTATCGTTAATGCGGGACTGAAGATTGCCACGGCTGGCTCCTTAGCCCACTGATGCTCCAATGCCTCACGCCCGAGAGCTGTGTGTGAGAAGTAGCCACCATACGTAACGAGTTAAATCCGTGGAAGGCTCAGCCTGCTTCATCAAGGCGCTAGTAGCCACATCACGCAGCCAGAGCCTGCTCCCACGCGAGCAGAATATGACAGGGCAGGTAAGCCCAACTTCTCACTTTCTGACCTGCTTCGTTTCTTGCTCTTATCATTCTTCCCGACCGCTTGCCTAGGCATCTTCTCCAACGCATGCGCTCCGTGCCATCGATTTTGGTGGCTTTATTTCCAACAAGGACTTGAGCTTCAGCAATGGCAGACACAGAGCCATTTCAACTCGTGTAAATAGTACAGCTCAACATGATCCTTGCGGTTAAGTTCATCGGTGTCAGCGTGAGCCAGGTGTATGCCCAACCTGCTGTTCATCTCCACCATTTGTACCGTCGCCGACCCACGGTTGGGACATGACAAATTACATGCATGATTGCCGACAGCCCTGAGGTTGATGACAAGCCCCTCCAAGCTTCTAGGATCGTTGAATGATTGGCTCCAGAACGCGGTTCTTCTCAATTGGAAGTGATTGACACCCACTTGGCAACCACAACGTCAAAAGGACAGTGCATGACGGGTTACGCACCTAGGCCTTTACTGATAAGATTATTGTATCGTGCCAGACTTACGGGCCAGGTCAAACTCCGATATCACCTTTGGCGGCCATGCCCCGCTGGCGAGGGCCATCCTCTGGTAGTCGGCCCGCTTATTGGTATCTCTATCCTCATGAACAGGCTCCCTCCTCTAAGACTTTTCCACACAACCGTGGACCTCCTCGAATTAGAAGAGCAACCTATCAAGTTACTCAGGCTTAGAAAATGACCCCCACACATGTGTAGCCCCGAGGAGGGTAAGTAGGACTTTCCTATTTTTGGTTGGCCTGCGCCCTGCAGTGGTGCCGGGTAGCCTCAAGAAGAGCAGGCTATGGTAGCAACAGAAAAGATGCGCTGCTCACTGAATACTTAATCTAGCCTTCCCCGCGTGTTACTACACTTGCCAGTTCTCAATATATTCAACTAGCAAACCACATACTATTTACTCTTGCAAATTCAATTTATAGAGTAGACTCGTTTGATTGTCCATACAACTTCACCATGGCAACGTATCTGACATTACCTGACGATCCCCCGTCAGAATCGGCCCATTCTGTCACGAATCAGCATATAGAGTAGCTCATGGAAATCGGGATCTCAACTGTGGTCTAATCAACAATGGAAAAGGGGAAAAGGGAAGCCCTCGAGAGAGCCCCTTTTGTATGCCCATACCCCTGTCTACTCCTTATCTCTATCCCTGAGATATCCACTGCTATACCTCTTTCGTGACACATTCCAAGCCACCCTCAAATGAGCATCAGGTTTCGCTCTTGCGCCCCGAATATCAAGAGAGCCAAAAGTCGTCAAAGATAGCACAGACTCGCACTGCGACCATATTCCGTGGACTCGTCTATGAACTCATTTCTCTCTTCGTCGCAGCCGCTTCTCTCCTTGGCTTGCTAGTTCTGCTAAAGGCGTACGACAACAAACCAGAGCCAAAGTGGTTGCTTGTGCCATGGGCCCAATGCATTACTCTCAACACCATGGTTTCAATAGTTTCCACTGTCTTCCGGAGTTGCATCTTGTTTCCGGTGGCAACCTGCATCAGCCAGTTTGGCTGTGTCGGATTGGAAGCCCAATTCGACCGTGAGTAAGGGTAGGAGCAGGGGCCACCTCGAGAGGGTACAATTACACCTCGACGGTCCACCCAACCTCCGGTTGAAATCTCCCTTCTACTCCTTACGCAGAATCAACCAATACAGAGATATTGATACTTCGTCACCCCCAGGACCCTACGGTTCGAACCAATACCCTGTGATAGGGATACCAACAGTTATCGTCGACATGCTACCTATGGCCGGAAGCCAAGGGTCGCTGGGCTTATTCAATATGGTGGAAGTCTTAATCTCCTGTACTCCGGATCGGTATATGAACTCGGTGTGGTATGAGGCGCTGAATAAGGTGCATTTTGTGAACGAATCGAAAATAGAGTTGGAGTCGTCCTCTTTTTTGATAACGTATAAGGAGATCGGGGTATCCCGAGGCCCAGAAACTGTGTCCTTGGTGGAACCTTTTGTTTCTGGCAAAAATGGTAGATCTGTGGTTGAATCCGGTATATAGGATATGTAACTACCGATAATAGTAACTAGAAGAATTATAACGTTTAGTTGCTGATTTGGTAATATTGATGCGTAACTCGTCGTCTGTACCTAAAGTAAAGTACTGAAGGGCTGGACCTTCGAAATCTAGACTCTAACTGGCGTTGCTGTAGATAGAAGCTATCGGTATGATCGTGCCTGATATAAGCGAGCTTAGTGCTGCTTTCTTAACTGTATTACTCGGCCCCGAGTAGGTTGTGGTATGTGTACTATCTGTGAATTGTGCAAAAGTCCTACTGGTGAAGTTGATGCTGGGGACCGGGCTATGTATTACGCTCCTGGCTATAGCTGCCTTGATGGTTAGCGTCGCTGGAGTGAGAAGAGTAGTAAACGGGAGAAGCCTAGATATCTATTTAGGAAAAGTTTTTGTACGGAAACACTTCTTAAGTCGATTACTTACCAGAAGAGAGCGATAAGAACATGGAAAGTGGGTACCGCAGCCAAAGCCTGGTTGTTACGGGCTGGACCCGATTAATGGATCCGGGCCAGCGCCCGGATATCCTGCCACGATTGACCGCGCGGGCTCCATTACGCCTACGCTCCACCTCCGCGGAAGCTCCGCTTGTAAATCTCTTCTCGTCAGCTTAGATTCTATATACAGAAATCATCCCTACGTGGCCACACGAGGGCTGGGCTCTTAACACTGGCATCTAAAATGTTCAGAGCATTAGACTTAGAAGACAACAATCCGTCAATTGAGCGAAGCTTTGAAGGACGGGCCTTGAGAACACTCCACACATGTTGCTCTTGCGCCGTTGATATGGCCATGCTGAGGAGGATCTTGGACATCGAAGCCAACAGCGTCCCTAGGGCAACGTTGAACTGCTGGCTGGTGACGCCGCCCACCGCGCTGAAGTCGGGGTAGATCTCTGATGAGGGCGGCGTTCCGGCGAGGCTCCCGTAGAAACGGTCATGACCGACTGCAAAGCCGACCCCGCCCAACATACTGAGGCACATCGCGAGGGGAGCCTTCCAAGCATATAGTTGTTGGCTTTTTGACTCCCCTTCCTTCTCCGAGGTTGACATGGCGGCTGACTTGTGACGCCGGTATGCGGGATCTATCAGGTTGTACTCGAGGGTGATGTGAGCATGAAATGCCCCAGTGCGGCGTGAAGAGAAGACAGCGAGGTCTTTTTATCCGCTTAGGTCGACACGGGGCTGAGGCGGCGAAGGTGCGCTGGGCTCCTGTACATGCGCGTATGCGGATAGTAACAACAAGACCTTGTTGGGTACACTTCGCTATCGAGGAAGACGTCCGTCCGTACATAAAGGTATGAACTATCTAGGTGAGAAGCATAGCCACGTAAGTAGGACTCCATCCGCATTATACTTGTATGTCTTATACATAGGGTAGTTGTACCCATAGTTCTAAAGCTCTGATTCTTCTAGTTCGTGCTATCCTTTAACGATTTCCTGTTAAAAATATAAGCGGATTAATTATGTCTTCCTGTTTAAAAGTTATTTCAAGCGCCCTTCTGTAGCTTTACTTACGGCTGCTTGAGAATAGAAATTGGTCAGGGTATTCTGTACCTCTACGGCATAGTATTGCACTAACGGGGGAGAGCATATGCAGAGCGGTTGGAAGGGGCTGGGAGCAGCATAGGTATCGTGCAGGTAGGTAAGTCGGAAAAAAACAGAAACGACGTTGTTTTTAAGAAAAAGGGGATCTTATCGACAATAGGGTAGGCGTGAGAGAAAGAGAGAGGCGATGAAGAGCAAGGGCTGAAAAGAGGGGTTGGGCGGCGGCGAGGTGTAGAGCGAGGGCGGAGTTGCGATTTTCTTCTTGTAGAAAAAGGACTGGCAAACGGGCGGCGCTATACGCCTTTCTAACCGGCTAATCGAAATGCTTAACTGGTTAGTTGGCAGGGGATCCCGAGTTTCTTAATTGGTATGCCGTATGTGCTGGCTGAGGGCATTCCCCCTCCAGATGTTGGGATGTTTAGCCCTTTTCCATATTTCCACATTGCATCAGACTTTACCGAATCGAGGCTATACTAAGTAGGTATATGATTCGAAATGAAAATCTAACTTTGAACTGCCATTAGCTATGACTTACGTGTGATAGTTATTAGAACCCGGCGGTATACAGCTACTACGTCCGTATACCGTAGTCAGTCCACAAAAATACCAAAAAATGGATCGTGAACGCCAAAAACATACAACACCAGGTATTCGCTGGTCGTCACCGACCCAACTACTAATCCGGCCCTCATTGGCTTGTCTATGGGAGAGCGGACGGGATCCCGAATTTTCCAATGGGTATGGTCGTATGTGGTGGTTGAGGGCATTCCCAGCGTAGATCCTGGTAGTGCCAGGGAGATCCCCATGGTTTTGTTTGTACTGTAAAAAACGAGTTTCCAAGCAGATTAACAATAAAAATGAACCATGGATTCTATGTTACACTCAACTTTGCAAAAGCTCTGGCAAGGAAATCAGCAACCAGACCCGCATTACGGCCTCCCTTCAACATCGTGAAATGATTCGCCCCGGAGATACGATCAACAAAGGTATTCTCTTCGCCCCCAAGTAAAGCCTCCCACTCATTCGGTCCAAAACTGGTCCTATTCTCCAAAAGCCATCTCATCTCGCGAGGGTCGTCTTCACTGTAATCTGGACGAGGATCCTCAGGATTCTTGCAGACACTGTCCTCGGCCCACAGGAGATAGGCTCGCGGCGGCAGAGGCAACGGACCCTCTAAGCCCTTCCCGACTTCGAAAGTCCTGAGAGCGATCTCCCAAGGCACAGAGACGTACTTATCGAGCGCTTCCACAAACGCCAAAAAGTGCGCTAGAAGCCACTCGGGCGCCTTACTACCTCCTCCCGCTGCGCCATGGGGATTCTCCGAGCCAAAAACGTTTTGGGCGTCGAGAAAGTCGTACAACCTGGGAGGGAGCTTCTCCAGTCCGATTGGGCTAGGCGAGTCGATCAAGATAAGCCGATCAACGCGATGGCCGGCTCTAGTGAGCATTAGGGCTACTTCATAAACACAGATGCCGCCGGCGGACCATCCTCCGAGATCATACGGTGTCAAGTTGGGGTGCTGACACAGGGTGGAAGCTCTCAGAGGCCAACTGCAGTTAGGGGTAGAATGATGAATTACTGAAATCTGCTCCTCCCTCGACGTGTACTCCCTGCGCTGTATATATATCTGAGCTGCTCCTTTGTTGCTTGGACTCCTTACTACTTCTAACTAGCCCCTATCCGGGAGGGCTCTGACATACGGCCCCTGCGGCTGCCGTCTCAGGATCTCAGACACGTATAGCTCGGCTAGGCCGCGGAGACCGAATTCGACGAGGTGTTTTGCGTCTTTGAGCCAGGGACAATTGAGGCCGTAGACGGCAATGTCGCCATCTGGAGAAATGGGTAGTAGCGAAGCATATGATGTGGCGGAGCCGGAGCCGTCGGGTAGCAGGAACAGGATTGATCGCGCTCGTTTCGGGCTGCCTTGGAGAAGCGTTGGTGTGGCTCGAAACTGGTGAAGTAGACTAGGAGCACGAGGTACGCTTTTCATGTCTTCGTCCACGTCCTTATCAATCTCGCTTTGTTCACCGTCGCTGGGAAGGGTGGTAGATGTATCTGGCTCGCTTTCGGTTGGAGGACTGCCGGCCCCGCTGTCACCGCTACTGATGCTCGTCTCGCTGGCAGTAAAGCCCAAAAAGGTCTTGAGTTGACCGAGCGTCGGGCACGTTATGAAGGCTGAGGAGTCCACATCGATGCCCAGGTCCTCGCGCATGCGGCCTGTGAGAGTGAGGGATAGCAAAGAGTCGACGCGCCGTGGTCTACGAAGTCGAGGTCGTCTTCGTTAAAGTCGCAGAGGGAAAGTCCGATTTCCTCTGACAGGATGCGAAGAAGGGGCCTCAGTTGGGAAGATGTATCATCTGCTGCTTGTGGTGGCGGCAGGGATATGGCATCGACCGCAGGACGAGATGGAACAGGTATGCCTCCTGGTGCTTCCGAAGAAGAGCGAGGCATCAGAGACGGCTGTGGTCTTTCTAGATGTCCTCGAAGTGCTTGATGAGGTGCGGCTCCAGGCGGAGGCAATACGGTGTTGAGAACACGCCGTAGAAGACCTTGGAACTGTGGGAGAAGGCCGTCAGGATAAACATCAACTAAAGGCTGTGGTCATAGGAAAGAAAACTTGCGTGATATCGCCGTACACACCGATGATGGTGCTGTTTTCATATAAGATCTACAAATCGCCTGCAAATTTGGTGCCATCGATAGGCCTCATGTGAATGTAGGTCGGGTAGGTGGTGTCCTCTTGAAAGTCTCTGACCAACTTCATAGACTTCCTTCCATCCATGGTTCATATAGACTTAATCACGCGGTGTGGTCTGGTGGCAGTTCATGAGAAATCCAATCGTCTGGCCGCAACTGGCAATCCACATTGGGTTGCAGTAGAAGCCTCCACGAGAGCCGCGAAATCGGACCTTGGCTGTGCCCTCGAGCTCTTCACTGTGCAAAACGACTTCTCGTAGTCCTTTGAAGCCATCTTGTTGATAGTCGACTAGCGAGGAAAAGACCTTGTAGATCATACCCGTTGCAAACGTGCTGTCAAGTCCCTGGGTTGCTCGGTTCTCGAGATACTCGATACTGCGTTTGATCAAATAGGCCTGACGATCCCACTCCGCTCCCCAATCTTTAGGATTATCCAAACGCAACTCGCAATCGACATGCTTTGTACCGGGCCCGTCTTGATGAGAGCCACCGCTTCGAATTGTCATAGACGCCGTCATGGTTTCAACTCGATAGTTCACCTCGATGCAGAAAGGCGTGGGGAGCGATGCACCGCTTGCATCTTCTTTTAGGATAAGGGGCTTGTAAACTTGCATGTGAAGAACGTTGACTGCGTAGCCCACCAAGTCTGAACGGTGCCTGCTGAGGATATAATTACCCAGGGTAAGGCCAACGTCGCCATACAGAAACGAAGTACAGAATTTGACACCGTTAACGAGATGGCCGTGGGCGATCTCAGCCAGCAATGGACTGGCGAGATCTGACTCGGCTAGAAGCGTCAAGGCTTGGCCACAAAGAGTCTCCCGCACAACCTTTTGAACAGAAGGTGTTGAAAGGGAGGAGGTTGGGGACGCCGTAACTGGGCTCTGCGTTGTGGTCGGGGCGTCACCCTTTGTGAGCGACCAATCCTGAACATATTGAATTCAGTAGTTCTTGTGGTCGCGGCTGTAGGAAGGAAGCCGCAGGACTTGGTGGCATGCCACGAAGTCTCGGTGGTATTCGTTCCAGTTAACAGCTATCCCGGCGTTGTATAAGTTGCTAAGGCCCTCAGAAAGCACTCCCCAGGGGTCTTCTGTACGGCGGAGAGAGGGGATGGCCAGAGTGTTCTGTCCCAGGTGACTACGTGGGTCTTGGAGTCGATAACATCGTCGGCGCCAAGATCGTCGGCGCCAAGATCGTCACAGCCACTGGTGACCTGGTTGAGGCCAGCGGAGACGTGCCCTGGGCCCTGAGAAGGGCCGGCGGAAATCTTGGCATTATCGCCGACACCAAGGTCCAAGTCTACCCGATGACGAAAATCCAGGCCGGTTTCATGGTCTATCCATGGGAAGAGACATCTAAGGTCCTCAAGGGCCTGCAAGACCTATTGGATGCCGGTGTGTCCGACAAGCTTTGCATACAAGCGGGATTCAGCAAGGGAGATTGGAGTCTCGGCATGGCCCTGACCTACATCTGGCCTAAAGCCGAGACCACAGGAACCGAAGGCCAAGAGTGGCTGCAGAAGCTGAAAGATCTTGGCACTATGATTTTCGATACGATCCACGAGAGTGAGTTCTTATGAGGCTCTTTACCTGACCGAAACCCAGCGCTAATCCAAGCTAGCAACATACAAGGACTTCCAAGCTTCTGTATCTGACCAGATCAGTGAGCCGGTATATGTGTCGACGCGACATGTGAGCATTGAGAAGTTCACGGAGAAGACCTTGGCACAGTTAACCAGTGTTTGTGAGGCGATGCCAGACGAGGCGTCATGCACGATCAGCGTCAATATCTTGCACGGCAAGGCCACTAAACCAAAAGCCTCCTCATCTTTCGGGACTCGCAAGCCACTCATCATGTTTCACATCAACGCTGTCACTGATGAGGACTCAACCGAGAAGATTGGCGTTGAATAGGCTGATAGTGTTGTTAATGCTATCAATAGTACGGGCGAGAGCATTGGCCCTACCTATGTCAGCTTCATGGAGTCGACTGACTGCGCCGAGGCTTTTTGTGGCAGCAATCGGACACGACTAAGGGATGTTAAAACGAGCGTCGGCCCTCAAGATGCTTTCAGATATTCACATGGTCGGATCCCGATTCAGTGAGAGAAAGTTTAGACTTGCTCGACGGAAATTCCGTAATGTTGCCGTATAAGAGAGATAGTGTAGTAATTGGTACAGAGACTTCAAGCCGTCATGCTTTGGTGCAGATAACGTGTCAAATATCTTTGCAATTAGTATTGTTCGTGTGAAGAATGGCCATTGTTACAGCTTTCATTCTTTTATTCTCTTAGTAATTAACTAGAATGTGTTAATTCAGTCAAAAAACTGGAGTGATAATGTTCGTTATCTCACCTGATTCAACGTGCAAAGTACAAGTGTGCCGGCTGAGAGAAGAATGCGGAACACGTCATCGTCGAGCACTCCACAGCGTGGGAAATATGAATTCACAGGATCAACTTGTGTACAGAACAAATTACTTTAAATTTGTTTTATATCTTCTTCCTACCTACTTCTATACTAGTAGTCTATACATATCATTACCGCTGGCTGTCTTGTTTGTAATAACTACAGCTTCCTCTCCGAGGAGGCCCAAATTATCCCATGCCTGAGCCCCGTATTCAGTCGAGTTAACACTAGGGCCTACTAGCCGTCGTCATATGTTCTATGTATAGCCTCACGAATCTTTGTGCAGGGGTACTGATTTAGCCCGTAGCGGACTGCTCTAATGTACAAATTCCTTTCCCTTAACATTCTTCCATTCAACTCCCAATGAAGGGAGTATTGCGAAGCAAGCAGCTGCAAGTCCCACGTAGAAGTATCTCCGTAGCGCCGCGTTATATTCGACCAAGACATTTCCAAGAATATCAGGAGTAAGGAAGTTGCGCAGCTGAGTAGCACCAGCACCAATCACCCGATCGACATCGAGACCCGAGAAGTTGCCAAGTCTTGATCTCAGCTCGTTGTTGAAGACGGCTTGGGCAACGCAGACCAGGACAGAGCCCCCGAGGGACTGGGCAAACAACATGAGCGACACGCCGATGGGAACATCCCTCTGCGCGAGGGCTACTTGAGCTCCTAGGCTAGCTAGTTGCATGCCTTGACCGATGCCCAGTCCAAGAATAATCTGGTATCCAATCCAGGTGCGTGTTGGGGTATCCCCGACAAAGGTGGAGATGAGACCGCCGCCGACGGCCATGAAGATGACTATTGGTATTCCTTTCACAGGGAATTTGGTTCGAACCGTAGGGTCCTGGGGGTGACGAAGTATCAATATCTCTGTATTGATTGATTATGCGTAAGGAGTAGAAGGGAGATTCCAACCGGAGGTTGGGTGGGTAGTCGAGGTCTAAGTGTACCCCCTCGAGGTGGCCCATGCTCTGCTCCTACTCGCGGTCGAATTGGACTTCCAATCCGACAATGACAGATGAGAAAAAGACTGGGTTGAACCAGCCAATGCCGTTGATGACGCCTCCTGATACGATGGCGCCAAAGACGAGAGACAGAACGAGGGGAAGTGTGTCGATGCCAGAAGTGACGGCATCTGTGCCGCGAATGCCCTGGAACCAGATCGGCAAGGCAACCAGGAAAATGATGAGCACCGCTCCAAGACAGAATGCAAAGATGGTGCCGAGCCAGACATTCCGCAGCTTGAACAGGCGAGGGGGGTACGGTGGCGTTCTCCTGCTGCCAGACTTGAATGGCAACAAAGATGATGAGAAGCACACAGGCAAGGACCAGGAGGGCGATGATTCGACCCTCGTTCCATGGGTACTTTTCTCCGCCCCATTGCAGCGCCAAAATCAAGCATATGACGCCAGGAAGGAAGACAAGATTACCAAAAGGGTCAAGTTGCTTGATCTGCTGCTTGATCGGGGTAGGCTCCTTTGCGGCGAAGCTCGGGAAGAGGAAAAGCAGAGCGGCTACGGCCGCTGCTCCCACAGGAAGACTATAGAAATACAGCGTTAGCGATGTTTGATCTTGCTGTGCATGCAGAAAGGAATGCAGTCATAGGGTTGCTTACTTGATGTAAAAGCACCATCTCCAGGTGACGCGATCGGTGAACGCTCCTCCGATAAGTGGTGCAATCACTGAGGCAATTCCAAAGACGGCACCCATCATGCTGACATAACCCGCGCGCTTGGATAGAGACGTGACGGTCGTGATGAGAATGGTCGAGCCCGAGTATATGCCCGCCGATCCCGCTCCGGCGATGGCCCGGCCGATGATGAAGGCCACGGAGTTGGGCGCGACGCCACACAGAAGAGAGCCGAGCTCAAAGAAGAATATGGCGACGAGGTACACGACTTTTGTCGAGTAAAAGGTGAAGATGCGACCCCATAGTAGTTGTGTGGCCGAGCTTGTGATGAGATAGGCGCTGGCGTACCAGCTGATATCGCCGAGCGACTTGAAGTCGTCTGTGGTTCGGGGAATCGCCGTTGTGATGATTGTGCGGTCTAGTGCGACGAGGAACATGGCAATCATGTTTGAAAGGATGATGACGGCGAGCTTCAGCCCGTGGGGGTACTGCGACTCATCCTCGGCCTCTTGCTTTGCTGATTCGGATGAAGGATTCTCGGTCGGGGTGGCCGTGGCTGCCCGATCGGTTGTTTCCACCTTTTCGTAATCCTCCGACATTTTTTTTGGACCTGGGAAAGTGAAGATATGTGTGATAGTATTACTAATTTGGCTGTGTTCTGGCAAAGCAGAGAATGACTTGGAAAAGAATGAGACATGTTGTCGTAAAGCCGTCAGAGCACTCCATCTTTAAAGGCAATCTCATCTTGCTGAGAAGGCGCAAATTGGGTCCCAACATGCCTTGAACTCGAGATACCGCTACGGAGCGGCACTCGGTGTCGGGGTGCCAGCATCTTTGGGGATCCATCACGGGTTGAAAAGACAAAAACGCGGTCCCGCCATCGGCCCTTAGAAAGACTTGATCTGCCATCCGAGACAGGCACATGGGATTCAGGCAACGATCGCCCTTTAGTTCCCGCCCGCTTAGCTTGCCAGGCACGTCAGGAACATGGGCGAATATGAAAGAAGTTGGTGTGTAGGTAGGTGACTTGTATGCGAGTTCAACCCCGTGGTGAGGTCGGGCACTTAGTCACCTCAGCTCGGGACCGAATGGCTCTAGGACCCCGGTCAGCAGCCTTGAGAGCGGTCCCGCGCGGAGGTTTGTTGGTTTATTGCCAGTGTTCAAGCCAGTCGTATGATCCTCACAAACGGCCGCTTCTGGATCTCCTGGATGTCAGCTAACCGGTTCTAGCCAGCTTATGCCCATTCCTACTGTCACTTTATTGTTGCGGCACACATGTAGGGCACGTAGCTAATGCATGTTCCCTGCAGCTGATAACTGAGTCTCATCTACGCGGCTATTTACTTGATGGCATGAACATACCCTCTGCATTCCACCCTCTCTCTTCTATCTAAGGTAAATCAAAGAAACTTTTTCATGCCGATAATTTTGCTCGGGACCGTCCAACAGCGAGTTGAGCTACCCAGGAAGATCGACCAAGCCAAGTCTACATCTCGTTCGCGGTTTGCTTGGAACTTGAATATATGGCTGAACGCAAGATCACCAGAGGGCACTCATGTGGTCCATGCCAACACCGCAAAATAAGGTGCAACGGCCAGTCACCTTGCGCGTATTACTGTATCAAGACAGGAAAAGACTGCGTCCGACTTCCACGCTCTGTTCACACTGCCAATAACCATACCAGTCGCACTGCCCAAGCGCGGCTCCTGTCACAAAATGGTTCACCCACCGCCAAAGGCCAGGTCGTTGTCAGTGGTGACCAGCGCCGATATGTAGAAGAGTAGGCGCCCTGTCCACCAGAGAGCAGTGTCGTGATATAAGCCCAGCAGCTGACGCCGCTTGAAAAACCAGCAACAAGTTATGGTCAAGTCTGGGAAACGAAGTGAGTTCAAAAATTTTCGATATATCTCGGATTTAGAATGAGGTCATCTAATTCTAGACAGATGGGCAAGAAGGACCCAAGTCCTACCCCAACCAAGCAGCACACCAATGCCATCCAGAGTCGAGCTGCCATCGACACATATCAACCTGATATTTGGGCACAAACTGGATTCTCCATTCATGCTGAATCCCTCGGCTATTCAGTCATTTCGGCTTTGGCAGGTGTTCACCACCAACGTCCATCCCTTAACTAAAATACTCCCCGCACCGACAGTGCAGCAAGAGCTTATCCAGGGGCTTTCTGAGCCGGACTCTATACATGGTCCGACCGAAGCCTTTGTTTTCTCGATATTGCTTGTTGCAGTAGTCTCTTTGACCGACGAGGAATGCCGGAGCCAGCTTGGTGAACCCCGAGAGAAGCATGTAGCGAGGTATTGCTATGCAACCGAGGCAGCACTGAGCAGAGTCGATTTTCTGAGATCGACAAACCTCAAAGTGCTTCAGGCGTTCACTTTTCACCTGGTGATTTCTTCTTATCACCGTTTACAGCAAATTGAGGTCACCGAACTGATAGCTGCTAGCTGTCTTTGCGCCACCTTTGCGATCACGACATCTTGGGGCTCCTAACCGGGCTAGCAACTCGCATGGGCCAAAGAATGGGCCTTCATCGAGAAAGCTCGCTGAAAGACCTGCTGCCATTCGAAGCTGAGCTGAGACGACGGGTTTGGTGGCAAATCGTCATTCTTGACGGTCGTACAGCGCAGCTCACAGGAGCCTCGATGAACTCCGGCATTCAGCTATATGGAGACACGAACCAACCTCTAGGTGTCAACGACGACTACCTCGTCCCATCCATGAGTGCTTTGCCCCGCCCGTCTCCGGTCACTACCGAGATGGTGTTTTGCTCAGTTCGCATTGAGATCGGAGTGTGGATGATTGAGCAGAAATGTCTTCTTGACTTTGCGACATCGCCTGACCGAAGGGCCAAGTTTCTCAAATCTATTGACGAGCTTGAGAGTCATATTGAGGAAAAGTATCTCCGGGCCATCAACACAGATATTCCGTTGAACCTCTTGACGACGTATCTTGCTCGATCTGCTGTCTGTCAGCTGAGACTATCCGTCTACCACCCCAATCATCAGCCAGAGAGGACATCTGAACTCGATGGAGAACAGATGGATATGCTGCTAGAGAACAGCCTCGAGGTAATTCGTTACGACATTCTGTCACATTCTACTGGCGCTCTTCAGCGCTTCCTGTGGCATATCGCCAACTTCTTCCCTTTCGAGACTTTTGTCCTTCTCATCAGCGCCTTATCGGGGCGTGCCGGTGGCCAGATCGTCGACGTGGCCTGGCATGTCATCAACCAAGTCTACGAGCACCATCCTTGCTTCATCACCGATTCGAACGACTCATTGTACTGGGCACTCGGAAATCTGACATTGCGAGCTTGGCAGCAGAGGATCGCAGCCTCTAGAAACATCGGAATGGAGATGCCTTTGGAGTCACCTTGCATAGGGCAGCTTGCGCGCCAGCGGACGAACATGGCACGTAACGCACAAGCAAAGCCGCAAGCGCCGACGGTGGGTACGGGCAGTAACGGCCCCGCTACACCCCAGGAGATGCCCCAAGTTCGGGACTGGCTGCAAGACGCTGGTCATGCCTCTAGCATGGTACAGCAGCCAGCATCGCATGGTCAAGACGTTGCGATGCCAGGGATAGAAGAGGAAATGATCGGGATGACTAAAGGGATGGACATGGATTGGAACTTCTGGCAAGAACTTCTGGATGGGAACTCTCGGGAAAGCCAGGAATGCTTCACTTTCTCTTCTTTCGTGAATAAAGCCTAAACATCAGTGTTCTCCTGATTCGTCCATAGAATCATACCCAGCTCTTTGTATGAATTGTTCTCAATGACCGCACAGTCATGTGGGAGACTTTACCGATCATATGAGATGTGCGTCGTTGACCCATTGCCGGGGATGCACCGATACCCAAACGGGCATGTTTATGCGGACCACCGGCCCCGGACCCCGCACCGATAATCGCCCGCATAGACTTGCCATTTCGCATCGGGTGGGGGGAGACTCCTACCGAAGGACACACACTCTCGCCCACCACAGCCCCCGGACGTTGTGATAACTACATCACTCCGATGCGCAAGGAACGTTGAATAACATAACACAGCATAGGAATACGAGACTGAGGGACTCTTCATCTCGTGTCTGACGTGAAAAGCAACCCCCCGAATCTAACTTATCGTTCCCATTTGCCCTCTCGTCATCACCTTCACGATCGTCTGAGGTAGTCAACCTTGAGCTCAATCCGAAGGTTGTTTTATCAAAGTCACACGTCCGTCTGTATCAATCATGGACGAGAGAGCTCGCATCCCCGTTACTCTCCCAGTTCCGAACCCAACGCCCAGCTACTGGCACTCGCCTCCCTCCCGTCTCTCAACCTACACCTCCAGCCCATCACCGCCATCAGAGACCAACACCTTGATCATAGGGAGTGGCATCACTGGCGCAGCCATAGCACACTTCCTCCTCTCCTCAGACCATGCTTCGGCCTCGCACCCAGACGTCACCATGCTCGAGGCTCGCACCCTCACCTCTGGCGCAACGGGTCGCAACGGCGGCCACACAAAAGCCGCATCCTACCGTTCATTTCTTCATCACGCCGAGACCCTAGGGACAGAAGCAGCTTGCCTCATTGCGCGTCTCGAGCTCGCAAACATCCGAGCTGTCCACGCCTTCGCCGCGTCACATCTCAAAGATAAGGAGACGGAGAGCAGACCTTGCCAGACGGTCGACGCGATATACGACGCAGCACAGTGGGAAGCTGGGAAGAAGGCCGTCGAGGCGATGAGGGAAGCCATGCCCGACGACGACGCATCAAAGTACGATTTCTATGACGTTGAGGAGATGAAGACCCGGTTTCACGTCGCAAAAGAAGGATTATATGGAGGCATCGGATACGAAGCCGGAAGCATTTCCGGGTATCGCTTCACCACCGGCGTGCTGGAATTATGCGTCGACAAAGGCATGAAGCTCTTCACAGAGACACCAGCACTAAGCATCCAAAAACTCCAACAAGGTGTCTCTAAAGATGCTCACCGCTGGATAGTCGAGACACCAAAAGGACAAATCAAAGCCCGCCGAGTCATACTAGCAACAAACGGCTACACGGCATTCCTCCACCCGCGCTTCCAAGAAGCCATCGTCCCGATGAGAGGGCAAATCACAGCCCACCGCCCGGGCTCCAGCATGCCAAAGGCGGGCCTCGCGACAACCTACAGCTTCATCTACGAAGACGGCTACGAGTACATGATCCCCAAGCCGGCAGGCACGCAGTTCGCCGGCGACATCGTCATCGGCGGCGGCCTGGTCCGCGCTCCCGATGAAGGGCTGGGCGAGTACGGCACGACGGATGACTCGCGGCTGAACCCCGTCATCAGGTCGTACCTGCAGGAGACGACGCCGCGCTATTTCGGCGACGATTGGGGCGATGATGGCCCCGAGGGCGAGGGCGGCAGGGTGCGCGCTGAGTGGACTGGTATCATGGGCTTCAGCCCCGACGGCTTCCCATTCGTGGGCGAGGTGCCGGGCGAGGACGGCCTGTGGGTTTGCGCGAGTTTTCAGGGACACGGTATGGTGTTTTGCTGGATGTGCGCGAGGGCACTAGTGGTCATGCTCAAAGGGAGCGACGACGGCGGCGAGGAGGAGGAGGAGGAGGAGGAGAAGCAGCTTGGCAGCTGGTTTCCCGAAGCATTTAGAATCACATCTGGACGCCTGGCGCAGAGATTTGCAGGGAGAGTGAACCACTCGACGGCTGGATCCGCTGATCGGGCATAAAACTTAGAGACACAGAGACATTGGAGGCATGGAGATGTCGAGAATCGGGAGTCACTCGCGAACGCCCACCTGACACCGCGCGGGCTGGCTTGACTTGGCTTCCTTGCTTGCTCGTTGCGGCTGGATTAGAGTTCGACCGCGCCATTCATGGCCGCTTAGCTTAACCATCCCCTCGGATTCTATCGTATGAGACCGTTCTGGCGGTCAAAGAAAAGACAGGTATGCCAGGGAGGAGGAAAGGGGAAATGGCGTCTCGTCCGCCTTCCCGCGGCCGTAAGTAGGCAAGTACGTAGGCAAACGATATTGTTGTCTTGTTTGCTCTTGGCTTCCACGAGCCGGCGTCGGGAAAGTCGATCACGAGGTGCATGACTTCACAGCACACACACACACATACACACACACACACACACACACCATGAGAATCTGGTACTTCAGGATGGACCATTGCTAGGACATGTCTGGATAGAATACGACTGTGGCAGATTATCGTGGACGGTTTGTGGAGTTCCTGGCTCAGCCGGCCACGTTCCTATTCGGCGTATCATTTTATGTTGCAATAATCAAGTCAGGATACTTTTGCGTTCAAAAGATGTTCTCACGCCAGGTTTCAAATCGCGCGCGTAATTGCGGCCGTTTAATGTCATCTGCATGTCGCACAATGCGCGGGACTAGCAAACATTTTGACAAAACCCCACCTAGACGGCACCACGCCTCCACAGCTCGGAATGGAGGCTAGTTGTAATTACACTACGGATACGTACGAAGTAGGTCCCGCCATGTTCGTCCGTCTCTACGCAGTACGCAGTAGTTACTATGGAGTCCCTCCCAATCGAGCGGCACAAGCGGGAAGAATCTCGCCAGTGCGCTGGCACGGCACTGCTCGCCTCGGGATCGCTTGCAGGTGCAGGTCCAAGGGGGACCACTCGGTTGGAAACAATAACCCACCAGGGGAGGGTCACGATGAATGGATGGCTATTGGGCGCAGTGAGACGCCAGAGATGGGTTAAAAGAGGAGGCCAGACCCGAGAGGCAGAGCTGTGGCGTTCTTGGTGTGCCGTCCTGTTGGATGCAAAAGACTGGACGGCACTTCAGCCATCGTCCGTTAGGCTCGGCGGATAGCGTACCCTCCGTCCGGTTAATGTGTGAAGGGATAACAGGCAGCACAGCTCGTGACGGGTGGCTGCTGTTCTGGACGAACTACCTTTGGGTGATCAAGCCTCCGCCAAAGTGCTTCCGCGAGGGACGGCAAAGGGCTAAAAGGGATACTTGCTCGCCTTGGATTTGATATCATCCGGAATACCGCGGGGGTGGGACCAGCTTCGATCCAGAGAGTTATCGGAGTGGAACGGCTTGCAAAGGGCCACCGTACACACACATCGAATGTGACTCTGAGAAGCAGCCATGGCCTCATTTCCTACTCGACGTGTACCAAGATGGCCGTGAGAACCCCGCTCGACCAAAAGTATTGAGGCAGGTGCTTAATGCGGTCCTGGGCATCGTGGGTGGTGGTGCACGCGCGGCAGCACGGAAACACAAGAAGAAGACAGGGGGTGACTTTGGGAAAGACATTGCCGGCCGGCTTTCTTCCCAGGATGCAAAATGCTGGATGGACCCAGCCAACCAGGACCGCAGCTGTACGGACGGATATGCGATCCACCGTTCTGGAGACCTTTGACAGGCTGCGAAACCCGAAGGATTCAAAGCAGCCAAGCCGTCCAAGTTAGTTGAGAAAGTAACCCGACAGAGGGGATAGTGGCCCGCAACTGCAGGCACAAGACATGGAACCACCCAATAGCCCTTCGATTGGGACCGCGCACACACGTCGCCAAATGTGGTGAGCGTCAAAGTAGAAGAGCTGCAGTTATGCGCCTTTGCGGCATGATGTCGGGGCCGGGCGTTTCTCAGCGCGAGAGCGAGGCATGCAGCGAGGCTTGAAAAAACCAGCGTTGATCTTGTCTTGTCTGTCGTTTGAGTCATGTCTACATGTGCGCGCATATACCTACTGTACGCAGGCTGAGCCGTTTGTAGTTGACGTGCGTTCGTCACAAGCATCGCGGCCCCTTTCGTAGTCATGCTGCGTGTGCAATTCTCATGTCCCGAGGATAGAACATGACAGGACATGTAGAGCGCGGGAGGGAGATCCCTCGGTCCAAACTTCATCGTAGTGCCCGATGATTCCGAGGATCTTCATTGCGCCAATTTGGGTTGATTTGCTAGTGGCGTTTTGGGACCTGTTCGACCAGCAGCGTTAAAGAGGTTGCAGCTCGGCCGAGCATGGCGACATGTATGTACGTATCTGTAGCTTGTGCCAGACAGGTACCGGTATGATGGCTGTGTCGTCGGGTCATCAAAGTTTGTGGGATAAGCACGCAAAAGAGTCTATCTGGTAACGGGATCGGGTGGCATGCGGTCAGAGCAGAGCAGAGCAGAAACGCGTGCACTCGCGCTTGTACGGCCGAAATATTATTGCGCCCTAATATGCTGTAACGTAACTGGTATCGCAATTGGCGTGAGACCATTCCGATGGTTCAAGTCATGTTCAGTAATCACTCTCCCAAACCTCGAGGCTGTCTAGCACGTATGGGTCTGAGACGGCGGCTGCGATATTTGACCGCCTTAGTCGTGGGTTTAGCAGACAGAGTGCAGAGTTAGGCCCGGTAGTGGTCGCGATCGACAGTCAAAGTCCAGGCCGAAAGGCAACGGCTTCAGATCGTCGCGTCCAAAGCTATCGAACTTGCTCGGAACCCCGGCTCATGGGCGGTGGCTAGCACTTACTTCGAGTTCAGATGTATGTCCCCTCGAACGAGCACATTTTGGTCTCTTTGGACCCGAGGGGAGGGGGGCTGAGACTAAGCAGCTAAGGTAGCTTAGGCCTTTTGTTTCGCTCTGGGATGGGAATCCGAAGAAGAATGGCTTTGCAAATTACACATTGTCGACCACGTTTGACATGCCAGGCTATGCTCCGCGAATCAAGATCCGCGATGGCGACAAGAGATGAGTTGACACAATGGGGGCGCAACCTAGGGCCAAAGTAGCGCGGCGGACTCTGATCCCTCCTCCTGGGGGAGAGGCTTGGGTCGAACCACGGACCAGCGGGCACGAGTTGAGAGCTGCGGACGCCCGGGACGCTAAGAAATCATATGAACCTCGTAGTTGGATCAGAGCATCGCAGCTTGCCATCCATCTCAGTACCGTCTGGTCCTGATTTGGTCTGGTTGTCTGGATCATCTCATGATTCCAGTCTCTTGTCCCATCCAGGGTGGATAGCAGAGTTGATGTGAAGCCGACGATGTGAAGGCAAAATGAGAAATGAGCTGACGGAGATCTGCAGAGGTCGTTATTCCCGGTGCTAAAAGACGACCGAACGCCCGTTCGCTCCGGGGCGGTAGGGAGAGACGCAGATGGTCGGGTGGACGAGAAGACGGGATCGATATAATGGCCCTGGCGGGAAAACAGGCACGAGTCGAAGAGTCGCGGCGTTGCCTTGGCGGCACCCAGACGTAACGGCGGCCGGCGCTCAAGCCCGGGACTTACAGTTGCCTCAACTGCCATTGGGTCGACGCCAGATTAGACGAGACGAGACGATATCGCCTTGTGTCGGTCGATGGACGGGATGTCGATGTGAGTGACAGCAGATGGGAAAGGACGGGGTTGTTGTTGGTCATGGGGGGGCTCCGTTTGGGGTCCGGGAGGTCGCATCCGAACGTGGCATTCAACGGGTTGTAATGATGTCAATGGAATGGCAATCGCTTGCATGGCGCGGGAAGTCACGACGTATGATACCAGAGCTACTTACATGGATATAATAGTCGTGGTCGCTTTCCGTACTCCGGATTGTATCAGTAAAGAGAGAACTTCAAACTTTGAAGTATCAACTCGCCTCGGCCCTTGATGCAGTATGCCAGATGTAGATAGGAATAAGATTGGACTATTGGAGAAACGACCACTCACCTGAAAGGCTAGAACGGCGCAACTGCCGGCTGCCGGGTGACGAGCGGCGTAGAGGCATGCGATCTTCGCTGCAAAGGATGGACTTTTGGGTGGAAAGAAACACGATCGAAGCCCCTCCATGGACCTTGCCGCTTACAAATGGCAGAATAGGAGTCGTACCGAATGATTGCCCATTTCCCATGAAGTCACCTGAGCTGTTGAAACCAGAACGTTCATAGCTTGCAAAGTCTCTGGTTTCACGATGAATTACGACTGACCATAATTAACATTGATCATGTCTTTGAGGGATAAACCAGCTCGTCTCGTAAACGTAAACATCTCCCAGCCAGTGAATACAGAATACATGCGGATCCGACAGACTCGGAGAGAGTGACCTCGATGGGCCGCCCCCCCCCTTCTCCCAAGAAAAGCTTCCTCCCGAGTCCCGGCCCAGCGTGCCATTCCTCTGGGAACATCCACTGCGATGGCTGGGGCCCCTAGCTGCCCTGTTGTTCGTTGAAGGCGTGCAGACAAAGTACTCTGTATTCGTAGAGTTGCAGCGCTTTATCCGTCTCATGTCCCTTTCCGTCTGGGGGTTGTCTAGTAGGACTAACAGTGGGCAAAGGGGAAGGGGAAAGAGGATCCCAAGGGAAAAGGAGCGGAAGGGATGTCGGAATACCAGTTGGTGACTTTGCATCCGCCGTCGAAAGACATAGACAACGCTGCAGCGATTGCTGTAGACTTGAGTACTCTTCATGTACCCATCTGCGCTCTTCTCGACCTCGGCATGCCCTCTTTGAGTATCCCACCAGAACCCATTCGATTTCTCGACCCTCCCTGTACCGCCAAGAAGGACAATCTGGGTCCCGGCCCCCACAGGAGGGACAAGTTCAAATCCCGAAATCTAAAGTCCCACTCTTTCTTTTGGGTAGTGTGTTCTTCCGGCGCTCTCTTCGCACCCGCTCTCCGTGCCTCTGTACGGATACACACACACTCGCAACGGACGGGATATGCTCTTCAGCCAGATTGAAGTCTCTTTAAACGTGCTGGGTCTCGTGTGTTTTTCTCCGAACGTAACCTCCATGCGGCGGGTGACTATCCGGTCATACCTGAGTTACGGGCTGTCAGGTTTGACGCATGGTTTGTGTGGAACGTTAAGATGAGGGGGTTCTACATTCTACACAGCAGGAAAGCGACTCGAGCAAACCTGGCTTTCGAATCTTTATGGCCAAAGAAAAGGTTCATATTTACTTTTTTCTTCGCTCTCCAGTCGAAGCGACGGATTGAGCTCGATGCAGGACAAGCGGACCAGACGGCGACGCTTCTCTCCCTCCACCCTCTCTGACCCGTAACCGCTGCTGCAAGTTTTTTTGTGATATCTGACAAAGACTTTTTGCAAATGTGGGCGCGCACTGCTGGATTGGGAGGAGGGGAAGACCCAAGCAGCGCCGACGAGGGGGCAGCCCGGGTCCGGGAGCATGGACATGGGTTTCTCGTCAACGACTGCCAGTGACCGCTTCTCGGGAGCCAAGACCCCAAACTTTGCCAGTGCCTGCTCGTCGGTTGCTCGAACTGTGACATTGTAGCATCCGTCAACGTTGTCAGCATGTACCTCTGAAAGCAACCTTGGAAGAGTCAGAAGTGAGGCTTTCCTCACACCGCGCGATTGATCGATCACTGAATGGCCTTCCTCAACCATGGTAGTGCGGACTTTGCGCCCGTTTGATGGGCGATGGAAAGGTATGGATGATCCTTGCTGGCGGACTTGGTCACGATCATAGGACTGTGACACTGACAGCTGGATGAAGGCCGCCAAGTTGTCGAAACACTTTCTTGCTTTTTCCCTTCCCTCCAATGGACTGGACCCAAGGGTCATTGCTGAGCTTCGGCACTCGGTCATTGTGTCGGGGGCAGTTCGGTGAGCAGAAAAACACTGGCAGCTTTGGGCAGAGAATCCTGCCGCACTGGAGTGAATGATATCGATCATCTCAAGTTTGTTTGTGTGGCCCATCCAGATCTTCGCCTGTGGGTTGATGGGCTTCGTGGGGTCCTGGGAAAGCGATAGTGTATGCTTCTTCTTCGGGACGTCGCGCAATCTCGCGCAATCTCTGCGGACCCCATAGTTTCTACGGATACATCTGCGTGATCTTTCTGGGCTCGGTCTCGCTGGAGACTCAGAGACGGGGGGTCCCCATTAGAAACCGAAGAGCCGCAAGACACGACCGTCAGATGGCCGGCCATCTTTACGGTGCCGACGGGTCGACGGCCCCGGCCTTCAGTTTCGACCGAGCTTCGGCGCTCTGTGCTCCGTGCTCCTTGTCCCAGCCCTGAGCTCTTGAGTCTTGACTATTCGTGGGGTGCTACGTTTCCCAGGAGTCTCCCTTCTCTCGGGTTGGCGTTTGGCTGTGCTGTCGGCCGCTCGTTGCAGGTTCATGGCGCTTCATCCCAGCAGCTTGGTTCGAGACAGAATAGAGTTCATTGACGAGGTGTTGATCCTTCGTGGCTCCATCGAAACCTGCCCCCATGTCGAATGGCATAGCGTAGTGAACGAAGGCCAAGACCTGGTCCGACGTGAAGGTGTTGAGACTGACAGAGTGATGGGCAGGCCTTTTTGCCAAGCGTACGGCATACTGATAGCACAACTGACTAGACTCGTGACTCTTACCACGATAGACTTAGAGTAGTCGAGAAGAGATGCTGATCATGTCGATTATTACGGAACTCTCCGTTAACTTTGATGTCCCTGCGAAAATCCTCGGTTCGTCTTGGGGGCCCTGCTGCTTCCGGGCTTTGAAAATGAGCTTGTACCCGTCCAACCCAAGTGGAGAAAGAGAAGTGGATTAGATAAGCATGCCCTGTACCCTGTACCATGGAAGCGTCCGAGCCAAGGGCCCAAGGGGAGTGAGTGACATCGACTGGGAACTGGGCTGGGAGAGGGTTGAGGAGTGAGGGGGGAACTTGAGAGGGCGAGAAGGGAGAGAGAACAGTGGTCAGCAGGTGGTCGATGTACCTCTACACACGTAGGTACTTCCGCCTTGCCTTCGCCTTTGGCTCTTTGCCTTGCCTGCCCGGATCCACGAGAAGGGGGTTGGGGGCAGAGAGGCGGCCGGGACGCTGCACGTTCCAGGTCGAGGTAGCTCCTGTATCCGTACGGAGTAGTGTGCTGTGCTCCTCTCCTCCGCAGCTGTAGAGTGCAGGCGAGGCGGGCAGGGCAGGGCAGGGCACTTGCTTTGCGTCTGCTGTGCTTCTGCTGCGCTGCTGCCGCTGCTGCTACAGCTAGAGGAACTCATGTTCCCATCCCGTTGGGTCGGCGGGCCCCTACACGTTCCGTTACAGTACGGGATGATGTCCTGAGCAGCAGTCCTAGGTCATCGTTGCGCGGCCTGAGTCTTGAAGGACTTCCCTCCGACGATAGTCCGCCTAGCAAGCAGGTCAATGGACGTTCCGCAGGAGAGTTCCCCATCAGCAGCTCCAGTTGCCCCTCTTCACTACAGAACATGTCGACATTCATTGGCATCTCGACTGGCCACGCCTCATCATGTGCTTTTCAGAGTCTTTCTGTGTCTCCTCTTTCCCGTTGCTATCTCGCCCTATCTCCTGTCCCTATCTCCTGTCCCTCTCTCTTTCTCTCTCTCTCTCTCGGTCTGCCTCCCGAGTGTTGACACTGCGCATACACGAAGCACATGCAGATTCATGTCCAGTCCCCATTATGCCACAATGTAGACTCTCCGCTCATTACGCATGCATCGTCTTGGCTCACATCCGTATGCCTACCAGAGTAAGAATGCTCTGTACGGATACAGAACACTGCGGCTGCTATGGATATTTCTCCACTCGGTGACGGCTATCGCTGAGATACAACATGCGGTTCCGGTTCGAAAATGAGCCCTACTGCCGCACATCATCGCCCGTCTCATCAAGGGTTTTGACGGCTCCTGACTCGCCCATCTATCATGGCACCCCGTGGCACCCCGTGGCACCACGGCACCACGGCACCGCGGCCATGGTCGCAGCCCTAAGGCAAGCCACGTCTGCCAGCGCACAGCACATTGGGATTGTTTCTCTCAGAGCTGCATTTCGGCGACCTCGCAAGGACGAGAGGACCCAGAAGTGCTCGCAAGAAACCCCCATCTTCTTCCTCGATCTTCATAGCCTAAGAGCAATTCCGACGTTGTCTCGACTCTTGGGGTAGTACCTGTCGCAAAAAAAAAAAGTCACCTTACCTTGACCTCAACTTGCCTTGCACCCCTCCACTTCAACTACGACCTCACCGAATCCTACTCCCAGAGTGTCTAGTTCCCCCCCCCCCTCTGTCCCCTCCTTTGAACCCTTTTCCCATCTTCCCCTCACGGCGTTCAACTTTTTTCGCCTTTCCTTTGATCTTGGCCTATTCTATCCCATCCCGCGCTGCACGAGCAGACGGATAGGAGAACCGCCGTGAAGCGCCGTCCGTCGTATGCAGAAAGTCAATGAGCTGATGTTGTGACAGACCATGTGCTCTCCCACATGGGGCCACGTTCGTTGCTCTTCTTCCCGCCGTGCCTCCTGTCTGTCCCGCTGCTGTATTCATGGAGTACCTAATGTATCCGTACGCGCTGTGCTTGTGCTACCTACGCACGCAAAGGCAGGGTGATGCCAATATTGGTGCAAAACAGACGTGCTTCCACCCCAAATCCCTGACTCGAGCCAATCATAAGCCCATCACGACGCCTTCGTTCCTCATTCCCGGGTCCCCACGTCTTCAGGTCTGACCCGACAGCTTGTTTTGAAGGATTCTTTCCCCTCCCCTCCGACGCCGATGCCCTTACCCTCTCCCGCTGCGCACCACTGATGTGCGCAGCCACCCCACTGACAGTGGTCAGGTCTGTATATTGTACCCTGCCTGTTTCGTTCCTTGCCCAGCCCGTCGTATCTGGACGGGAGACACACACACACACCAGTCACCCCAGGCCCCAAAGCCCCCCCCCCCAGGGGCCAGATTGATGGGCGTTAGGCACAGTCGAGGGAACAGTAGGCGGCTGACGAGCTAGCCAGATTCGAGGCGTCTTGCCTACGGGTAGCTCACTAGAGCTGTCGAGACTGTCTTGTCTGCGCAGTAGGCATGGTAAGCTTGCTTGGTGCCAAACATCGCCAAGGACTGGTTACACACTCCTTGAGCATCCCTCATCTTCATCTTCATCTTCGTGTTTATCGTCGTCGTGAACCTGTAAAGCCATCAAAGATGATGGCTATTCAGTCGTCAGGTCGCTGCCATCAAAGACCCTGGCCTGCAGAGAACCACAGCCCGGGTATCGAGCGGGAAAGCATTACCCGCCCCTGCACGTATAAGTCATCCAAGCCTTGCTGTAGCATTCAAGTATCGAAGCAGAGCGCAAGTGCCACTTCTACCTACTTGTACCTGGGCGAAGCAGTGTACATTGGCCTCGACCGCTCATGTACCTTTCCTTCCCTGCCTTATTTGCCTACTGCGGTACTTAGTGTATCCGTAGGTTCACTTCCATACTTCCTGAGAGAGCAAGAGAGGGCCACAGCAACCCGTGCAGGGACGCGGAGCAGCAAGACCTGGACCTTGCCAGTCGTCGTCCTTACTCAATACCCTAGCACACTACTCGAGCATCCATGCTCTCCTTCAAGTCTACATACATTCTGCTTGCTGCCTGCCTCTCACTGTCCCTTGCCTTTGGACCACTGACACCAAACACATACATAATCGCTCCCTTTTCACCTTTGTTTTCGCCATCGTCTTCTTCAACGTTGCCATACTGTCGGGCCCTCGAGATTCTCCACGTCATCGTCTGCCAACCCAGGATTCCTTCTGCGACTTCTCCCGCGACCTTCACTCCCAGTCCCGCTCGATCGGCCGGGAGGTTTGTCGAGTTACCGATCAACTGTCAAGACAAGACCAGTCGAAGGATTCGAGATACCTACCAGGGTCGACAACCTCTTTCCCCCGCACAGGGCATTCGGCGAACAACCCGATCTCACCACATTCCGCTTCGTCGAATCGTCGCTGCTCACACCCTAGCCACGACGAAGACGACGACGGCCGAGAACACAAAGTCTTGTCGCGTCACCGCTCTTCTAGACGGACGCTAGTCGACGGTCGAAGTTTGCTAGACAGGTTGCAGGTTACATAGCTCTACACACGAACGAAGCCTGATCCCCCACCCCTGATACCAAAAGGTCATCCACAAACACCATCTCATTCTCAGCCTGTCCGCCATCCGCCGCCTCCTCTGGTACCGGGCTCCTTCAGCTACCTTGACGGTACGTACCTTGGCGACTTTATTAGTCTATGGGATGACCCCCTTCTCGTTTCCCCCCGTCGTCGAAGTCATTCAGTTTCTGAGGCACCTTCACGGGCCATGTCAAAGTCGATGCCGAGCCGTCCAAACCACCATACCCTTTCTCTCTTAACACCAGGCCAGTGCCGTCGCAAGACATGCCAGAATTCCCCCGAACAAACAGTTGTTAAATCGAACCCTGGTCCCCCTTCCATCCTTCTCTTCGCTGCTCGCGTCCGCGATTTATCTCGTCCCGAACAAAGCGCACGCACACCACCCCCAAATAACCCTCTCCCGTTGTCTCGGGTCCCTCCTTGCCATCCGCTCCAGTAGAGTTTTTTTTTTTTTTTTATCCTTTTTATTTTTCCCCCTCCCAGTACCTATCCTTCTCTTCTCCAAGACAAAAGCAGCGCAAAGCTTGCTTTCCCATCATTCGTTCTCGCCTCCCCGCTCCCACACCTCCAAACAGATCGACGTTTTCGTCCAACATCTTCCCTATCCAGATCATTCTATCCACAAGCGGCTCGACCGCTTCCCACGCCGCTTCGGGACTTTTCTGATCTGACGGTTGGAAACAGACAAGCCTGGCTGCCAATCAGGGACGTCATCGCCGGCATTTTGGTCTTGGTGGAGGGGTCCCTGATTTGAATCTTTCATCCCTGGGAAGCTTTCTGACGTTGAGAAAGCCAAGGTTTAGATTTGGATCGCTTCGCATTGCCATTGTGCATCGCCGTCAACTTCTCGACAATTTGGACGCCTGTCGCAGAAGACCTTTCTCCACGCCCGCCGACAGTGGACTTCGTGTGCGCTTGGCTTCGGCAGGTCGACTTGACTGGTATCTGTTGGGTACGAACGGCACCAAGCAGATCATTCTCGTCCACAATGAATTCGCCGCCAAATTCATTACGCGAAGAACAACTGAGAGACCTCTTGGTGAAGTCCGCTCGCGGTCCGCCTACAGACCAAGAACCGCCCGAAAAGCGGCTTACACTCGGCGGCCCCCCTTCTCCGGCAACCTCAGGCCCGGCCGTCATGTCACCGCCCGGTTCCACCGATACAACTATCACTGTCGGTTCTCATAATGGCGATGAGTACGATACCGAAAGCTTGACCGACAGTGTGAGAGAGCACATGTACGAGAACCGACTGCGATACCACGCCTACCGCGCAGGACGTTATGCATTTCCCAATGATGTCATTGAGCAAGACCGCGACGAGATGAAGCACATCATCAGCATAGAGCTGAGTGGGAGGTACTTCTATTCCCCTGTCGATGACCTAATGGCAAGAGGCGCTGAAGTTCTGGATCTGGGTATGTGAGAGCTTTTTATGTGAGGCACCATGGTGGTGACGTACTTGAGATCATCGTGGCGATTGGTTATCGCCACGTAATGCTGTCTTCATGCAATAAACATCAAGACGTGGTTCCATGATACGTCGGCGTTGCTCAGAGCGACACCAGAATCTTGCGACGTCACCACCTAGCCGCTTTTTTTTTTTTTTTTTTACATGTTGACATATTCATTGAAACACATTTGGTTAACATTTTTCTTCGCAGGTACTGGTCCCGGTCACTGGCCTATTGAACGTGAGTCTTCTGTCCACAAACACGCTCTCTCTCCTCCCCGTCATATAGTTTCTTTCAATCACGGATCTTTCCACACCATTGCCGGTATCACTCCTGTCGTGGAAGGCGGTATAACTTACCTGTGACCCCGTAGTCGCCGATATGCATCCCAACTCTACATTTCTCGGCATCGATCTTTCTCCGATTCAGCCGAGTGAAGTCCCACCCAACTGTCACTTCATGGTCGACGATATCGAACACGAAAATGGATGGGATCTAGAAGAAGAGTACTTTGATTTCATCCATCTGCGACATACCCTGCACTCTATCCGCGACCGTAACGACCTCATGCAAAGGGCTTATAGGTAAACTAAACATCTCATGTCCCATGCCCCCTTCCAAGCAACCGATCGAACGATGGTCCCTTCAGACAGAGACTAAACTCTACCAGGCACCTCAAACCCGGCGGTTGGTTCGAGATACAAGAACTCGAGTTCTTTCCCTTATGCGACGACCAGTCCTGTCCAGATGGAGATGGCTACGGTTTCCGGGTTTTCACGCAGTACCTCGACGCGGGATTGAGGGTACTTGGATCAGAAATGCATGGGATTCGCGTCGCCGCTGATGAGATGCGGGCCGCTGGATTTGAGAATGTGGAAGAGGACAGGAGGAAATGTCCCATCGGCGACTGGCCAGCAAGGCCTGAGCTGCGCGAGTGTGGTATATTGATGCGGGAAACTATCTTGGAAGGCCTCAAGGGCCTTGCGACACGGCCTTTCAGAGCCCTTGGATGGACTGAGATACAGATCGAGATGTTCCTATTGGACGTACGGTCACACGTCAAGGAAAGGGACTTCCACTCCTATCTCAACCACAGGACAGTTTATGGCAGGAAACCGCTCGACTCGCCGAAGCCTTGAGTGGCGAAATTACGAAAGAAAAAGATCGGATGACACGAAGGAATACCGACGACACGAAACGAGCGAGGCGACGAGTACGAATGAGATCACCGCATACCGATAAAGGCGATGTAGGGGGGGGGGGTTTTTTTTTTTTTCAGATTTGGCTTTTTGATTTTCCCGGGACTGGACGCTTCCTTTTCCCACATTGTACGTGCTTTGGTGTACCTGGGGCACTGCATCAAAGGGTCCGGCTGGCAGGCTGGCATCATTATCATTATCATCATGACAACAACGGCACTGCATCGGTTTTGGGGTCTTCCGGTGGACTCGGAGGTCTACGGACAGCGGGAGGTGGCTACGGCTTTGGCATGCCGTCATCATATTTGGGCTGCAGCGGGCGATGGGGAGTTTTTTGTCGATTTTCTACGTTTAAGAAGTCATGAAATTATGATGTGAGGACCATGACGGCCTCCTTGACTACATCTGTTTTTCAGAGGCCGGGTGTATCTTACCGGTTCATCCCGTCATATTGGAGTAGTCCGCCCACGAGGGTTCATGGAGAAATCCCCCGGGTTCGGACGAATATTGCGGTGGTATGTCTATATTACCTAGGAAAATAAATACCTTACAAATTCTCTCATCCATGAGGGATTACTTCTACCTTCTACTCCTTAGCAATCTAATTCTCCAAATCCTGAGTGTGCTGCATCAAATCAAGTTTTGAGTCGCTAGAAGAGCAATATTACATTTCAAGAAGCAGAGGCATCAAATGAGAGTGTTGCTAAGTCTAGGATATATCAAGTAAGGATTAATTATCACAAATGTTGGTTTTGCGGACGGTGTTGTATATGCCCTCGATAGAACATTGTACTAACTAATGTATGTCTTTAACCAAGGCTTGAACAACCGACCAGGCTATTTTCGGGTTATTCGATCGAGCTGCTTTCTTGTCAGTTTGAGCAATGAAGTTATTCGCAAAGTACATGTACCATGCACGGCGATCCGTGCAGGGGGTAGGATTGACTAACTACAACCTGACATCTTTCTTCGTAGTATATACGTACCAGCATAACGAGAGTTGACATGCCTATTGATGCTGTTGGGATTTCGATTAGTCTACTAAAGTAGTTGCGCATTCTTGAGTAGTTGGCTAAGTGGACAATTAAGATTTGATATTTCAAGCAGCCTTTCTATCCTGGACTCTGTTGTGATATGTTTATCAGAGATCCATGTTCTGAATATTGATGTCTGCTCGTTGGCCGTTGCGATGGTAATAAGCCCGTAGACGATATGAACTATGAGTACCAGGGTTGTTTTGAGTACCAGAGTTGTTTTCTACATGGATTCAGTTCCATGTCTTTGACCAAGGAAGACTGGAAATGAGCTGGGCTTCTGGGCAATTAATGGCCGAAGAATATAGAAACCTGCATGCGAGAAAAGATCACACAATCGGAATGCGTCTTACGATTGTCTTTCACAAAATCCGTGTAGATCATTGCTTTTCGACTCTAACCCCCTTATTTGATCTTGCATTCCTGCTTGAAGTCGAAGATTGTTGTGATGACCCTCATTTGATAGCATAAAATTGTGAATGGCTGCAGTTTGTCAGATATATCTTCTTGTATCCCCCTCTTGCGCTGGAGAAAGACTTGACGATTCTGAATCTTTACTCCCGACGATACAGCCTGCTCTAAACTCATCTATCATACCCCTGGCGATTGCTCAAGTGGATGACAAAATGATATATCGCTCAGTAATAGAAGTTGAGTTCTAAGTTGATAGCACCAAGGCTATCATCAAGATTATTTTTACTCTTCACTTTTATTATTTCACACTCTCTCTATGAGTTAATTAAGCTCTATACGTTAGATTCCAGTAAGAACATACTCGAATTGGCAGGAAAGCACTTGTCCGATGTTGGATGAACATCATACGCTCTTGTCACCCGCTTGGTGCTCTGGCTTGGGACATGGATCACCGAGTTAACAAGCTCTGCATAACTTGAAGCCACTGGCTTACCTTAAGAAGTAGCATAAATCCATCGAACAGACTTAACATCAGTTGCGAATAAAGCAGGCTGGGGAACTTTCACTTAGTACATGGCAAAGTGTCAACGCTCTAACTTGAAACTCATAAGTTCTACGCTGAGGTTTTGTCAATAAATTCAGCAGTCTACTTGCAAAGCTCCCACTCCACTCAACTCGCTCGACTTACTCTTTATATATGCTGTCTTTCTCTCTGAAAACTTTACAGCATTATCTCATGTCGAGAATCTGCAGTGACAGGACATACGTAGACTTCACATATCATGGAACTGTATGTTGATTATTTGAAGTCGACAAAGACCGTGGTGTCTTGGGGTTATATGCAACTATAACCCATGACTGAGGTAGATGATAATGTGCTGAGGAGGTTGGCGAAGTGTTATGGCTATGGCGGCATAAGTTCGATAGACGAGCCGGAGTAATCCGGGGGTGCAGCAAAGTCTGGCCACGATGCCTTCAACCAACTCAGAAAAAGCAGCAAGGTACCTATCCATACTTTACCCTGCTATCAGAAACTTCTAAGTTAGCATTCATCCTATGATTACCGATACTTACTCCTTTCTTCCCTTCTTTCCAGAAAACCCTCTCAGTGGGTCTCCGCAGGGCACCTTGACGGGCAGGGCACATCATGCAAGCGGATCGAATGTTTGCCAAGGATGCGACGGAGCCCAAGCTTCAATAAAGTTCCGGCACTCTATACTTCAGACTTTGGGTAATAGAGCCCCTTCCTTCCCCTGAGATTTTGAGAGATATGGAGCGCTTTTGTTGAACGGACGAGTCATGCATTATTCGCGACCCTTCGAGTCAATGCACGCAGCCGCATTTTCAGTCTGTAAAGGGGCAACAGAGTCCGAATTACAATCAGTTTCTCTTTGACAGTAGCCACTATTGAATGGATAAGGGCTTTTGTATTGATTGCACTGCTTCGCATCTGCCCCGTTCTTGGTCAAAGAGTTTTCTGACCTGTGTTCCTTCGAATGCAAAATGGCGATGACAATCTCTAGATTCCTATCATGACCATTGCTCGCTTGGAACCGAGATCCGAATAACCAGTTGCCGAGCATTTGGTGATCAGCAATTCCTATCAGGAATCTGTCTATAAACGCATGTATTTGTGGTCCACTCGGATGAATCATAAGTATGGATTGGTCTACAGGATATCAAGTAGATCTACACAATTTCCGTTGGAAGGGGAAACATGTGGTGCTTATCATTCTGCTCTCAATTACGCCAAAGGAAAGTCTCGAAGAA